GGTATATAAGGAGGGAGGAGCGCAAGCGAGCAATCCCCCCCAGAAGTTTAACGGGAATCAACAGTCTAAGAAGCAGAAATTGAAAATCTTGCTTCCTACCTACCTCACATCAGAAGTAGACTAGGAAATATATTTGTGTCACCTTATTTGCATCTGTACGAAGAAGTACTTGTGCAAATATAATCTTGTCTCAGTCAAACCAGCTTGAACATTGTTGCGCTCAACTAGGAGTGCAATATCTGTGTGAACTTGCGTCTCTAAGAGCAATCCTATATTGTCCCAACCATTAAACTCGGTCTATTCACACCCACACCACAAATAACAGAGAAAAACCACAATATCCTTAACTCAATAGGCAGTCTCTGAAGAGCCGGAAAACCGAGTACTGTCTAGGTTTGAATCATTTCTACCGCATTTCATCGCTTTGGGAACACCTCCTTCCGTCCTATGATGATTTAGGTCAACTAAACAGTACTGATATTACAGCTGTGACTCACCTATCCCAGTTTCCCAAGTCCATGAGGTTGAGATTTCCAATCACGCCGAATATGCGGACCGTCATGCGTTGAAGAGAAGGAGGACGGAGAGAAAGTTCACTGAATGGTCGTGGGACATGTACAACGTCGAACTTTCTCGTAGGATCTGTAGAGTGAGGGATCTCTTGGAGTTTTACCCATTCAAACAGAGCATCAAAGTCTCCCGGCATATACATCTCCCTGGGCATATCCGACCACTCGAGGGGTTCAGAGTTAGTACGGGCGATTTTTTGCGGATATGAATCTCTGATCAAACCGAGTGCGACGGTATCTGGTACAAGGAGTAAGTAGATGATTGTTAGTTGGTCTGTCGGGAACGGGACGGCACGCTCACCTTGTATGAATGCCATTCTTTATTTGGTGATATGTACATAGCTCTGCCAACCCGTTCTTTTATAGCTGATAGTGTAGTCAACCATTCGTTCGACAGCCACAACCAATTGTGGCAAGCCTCGCCACAACCGGGAATTGCCAAGAATGAGCCAGAGTTCTGGACGTCGGTTTTTTTTGCAATTCGTGGGCGCACCATATGGAGCGTCACTGCATCTCCGCATGGTGAAGTCCTTCGAGGGTACGTTTGTGTTGTGTGTCGACATTCAGATGTTGACCTCTCCGTACCATCGTTCCTTTGCCCTCACCACTGAGTCTGCAGCTCGACACAAGAAACGTCTGGAACCTTTGATCTCGTTCCGATACGCTGACCCGTGTTCGCCCCAAATCGGCATCCTGTCCTGCTTGACTCGACTATGCTGTACCCAGCTGCGTGCACTTTAACGCCTCTCTTCGTTGAGACTTGCGTAGCCGACATTGAAGGCTGTTCCGCTATGGTCTAGAATGTCTGCGCATTGTCTTGTTCCGGGCTTGTATCCACGCGTCCAGTGCGTCTGAAAGGCCTCTGTCTGCTGCGTCTGCTGTGTCGGTACTTGGGTGAATGAAATCACGGCTAGTACGGAAGCACGAGTACCCTCTCGTCTGGAACTGTGCTTCGCTCGAATCACGCCCCAAATTATGTCGTCTGCATTGACTTGACGATCCACTGGCTGATGTTCAATGACAAGTCCGTCTCTACTAGGTAGCTGCATTCCTATAAATATTAAAGTCGCAGTGGTATCCTATCTCATTATATCTGTATGCCTCCCAAGCGACCCCTCTCATCCATTATCAACGAACGTCAACAACTGTCTTCCGAAGGAACGTCCTCGAAAAAGACAAGGTGATCCCGTTTTATAGCACGCAACTCATATTGTTCCACTCACTCTATGATAGAAACTCTACGAAGGCCCTCCAGGAAATCATAACGTGGGTATTTGGCGATTCGTCCAGTTTGTGTCTTCACTGACATTGTACGGTATAGCGACGATGCTCCCCTTAGCCCTGCTCCTGATAGCCCAGCAGGTTCAGTCGACGCTCCGAGGTCTGTGCAGTCCTTGTGTCCCGTCTTTCTTCACTTAATGATGTGCGATACATGTCTAAAACAGGAGTGAGCACGGCAATCTCTCCGCAACGTGAGTTTTTTTGTATGAGTCAAATCGTCAATGATGCTGATAGGACATATTTCTCAGTGTATCCGGCAGCGGGGACTCCCGATCTGAGGACAGTAACCAGCGCAGTGAACCATCGACAACAAAGTAAGTTCTGTTTTCGGCTGTATGTGTATAATCTACGTCATGGCTAACTCGTCTATTTCGAAGCTCGCCAGCCAAAGATAACTCCCGAGCGCAAAATAATGTTTCCGGCGAGGGGAACTCGGCATCAGGTTCAAGAGAGCCCGAGCGCGCGGCACCATTGTCAAACACTTCCCCAAATAATGAACCCCCAACGCATGCCGGGACTTCTGCCGCTCAGCGACAGTCGCTATCCAGTGATACTCTCAACCCCGATGGTACCGAACAGGACGACCCAACATTTGACCCTTCAACGTCTGCTTCGGATCCCGCTACGTTAGAGGAAATAATCACTTCATATGAAGTACCCGAGCACTTCAACGAGACCCTTCAACGGTGAGTATAGAATTTCACGTCTGATTCGTACGTCGACTAATGCCCTGGCGTCGCAGACGAGTCAGAGCCTTGCTTCTCTACCGCAATCAAGGAGATAGCCTCTTCTCTTTGTCGTACCTTCCTTGGACGCAAGTCTGTTGGGGATCCTGGGAGAATGGAACCGCCAACAGACTTTGCATTCGAGGTCAAGAGTCCACCGCGATCACAGTCTGGCTGATAGGACACCTCAATCGACTCCATATGTTTGAGGACGACGGATCTTTCAAGCACAAGGTTTCTATTTCTGTAACTCTGTTAACGAATCATATGCTACGCTCGGGGTTCAAAGTCTTGACGGAGCTCTCCAAGCCGCCCGAACGTGAGTTCAGTACGAACTCGAACTTTTTCGAAACTAACATTTCTCTCTCAGCCGTGGATACGAGTTTTCGGCGTATCAACGCCTCGCGTTGGTTGACATCACGTAGGCCTGGACAACGAGAAATTCATGTGCGTCTACTGCCTACACTCTTTGCTGTTGCGTCCTTAGACGTCTCCAACTTCTTCTGCGAGTGCTGATATTCTGTCTGTCTTCGATGTCAGGTGGACGCCTTCCACGAATGCTACGATGCCACTCGGCGATATCAGACGAAGACCTTGATGCCTCATAAAGATGTCGAAGACTTAAAGGAGGGCGATCTGGTCCTCGTCGAAGCTCAGATATCCCGGTTCAGTACGTCGACAGATTACAGAAGTCGACCACAGGCAAAGGACAAGGCCAAAGCTCGGAATAGAGGGTTCGTTGAATGGAAGGCTATGTTCGAGCTGTCGTCTGTTTCCCTCCTCAGAGAGCGCCCAGACATTGCTGAGCAACCGTCACGAGTTATCTCGTCTGTCACTCACTTTACGGGGTCGATTTAGGCTCTTCATTTTTTTTGCCACTGCTACATATTTTTTTCTTTATACCTCTTCGAAAAACCACAAAAAAATTAGCACCATTTGTATAACATGCTCACATATAAAAAAAACTCCCCAAAAAAAAGCTCTTTGATAATACCTCGTATATCGTTCAAGTTGGAGGAGATCACGCCACCAAAACATCTGCGCCACTTAAAGACCACGCGTGCGAAAACTCTACATATTTGCCTATCTTCGGCTACATCCGATTTATCTCTATCTCTTCTACCATGAACACACCGACTCTACCTGTGGTAAGAAATAGACTAATCGATATTTACATAAACTCATGGGATTTTTAGGATGTGCTGGACCGCATGACCAAAGCTCTAGTAGCTTTGGACGCCAGACTGTCTGGGTTAACTTCTGCTGTGGATAGTATGCGCGACAGCTTTGACGACATGAAGCAGGAGATGCGCTCCTATCTGGCGGGACCTTCTGGCTGGCCTGCAGTAGAACGTCCGTCTCAGTCGACAACTACTCATCGTTCTCGCTCAGAGGATGAACCTCCCCAGGTTTGTTGCGAGGTCACTTCCTTCACGGTCAAAGACTCACATGTCTCTATAGTCGTTTCTATTACACCCTTCGATTTGGGCCGCGTCCGGATCCGGGGATACAACTACACCTCAGTCACGAGAAAGTGGTCATCGAAGGTAACATTGATGTTCATTAGGTGTCGTACAAGGTTATACTAACGGACATGCACAGTTTAAACTCACGCTCTAATTCGATACCAGCGAAACAACCCGGCGACGAATACAGAGCGACATTTCCCGTGCCCTCTGCAGCGGTGGCGTGTGTTCCATGTAGGACACGAAAATGCAAATGTATTGGCGCATCCCCGATCACCGGGGAGACATGCATGTAAGTGTTTCGGACTATAAGACCTAGTGTTCCGCACTGAACCGTCGTAGTTCATGCTATACCAGAGGGATCGAATGCTCGTACGCGACGTCAGATCGCCTTCAAGTTCCGCGCAATTCAAAAAAGTACCATGGTGCTGGATCCGATTCTGTGCTGTGAACGAACTCTCCACCCTTTTTCTTGTGACATACCCTGTTTCGATCATCTAGACCGTCCATTTGATAACTTTTTCTTGATAGGCAAATCTAGAACCGCCACCTTTCCTTCACTACTTAACTCCTTCCTTTGGCCATTGTCACAATATGCACGAACCTACCGACGCAGAGATCGCCACTGCACTATTATCTATTATCTCGGTCTGGAGAGAACGAAAGAATTTCCTACATTTCCTCCATTATTGGGTAAAATTGCAACATCCTTTGTGGCGTTTCACTTTCAAGGTTAGTAAATCATATGTATTTCAATGCGTTTGCTGATATCTCGCTGCAGAGATTGGCATCTGTTTACGCTACCCTACAACACGACCTCGTTCCTCCCGACCCAATGTACACGCCTCAGTGGTCCGGCGTTATCATTCATCCGGATGGATTCGACCTTTCACCTCTGAAGGACCCAGAATCGCTCATAGGCCATCTCGATCTGTGCCTCGTCGAGTTCGACCAGGACGGCGCAGTAACGAAACAATCATTAGCAGATTTGATTGGTAGTGCGGGTGCTACGTGCTTCACCAACGCGTACGACCGAGACTCTCGTATCGATGACTGGTATTACGCGTTCTATGCGGACATGTCAGACACTACTAGTCCTCCGAACCCTATCGCAGATATTGTGAAGCCTGCTTCAGACCCTCCTATCAGAGGCCGCGTCTTAGTTGTTCTAAACGGACCTGAAGATGGGACGTGGGAGCTGACGCAGAGGATTAGCGAGGTCGTACTGGGAAGGACATTATGGTGGTATCGGATGTCAGGAAACACGGTATGGGATGTATTCGGAGAGAGGGAGCTGCGACGTTATGTCAGGACGATGGTGTAAATGGTCGGTAGATATTCATATTGCATCTCCGCCGATTGCTCATTGCTACTTTTCTAGACGTTTGCAATTGCGTGCTCTTGTATGTATTGTGTAGTGCGAATAATCCCCGCTCAATTATATCTCTTTCCACACTTCCGCAGCTGAAGAATCTCCTTTGGCTTGTAAGCTGACCAGTCTAAGTATGTCAAGGCATTGTCTTCAGGCCGAGAACCGCCATTTGCAAACGACTGCATGAAGACAATTAGTTAGCGTGCGCATCTATGGACAGGCCCAGACCTTTGGTTGTTCCGAGGTAGGACATGATCCCAATTCCAATATTCGCTGTAATGGCGACGACTACGCAATTGAATGTACCCTGATTTTCGGCACCGCTTTCTGGCTAATACCTTGCTGAAGTATATAAGCTTCGAACGCCCATCTCTAACATGCATCCTCAACACAACACCCATGTCTACTATTCCCTGTATGCATCTTTTTTGTGTAGACTTTTTAATGATCTGACACGTCGATCACTCTTTAGGGAGAACCTCAACAACCGTCTTTCGACGCGTGCATATCCCCAAAGATGCTTCGGATCAATATGATGCACTATCAAGCCATAGGAGCTACGTTCCGATATACAAGACAGAACTATTACATTGGCTACGGGTAATTTCTGCATCGTGTAACACCCGCGAAATCCTCAACTACCCTTTCAATGTTGTGTATGGCTACTCGTTGAATCTGCCATCTCCGAGGCGAGTAGAGATAAGAGTACAAGGTGTGCTAGAGCTGGGCGCCATGGCCACCAAAGTTCGTGTATCGTATGTATGGTTCTCCTATGGAGTGTGAATTTGCCGCTCACCTTCGCTATACAGAAGAACTACATCCCTCGGATCGGATCTAGTACGATGGATGCAACTTGGATATGGTCGTCCCAAATATCGCGAGCGCTTTGAGGCCCAAATCAAAGCGTTGAGACGCATCGCAGATACTTGTAAGGTACAAATAGGCTTGTCTCCTTCAACATTGCCTCTGCCACGCTCGCTCTACCTTCGTCGTCGGGAGGATACGCCGGTAGTAAGTGTTTGCTTCTTCATCAATGTGTCGGCTCACGATGTAACTCCTTATCTAGCGACTAGAGGTCCCTGATCTCGAAATATTCGATCTCAACGAGGACACCGGTGTACTCGAGAATATCGAAGGTCATCACTTGAACGTAGGGGATTTACTCGACGTCAATGTCCATGTAGAGCCCACGGTATATCGCGGTGATGACTCAGTACCCCGTACCGTGATATACTTCTCTTTCGACAGAGTAGTAAGAGTAGCTAAGACGACAGGACCTGTGAGCATGTTTAAGATACAACTTTCGGAGACATTGACTTTACCACTCTTCCTAGCGTACCCGGAGCACCGATAGACCCATTCATAACTTTCCTCACGACTATGACATACGTTATTCGGAGAGTCAGATGCTGGGTCACACTGTAGTGAGACGCATCGACCGATATTCATCAGCCGAAGAAAGTGTGTTGCTCCTTACTACAGTTGTCGTTCGCTTACTGAATGCGAGGTGTCTATTTCAAGGACGTCTACTGGACGAATTGAACCTGGATTGGGATAAATTCTATGCAGAGCAGGATTCTGAACCATGGATATAAGATCCGGATGTTTTGTACTTCACACTCACGGATCAATATAATAAACACCCACTCACTATACATGACATTGATTTGCCCACTGCGGGCCACTGTGGCGACGATGAAACACATTGTTATTATCCCTCTCGGCAGTTGCCGTACCCGTGTCCCGGCGCGATGCAGCAACTCTGGTCTTCAATACCCTGTGATGTATACGCGAAACCTCGTTCTGGTATAGAGGTACAAGTCATTTACTGCGCCGCTCTGGACTAATAAAGGATGAGTCTCGACTCCAGAGAATGTCTTCCGTCTCTAAGTGTGCTGTGCAATGGCGAACTTGTATGACCTGCTCATATATATTTACGAGCGCGTCATGATCCTTCTTGACTGCAACATGCGACTACTAGATCTACCCCTCGAGCTGCTTATACATATTCTTTCTGCATTGACGCTAACCGACATGCGGGTCCTTATGCTCGTCAACACTGGGTGGCGTCACTTGATACAGCGATTTCTTTCTCGCAAACTCAACGTAGGCCTACGCCCCTTCGTCGGGGATCCAGATTTGCTACGGAATATACTTCGAACATCACACTCTGTCATCTCTGGATCCTTCGCCATTGACTTTGGATTCCACGGCACCATATGTCCCTCGATTCAAGTAGACGACCTTGATATATACTGTGGAGTCGCCAATGCCATAACAGTTATCGACCATCTGTGCCGCAATGAAGGATACCTCGCGCTCCCTATGACATCCCTTCCTTGCACACATTGGATAGGTGACCATGACTCTGGGATTGCATCGGTAGTTCGGATGTTACATCCTCGAGGCACAAAAGTGGATGTCATATGCAGTACAAGGATCTCTGCCTTGCATCCCATCGCATACTCCTGGAGTACACTTGCGATGTCATTCTTGACCGCGGACGGCTTTTGCTCCGCCTACTATTCCTTGGCACTGAAGGGGATTGGGTGTCTTAACCCATCGCGGCAAAACACGATCCCCTTGAAATCGCGCGTCAAGAAGTATAAAAGAATGGGGTTCCGTATCGTCGATTTCGATGACCGTGAAGTGCGATCGTATATGTTCTCTCGCACGTAGTGTATCTGTGCTGATTTGCTCCGCCAGGTGTACTCCCACCATACTTATTCTTCAGCTCTTCCGGAGGCGGCCTTGCCATCACCTCAAAAGCCGGAAGTACGTGGCACTTTCAATAATGATATCTCATATTTGCTTTATCTAACTCTACAATGCAGAACGCACTGACTGTATGGAATTGCCCCCATGTGCCTCGTCGGTTCAGCGATGTAGGATCCTTTCGTATGCACTTCGGAATTCCCTCAGCGACGACGGAAGAACACGCCTTATTCCCTTTCGAGGAGCCTGAATGGACTATGGGTGGCGCAGAATGTGGCGGCGCTTGTAGACGGAGATCACGAAGTTTAGTGAAGCCCATAACAGCGTATTTGTGATTGGATTGAGTGGGTATTCTTCTCCGTCTTTTTCTCTCTTACAGCTGGTGCACATTGTTGACTTAGAGAAAGCTAGACTCTACAAACCGAACATGCACAGGAAATTCGACGCCTTGGCAGTATCATATGCAGGCTGTGCAGAACCCTCATTTCGCGATGTCTTACGGGTATTCATATAGATAAATATCCAATCACTTAAAGTAAGTACTCCAAACTCTAGATCACTCCATTTAGACGCTAGGTCTAGACGACACTAAAGTCTTATTTGAAATTGACACTCATGCGCTTTTTGGGACGCATTCTAGGTCTTCTCTTTGCTGTAGTGGTCTTAAGCATTCAACGACGGATCCTGGGATGGGCATAACATCTTATGTCCCTCATTCGCTGTATGATCCAATCGTAACCGTTTTCCGAATTACGCTGATTTTGCTACCATTCGTCGCAGGGAAAGATACGTCTACGCTTTTACGAGCCGAGCGGACTGGCAAGACGTCCGCTTGGAACGAGAAAGACCCTGCGTCGTTCGTCCCTCAAGGAAGCCAAGAGCTGATGCAGTGGCTAAGGGTGGTCTCTACGGCGGATCCTTCTTCTTGGCCATTGAACTATCCATTTCGTGTTGTTTACGCCCATCTACTACCTTGTTTTTCTCCGCCTTCCGTTGAAGTACGTATCCAAGGCGTGATAGAAGATGGATCAGTCAAGCGAGGTGTTTGGGTGCAGTAAGTAGTTTTTATTTTTCTATTGTCCCAAATACGCTCACTGTTTGTGTATAGGCGACCAAAGGTCTTTGGCCAGGAGAGTATCCGGTGGCTCAGGCTCGGCTACGGGAAAGCCGAGCACCAAGAACGATTTCAGACCCAGCTGAGAACGTTGCGGTCTATCGCGGATACATGCAAGAGACAACTTAGCTTGCCTCCATCGACTTTACCTCTTCCTACATCTATCTGTCTTCGGCGTAGGACACCGGAATTTGTCGGTGTCGTTATCATGTCTTATTTTACTGTGTCTAACATGATATACTCCATCAGGGCGACTCTATGACCGCACCGATAGTCAATGAAATCAATGGGAAAACTGGTGTTCTCGAAAAACGTTCACTTAACGACCTTCGAGTGGGTGACATGCTTGACATCAACGTAGATGTCGAGGTGGCCGTCTATAGGGCAGAGGACTCTGTTCCTCGAACTGCGGTATATTTTTCCTTCGACAGACTTGTGAGAGTAGCACGAGCTACAGGACTGGTCGGTTTCCTTTCGCCTAATCACCACAGCTGTGTCTCTTACTTCCATTATCATAGAATCGGAGCCGTAAACTCGGTAAACTAATTTCGCACGACCTCCTTGACTTTCGTTACGTGGAGAAGGACACGATAGGACATACCATGGTGGAGCCTATCGACCAACCGTTGACTCCTGATGAAAGTATGTCAGCACCTCCTCATTGCTATTATTACTCTGCCTGATTGTCGAAGACTCTCCTTGAAGGTCTTCTCGTGAAATCACTGAATATGAAGTGGAAGCAAAAGCAAATGTCTCCAGCTTAACTTTCAGATTGTATATATATATATCCACATTAGACTCGTTTGTTAAATACTTAGATGAATACAACCTCCTCTCACATAATACAGTAGCAATGACGAAAAAGCATGTTACTTTTGTTTCTGAGTCAGTTCTGCCACTGTGGCGCATCTTATCTTATCATGGTTATCAGATCGAACCGCGTTCCGCCTTCGGCCACTTAGCTCACTCTGTCTACTTACTCTCCCTCTTGCTGAAGGCTTTGTTTTGGCTCTCTGTTGTGTCTGGGTTCCCTGTGCAATATATGCGTGCTCTAGGCTAAGGACGGTCCACGGTAGCTCTAGAAGGCATGGTGAGCCTCGATCTAGACGAGAGGTCGTTTCGTGACAATGTTGAACTGGAAGACTCGCACCCCAAAAATGGTCTATAAAGCTAGCTTGGTGATACCATGGTTCGAGTGACAATCTCATCATGCCTCTACTCGAACTACCTACCGAGATCCACATACAAGTACTTTCGACTCTGTCGCTGGCAGACATGCGCGTCATGATGCTCGTCAGTGCTGGGTGGCACCACTTAATAAAGACCTTCCTTACTCGCAAACTCCATATCGGTCTCCTTCCATACGTCGACGACCCTCCAGCCTTCCAAGACACCATGCGTCGGACACACTCCGTTATCTCTGGATCCTTCGCGCTCGACTTCGCGCTACACGGTACTACACGCCCACCCTTCGCCGTTTCCGACCTTGACGTCTATTGTGGTGTCGCCAATGCCATAACAGTCATCGAATATCTCCGCCACAAGGAGAGTTACTTAGCTATTCCACTCGCATTTTTACCTTGCGTGCACTGGATCGACGATTACGACGGTGGGATCGCGACTGTTGTTCGTATGCTGCATCCACGAGGCTCCAAGATCGATATCATATGCAGCTCCAGAATTTCTGCTCTACATCCTCTCAGTTATTTCTGGAGCACGGCGGTGATGTCGTTCTTGACAGCAGATGGTTTTTGCTCTGCCTACCACTCCCTCACCGAGCGAGGCATCTCATGTATCAATCCGTCTCGGGAAGTCACTCCCCGCGTCAAGCGGTGCATCAAAAAGTACGAAATGAGGGGTTTCCTTATCGATGACTTCGGCATAAATCAGGTGAGAGTAGAGTCTAATGCGAAAAAGAAATTCTAACTGATACGTCCCCAGACTGCTCCACACACCACTCATGTTCTTGACACGGACGATGCTTGTGCAACGCCACCGCAGAATGTAAGTCTGCACTCATGTTTTTTTGTGTTTGTTTGTTGGCGCTATCTCACTATTTGGAATAGAATGACGACTATCAATGGAACTGTCCTCATGTCACACGACGATTTAGTGATGCTGGCTCCCTGCACCTATCTTTCGGGATGCAGTTGGGTGCTACTTCATCTTCATTGCCGTTCCCTTTCGAGGAGCCAGAATGGATCATGGGGGGTAAAAAGTGTGCCGGATGTGAAAGGATATCGGGTGGTGGTGTACTGCCCTACGCGCCTCACTTTTGAGCCATGATTGTTTTCGTTCGTTGTTCGTCCGTCCGTCCGTCACTCTCTGTTTCTTGAAACCCCCACTCACCCGAATTCTGTAAAACCAGTATTATTCTTTGATATTATATGAATGTACAACATGATTGTTCTAGACCTTGTTTCGAGCTAGATCAGTCTGGTTCACCCTCAAACGATTCCAGGGTGTAGTCCAAGGTTTGTTTGGTCCGGGCGATACATAGCCACATATATATACGGTACGATCTCCAACGATTAGGTCCCATATGCACCATGTCAACGCTTGTCTGTATGTTATGTTGGTGAACTTCGCGTTGGTCTGATGTCAAATTGATCTTGCTTTGTTCTAGATCGAGGACTATGTACCCTTCTCCGCCGTTACGATCCTCCCCTTCGTGTAGTTCAAGTTCGCGCGCGTCACCCAGAAAGGCGCACGGTTCCGGACACGTCGATCGGCATCAACCACTTCATTCGCGTCATTTCGGCTCTGGATGATGTGGATGAACTCGAATACCCCTTCCATGTCGTGTATAGCTCTCTTCATCCGGTACCAATGCAGTTCAACATGCGCGTCCAGGGTGTATTCATTGACGGAGATCTGACACCTTACGGGAACTGGGCATAGTTAGTGACTCCCTCGTGACATCGCAGTTCATAAACTAACTTTCCGCATCAGTAATGGAGAAATAGGGCCAGACCCTCTTCAGTGGATGCAATTGTACTGGGGATACAGCGCCTTCAAAGAGCAATTTGAGGCCCAGAACGCTCATCTTAGAGCCGTCGTGGATGCCTGCTTCAGCCAAGTAGGACTGCCCGCTCCTCAAGCCGAGACCCCTCCCCTCCTGTGTCTTCGACGAAGGATCTTTCGCACTGTAAGACCATACATCTCTAACCACAGGAATGATCGCTGGGCTAATATCGTCTTGCAGTTGGCGGATGCTCAAGTTGGTTACGCTCTGCGGTTTGATGAACTTCGTCCGGACGGTACCCTCTTGAGGTGTGGCCCGAACGACATCTATCCAGGTGATGTAGTTGAAGCTCTGGTCACGGTGGATATCGCTGTCACACGGGCTGAAGACACCATCCCCCGAACTTCAGTCTACCTGAGTTTTAATAGAGTCACTGTCATCGCGACTGAACAAGATATGTGGACAGTACGTGTCGCAAACACATTTCCAATACCCTTCCACGCACGCTAACACAATATGCTAGCTCACGGGGGAGAAGTACGAGAGACCGGACAGGGATAGTCGTCTAGATTTCTACACAGCAGGCAATATGGGCTGGAGTGGCCCATATGCTCCCGCCATAGATCCTTGAGAAAGAGGGTGCACAGCATGGGATGCAAAGTAGGGCCAAGCGGAACCGCAACTCCACACCCTCGTTCTTGTTCTAGCTCTCCGTACGGAGCATGCTCCTTGTCGTATAAGAACTGTCCCGAACATACATCAAGTAGTCAGTATACAACTTCACTTCACCGTTTTACGTGCCCACTGTCAAGCGCCACACTTATCCATGTCTACCGCTCTCGAGAGGCTCCGTGCTTTAGTGGGTTTGATCATAGCGTTGATGGGATATAGGGCTGATTTGAATGTATAGCGCCGATCTCGTCTTCATACCCGCGACGCTTCGCCACGCCTCCTGCATCAACGCCCTCCTACTCCTTTCCCAACTAGTCCGGTTTCCCCCCTTCCTGGCTTAACTCGTTCCCCGGATCTAGTTCCATCTACACATTGTTCTTCGCCAACGGGATACTACAGACCTCCAACACCTTATCCGTCCGACGATTGCGCCTCGAGTATGACGTTCGCTCGTCCACCAACTCCCTTCCCAACCGAACCGTTCACACCCACTCCCTTGTCTCGCTATCACACGTATGACCTCACCCCTGCTCGCTGGAATGGAGGCTACCGGACCACTGTCAGTCTTATTCGACATCGTGTCTTATGTTCGCGTAACTGATACGAGCCTTGTGTAGTCTACGCGGGAGCTTCTCGTACCCAAGCGAGTCTCTCGCTCGTCAGGAGACATAACATTGAGTTCCGACGATGGGACAGATGAATCTGTGAGTTCATCGTGTCTACTCCGGGTTAGGTCAACTGTTGAACAATATTACCAGGACTCCACCGTTTTAGAATCTTCTGGCCCGTCAAGCACTTCCTCCGGCGTCGCTACGGGGCTTATCGCGCACCGCGACAACATACAGGAACACCCCATGCCCGTTGAAGACGCGACATTGCCTACCGCCATAAACGCTGATAGGTTAGGTCCAGGTGGGGGAGATGATAAGAGCGGTCGAAGCTCAGAAGGTGATGATAACATAGACAGCGTGGCTCAGGGTTCATCTTCTTCGTCTTCTTCTTTGGACGAAGAAGACATAGGAGTCCATTGGGTTAATGGCCACAAGGAGTACGAAGTGGAAAGAATTCTTGCTCATCGTATTTTTCCAGAGGCCACATATTTTCTGGTGAGATGGGCTGGATACTCGTACCACGATGATCTTTGGCTTCCGGCCAGCGACCTTAGACACGCACGACAGATTCTTAGAGAGTACAAGGATGCGGCCGGTCTCGATTGATACCGCTGCCTTTCCAATTTCTTCATAGCTTATCTCTTTTTTTGACACCCCCACTCATCGATATTCTCAATGTATACCTACGCTACTATCGGAAATCCACAAAAAAAATGATTCTTTCATCCCGACTGAGCGTGCATCGGGCTCGGGCCACGATGGGTATGCGAGTTTCGATCGGTTCCGATAGGTTGGTCGGATAAATTCGTATCTCTAGCTACTTTATTTCTCGCTTATGGGCAGCACAGGGCAGGAACCATATGGCACTCGCTTGAATCGGTACCCCTCCTAATCGAAGAAAACGTACCGAGAGACTAGCCAAATACTCTGTTGAGGCGATGAGGCGAATGGCATCACTTTGCTCCCTTTCCAGCTCAGTGATGCAAGAGCAAAGTATTTGCAGTGAATGTTTTGTCCAACCATGCATGTCTGTGTCGCAGAAGAAGGGCTAGAGCTCCCATTCATTCATTTTGAACAGTGACCGTGCTTGGTGCGACTGCGTGTTGGTGTGCTACCGCGGGAGAGCTTCCGAAGATGCTTCCGCTCCGCGGCTGCCCGCTGAATGGCGCCACGCATCTTGCCGCTGACAGAGTATCGTCCTTTTGAATCTCCGCCACTTGTCCGCCACCCCAAATTTATTCACATCGAAAGCTCTGCACAAACATCGACAATCGAGATCATGTTGGCAGACTTGTTAAATGCTGGCTGGTAGACGAACCTTGAGGTGCGCTCTCCCCAAGTCTCAAGTTCGCTGTAGTTTCGATGGCTTTGAAGACTCCTCTCGAGCACTGGCAGTCCTCTCTGGGCGTCCTTCCCTCATTCTCTTCCGATACTCAGCTTAAGCTCTCGTACACCACTATTTCTACTATGTTAACGACACTATCACACACTGTTACTCTCCAAGACCGTGAACTATCCGTTACCAAACGCGACGCGGCTCGCGCTCTGACTCAGGCGACTCAGGTCCATTTCCAGCAGTTTGCGGAGCAGGGCGCGCGTAACGCCGCCCTAGAGAGGCAGGTCAAAGACTGTCACGACCTGGTAGTCGGTCTCCTCAATCTCGCAACTGGGCTCTGTCATAACATGAGTACGTACTCGAACTCTTTGACCTAGCTTGGAGGTAGGCTGACCGACTCCGCAGACGGTACATCGTCGTATAGCCTCCATATCCGAGTTGTGATTACTCATCGCACCTGTAGACTCGGTCCGTGGTGATGTTGAGATGTACATCGCCAAATGGGCTGTATACAGCACTCGCTTTCCGGAAACGGTGATGGTGCGACCCATTTGTTTCCAAGTTATCTTCCATCGCCACTAAACAACGGTATTGTAGACCTCCGAGCAGCAGCTTAACTGGATCCGAGATCAGCCTAATGTATCCATCTTAGCGGTGGTAGACCGGTCTGGTATGCATTGCCCACGATCGTATCCGTGTCTCTTGCTGATCGTTCTTTTAGACGGCACTTCCAAAAACGAATCGTCTTTTTCAGGATCGGACGGTAACGCTGCGGGTAAGTACTGCTCATACACGCCGTTGTATTCTGTCTAACGATATATCAGAGGGTGTTATCACTTTGGAGTCCTGGCCCTCCCTTTCGCTCTCGGGAGAAAGTACGTCGCCATGTATCTGCCCTTCGTCTGCCTATTCTTACTTTCCTTTCCGCCGCCAGTCGTCCGACCAAACTCTCTGTGAGATCTCGAAGCGCTAGCGTTTTCGCCGAGAGCATAGATACGCATTCAGTCATGATTTCGTTTACGCACTGACGACCTCACGTTAATCCTTCTCTTCTCACCTCTCAAAACCATAAACAAAACGAAAAACCCTAAAAAAAACCCCGCTAATGTATACCATACACAGTTTTGATCTTATACACTCTATCTATACCTCATCGAAAAAGATATCGTTCGTTTCTCTTCCATCGACCCGTCCGGCCTGAGGCGAGCCCGTGAATCGGATGTGAGAGCCAAGAGCAGGGGCTGCACTTCGAAGTCCAGACTAACTTTCGAAAACGATCTCGGGTCAATTATTCATCATCCTTGGCTTCAGGAAGATAGAAACGAATCTAAGAGTGAGATGCGATTTTCAAACCGAGCAAGGTTCCATTTGCTACCTGTATTGCCTCGTTACGTGGTACTGACTGCGTCTAGGTTTTAGGGTGCCGGTGTACCCCTTTAAAAGACCAGACGGAGAGGCCGATAACGCTGCCGTTCGTCCCCTCCCCACTTTCCTCCTCCCTTTACCTTTACTCTGTTTTCTTAATTTATTATTCATTGTGGATAAGCGATACTTCCCCTTCTCCACCGTCTCTTCTCCAGGCCCTTTGTTATCCCTTTTCGTTCTCTCATCTAGGTCTTCGTACAAGCCCGAGCGACATGGAGCATCAACTCCGTCAGCTTCTTGCTCGTGAAGAACAATGGGCTCTTTACGCAGACGCTTCCGAGGATAATCGCCGTGTACTGGAGTACAAGCTACATGTAGAGAAAGGTGAACGACTCAAGCAGGACACGGAGCTTCTGGTTCTACGGAGGGAGGTAGGCCCTGCCGGTCTTGCTATGATCAGGAATAGAATCAGGGAGCCCATCTTGAGGGTGCGTATCTCCGTACGGTTTGTATTGATAAAGTTGATGTTGCTAACATACCCGCCGTCAAAACAGCCTACGGAATTATCGATGTCTGTTCCACCATTGAGACTAGACCCTCCCTCATGTGCGTAAATACACATATTGATCTGTATCAAATATCCGATCTCATCGTGATTGAATCAGACGAAGAGTCATCGCCTGTGCTGTCCAGTTCGTTGCACAGTTACTTCAAGTAGACACCTGCTGATTCTTTTATACAGGGATGCTTCCTTCTCGACCGCTGTCCATCCGAAATCCTTCACCCCCTGTTATAACGCGACCTCTGCCTTCGCAAGTATCATACGTTCGTATGTACAGCCCGGCATCTCATGGTCTGATATGTGGTATTGATGCGATTGTATTTCTAGGGAATGAACCGCGTCCGATCTCTTCTGGTAGGACTTCTCCTCCCGTAGCTTCTTCGTCGAGTAATGTTTTCTTTCTCTTGAATGTTGCGTTTATGTCTAATGTCAATTATCTCTAGAAAACCCTATCCAGATTCGTACCGACCTCAACCCTCCTCAGGCACCAGCGTCACCGTCCTCCCTTCCAGGTAAAGCATCCTCGCCGACTCATGATTGTTAGTCGCTCTAATTGTACTCAACGTGCACTATCTCACTGCTTTCTCGTTTCAGCCTCTGTTCCGGAGTCTGTTCGGAACCAAAGCACTCTTCAACGTACGTCCTGTATGTAAATGTCGAATGTGCGCTCTAACCCGATTGCTCACAATATTTTCGTCACGTCAGGCTTGCGTCAGCGGAAGACTGATTCGGGTAAAAATCAATCTGGCGGGCCTTGTAACGAACCGGCTTGTACTATCTGCAAGCGCGAGCAGTCTTGATGATGGGTGAAAGTATGCACTTACGCCACGCATGACCTTTATAGTCCTAGGATCGAATTGGACATTGCACGCACATTAGTTTTGTCATAACTTTCTCCTATACCGATATAAAACCCACGTCTTGTTTGCACCAAAAATAGAAAAAAACCTTTTGATGTTTTAAACGAATATGTGGCGACTGACATCATTGCGTGGCGTTGAATTCGACCTCGGAACCATCGGGTATGGCCGGGTCTGACGAAGCTACTGAGCGGAGTTTGAAAACCGCGTCGTATCAGTTCAACAACAGCACACCTCATCTCAATTCCGCCATCCATACGCCGGCACGTAGAGACAGTACGCGCAACTTCATTAGCATTGCTGAAAGGTCACGCTAGCAGGATTCTACACGCACAGAGTTACCAAATGAAGGTCAGAGATCTCGCCTATTGAAGCCGTTCTGTTTCTGACTCGCCACGCATACTTACAGGAAAAGCAGGGAATAAACGAGTACATTATTCGTACCCTAAACAATGTTATTGATACATGAATGGTGATCCATCAAATCAGCACTTGCGGCATGTATGCATGCAAACTTTTCATTCCAGCAACCATAGTGGGCCGCTCGTACGTGCCGCAGTGAGGCGATCATCAAAGATTGCGACGCATAGGGCGCTAACCAAACACTATGAAGACGTGAAAATTGTGTTCGGGTGCGTCAGAATCTTAGGGTCAAAGACACGCCGCACTGCAGACCTGGTGATTTGTTGGTCACCCAAATCTTGACCACAAGCAGGAGCTCCGAAGCCTATCGCGATGCCTCAGGTATTCGTCATAGAACAGCAGATAAATCGGGAATATACTCCAAGCAAGGCGTAGAGCATACGCAGTCGAAGATAACGACGACTCTTCCTGCAGCACGAAAGCACCAAAGGACGTACCCAATAATCTGCTGCAAGGTGAGTCAACATTATCTTTCAATGCTCGAAAAATAGCGGCCGCGTACTCACCATGTGCCTTCCGCTGAATTTATTTACAGGACATAATACATATCGAAGTCGTATCAGTACGTGGAACGCTACGCACCTATTTGCCTTGCGTGTCCACATTTCGGGCAACTTTTCGATGTCACCACCGTCGCGCTCGAAATCATTCCATGGTGCGCTAGACGGAAGTGTGCACCCTCGAGGAACGTATGTCGTTGCTGGGGTACATCTCCAAACGATCCAAATGGACGAGAGTTTCTCGCGCATTCGCAAGTGGGAATAAGCCATGTGGCGCGCATGGACGCCACTCTTATTTGGGTACTTCCCATTTCGTCGGCAGCCCATCCTCTCCGCCGCCCATCCCTCCTCTTCTCATCCAGCCACCATCTGCATTGTCCAGACTACTCTGCTCGTCTCGTCTCATCGTACTCGTCTTCAAACTAAGGCTTACCGTCCCCTTCGTCTTCGATACCGACGCCATCGAACGCGACAACACTTGCATCCCTTATACGTCCTTCCTTACTCTCACGCCTTTCGATGCGGGAAATAGGCATGGACCCGACTCAGGTGTCCTCAATGCGGACCGGATGGGCAGCTTATATTCCGGAGGGGATTCTGACCTGGTGTATGCAAGTTTGATACCATCGCCCTCTGGGCACAGCCTGGTCCCACCATTTTCTTTTGCCAGTCGTGTTCGGGATTCTCCGAGGGGCGCCACTCTGTTTCCTCAAGCAATGTGGCGTTCTACCTGAGGACGAAGATTACTAGCGTATTTCGTGGTACACAACATGTATTTATGTACGAAACAGTAGACAATACACACGTAATACAGCAGACGCAAGCCAGAACGACAAGGCAACAAAGCAGACAATAAAGCGAAAACAAAACAACACATAGCTAGACGTATGACGAAAACACGACAACAACTGTGGACATTGAAACGCGACGGCGTAGTTTTAGAAGCAGGAAATATCGTTCCTTGGTGAGACGCGAGGGCGGGTCGGAATCGCGGAGCCTAAGACCAAGGAAGAAAGGCTAGTACGCACGGCGATTGTAAGATCGACTGACGTTCGCGTACCCAGACGGTGTATGAGAAGGCTTACCGATGTACATACGCCCTGCCAGCATCGCGAACAATCAGTATAAGTAAACAGACAAAACCAAAAAGCACGTACCAGAGGATCAGATGTGGGCTGTACGGTAGAATATACCGTTGACAGTCAATTTTACCGTCAAGTGAGGCTTGACGGCCTGCCTCTTCCTTCTATCCCTCCTCTTCCTTCTATCTTTCTTCGAGATGTGGTATCCCGACCGGCTACGTAGCGTATTAAGAACGCATCGACGCATGCAAAAGAAGTACTGACCAAATGTAACTATCGACGTCTGCGTTCGTCCCCGCGAACACCCTCTCCGCCCAGTCGGCGCACTCTCCCATCGTGCGGAGAGCGATCCCCAGTTTCGTCGGATGCGTCCACAGGCCGCGAGCAAGGCGAACGGTGATGGTAGGCGCCATTACGAAGTGGACTTCCGACAGGACTTCCAAGGTAAGTTGAGGCAGCGTTCGTTCCAGGTTCAACGGCCAGATAAAAGGAGAGAATTGAATCTGCGTACCTTGCCCATACGTTCAGGTCAATGGCCCAATATGCCCTCCGGGTGGTTCCTCCTGCCAAACTGGGTACACTCTCCCTGCTAGTGGATAAAGGTGGTCCCAGATACTCTCCTACATCAGTGCCGCTACTCATCGCCATTGGAACTGACAATTGGCAGAGAAGGAGTGGTGATGGTTTTCGTGAAGGGTTAGACTTCGAGTCGTCACCCTCGCTCTTACATCCTAGCCACGTATGCACACTGTGCTAGCGCCAAAGTAAGACAGATGTCGTCAGGAACCAGCTAGGCTTACATAAAATGTTTCTGGCTTGTGATTGGCTCCGAAGCATCTCGAAGCCTCTGCAGCCAATCGCGAGCCAGGACAATTTTATGTAAGCCTTGCTGGTTCCTAATGACATCTGTCTTATGCATTATTTTTAGGCTCCATCTGTTGCAATGATGAAATATCGCGAAGCAATTGTCTCCAATGGAGTTGTTTGAGCGCTGGAGTCGAACTCTGTTGTAACTCAGGCGGCTTTTTGAAGGATCGGTAGGAAGAGAGCCTCGAGTAGGCTAGTTGCAGTCTGCGAGCAGTTTCTGGATGAATTGTGCTGTATCACTGTATAGTATGAGTTCATCCAGTGTAACGATAATCCGAGTGATGGTGTAAAGAGTTATGATCGCTCTTCAGTTTCGGGACTCGGAGTGAGCGAGTGGAGGTCCACCTCGTACAATTGCGTGGATTGCACTATATAATTGTCGGTAGATAATAAGGCGAGATGGCCGAGCGGTCTAAGGCGCCAGACTAAGGATCTGGTCTCTTCGGGGGCGTGGGTTCAAATCCCACTCTCGTCAATGTCGAGCAGAGTGCTCTTTTTGTTTCGCCTTAAGTACCTCATTTCCGTCCTGGGCCTTATATATTGACCTTAAATTGCGAATACATCTGAACTTTTTCCCAACCATGACTTTACACGGCTGCTATCAGGCGACACCGAGCATACTCAGACATCTCATCATTACTTGTATCACATATTCTCGTATACGTCTTCAAACGCTCCCATTTCCCAATTCCCCACCAACGACCACTTCCTTCCCCACTTTGCTCTCAATGACCTTCTTGACCAGCTCGATGTCTGGCCTCTCGACGTCAATTACCCTCTTCTCCCTCTCCAGAAGCCCCTTGAACTCTTCGGGTAGCACATCGCGAGCGAAGTCGAAATTAGAGGAGTTGCTAAGGGCGGTGGTGACAGCTTCGGAGAATTTGGCTGGGTGGGCGGTGGAAAGGATGATTTGGACGGTGGATGCGGAACTGAAGGTGGTTCAAGTGTCAGAAGACGTACGGCCGAAAGGAAGTGAAGCAAAGGGGGACATACTTGTTCTTCGAGACGATGTCCGCGGCGGTGATCCCGACAGCGGTGTGAGGATCTGCGACATATGATGGAGAGCCACTATAATATGAACGAATGGTCTCCAGCGTCTAGATAAACCAGGACTATCAGATTATGGCCCCTGCGTGGAAAGGGAAGAGAAGACAAACCTGCTCGTCTGAAATTCTCTCCGCCAAGAAATCCTTCCTCGCAAGCTCAAGTGCCGCAACGGGGACCTCAACTCTCCCATCGGTCTTGACCTTGCTCATCCAGCTGTCCAAAGTTTGGCAAGCCTTCTCTCTCCTCTTCTCGTCGCCTCCTTCCACACTCGTAGCACCATACGCTAGGTACCATAGCAACCTCTCGAAGTTACTTGAAACAAGGATATCCATCGCAGGGCTCAGCGTCTCCTTCACGCCTCCCCCCGTAACCTGTTTCCCATCCGACGCACCCGCTGCAGGCTCCGTCGCCCCATTCGCCTCACCTGCCGCCGCTGAATCCACCTTCTCATACTTCCCACTCTTCCAAAACCTAGCAAGAATATCGTTCGCGTTCGTCGCCACCACCAAACGAGACATGGGCAACCCCATGCGTTTGGCGTAGTACCCTGCGAGTATATCACCGAAGTTGCCAGTAGGTACGACGAATTGGAGTTCGAAGGAGTTGGGGTCGGAAGGGAGTTGGGAGCGGGTGTGGAAGTAGGCGAGGAAGTAGTAGACGGTTTGGGCGAGAATGCGGGCCCAGTTTATGGAGTTGACTGCGCCGAGGCGATGTTTTTCGTTGAAGGCACGGTCGCCGAAGAGGGCTTTTACGATATCCTAGCGAGAGAGGAGTGAGGTCGGACATGAGATACAGTGATCTAACCGAAGGAGACGTACCTGGCAGTCATCGAAGGTACCCTTGACGGCAATATTGTGCACGTTGGCATCGGTGACAGTGGTCATCTGTGCCTCCTGAATAGGAGAGACACGACCTTTTGGGTGAAGAATGAAGATGGAGACGTTAGCCTTGTTCCTCAGGCCATAGATGGCAGCACTAAAACAATTCATCATGTCAGCAACATATCTTCATTTTTCAGGTAGTTTGGCCTACGCACCTGCCAGTATCTCCACTCGTAGCACCCACAACAGTCAACTTCTCTGGGACTTCACCCTGTGCTTTCTTTGCATTCCTCCTCTCCAGGAAAAACTCGAACAAGTTGCCTAACAGCTGCAACGCAACGTCCTTGAACGCGAACGTCGGCCCGTGGAAAAGTTCCAGGATGAACTTCTTGTCGTTCAGTTTATGCACTGGCGTAACATCTGGATGTCTGAAAGTGCTGTAGGACTTCTCAACGAGTCGGCGGAGCTCAGCGCGAGAGATTTCGTCTTCGGATATGTAAAGGGAAAGAATGGCGACGGAAAGGTCGACGAAGGAGTAGTTGGCCCATTCGGTCTGCCAGTTTTCGGGGAGAGTGGGGATTGTTTCTGGAATGTAAAGACCGCCGTTGGGTGCGAGACCGGTGAGGACTGCCTACTACACAAGTCTTCGTTCAGAGCTTCAATCACGATGTTCGAAGATGACCAAAGAACGAATTGACCTCTTCAAATGAGAGCTTAGTCTCGCCTCCACGCGTAGAGAAATACTTCATGATAGGATTTTAGAAAGGGGAGCTGTGCTGGCAAGAACGAAGGACGATATCCGAGTCATCGACACTTTTTGAGCTTTGAATTTCGCCACAGTGATCGACGCACAAACGTGCTCGTGGTGCCACTGTCGGCTTTGCAAGTCGGGCGATCGTCGGATTTACCTTTTCTTCTTACACCGTCGCCACAGTCACCTCTTTGCTTCGATTGGACAACCATAACGAAACGGTCATGGACTTTGCTAGGTAACATTTTATGCCTTGGAGGAACTCTCTGCACTGTGCTTTGTTGCTCTTGCGAGCTCTTAGAGATTTACTAATGAGCAAGAAAGGCGACTGTACACAATGCAGAAAGTTCCTCGATGATATGGAGTGACTGGCATCGTCTCCTGGACCGCTAGTGGATAATTCCTCTACCTCTGGTCCCACGTACTTTTCCTAATAAAATGCTGGTATCTGTCTTGATGTGAGTCGTTCGGCCACCCGACCAGGAATTTTGACATTCTCCAACAGGGTACAGAGTTACTCTTGTATTTCTATGTTCCTGCAATTCCAGGATCGAACAAACCTTCATCGTCGAGGCTGCTCGCCAGCCGCCACATAATTGACCGCGCGGTCTGAAAGCCACGAACCCCGTGCTTCATCTTCCCAATGCAAAAGCAAGCACGTCTGGTATATTTCTACAGCTGCTCGCACGGTACCCGTTCTACATACAACAACAGAGTTTTTCTTCTTCTGGACACCGCGCCACACGCGCACCCCGATAAAGATAGCAGAAACAAGGAAGACATACAAACGACAACAGATAAGGCGAAGGATCACGCCTGCTTGCGCTGGAGGCTCTTCGGGAGCTCCTTAGCCCATGGGAGGAAGTCGCGTCCTTGCATGTAGGGGCGGAGAACCTCGGGAACGACAAGACCCTGTAGGATAGCGGGACATTAGACATGAAGACCGATGGGATCAAGGATCAAACGTACGTCAGGTGTCTGATAGTTCTCGACGAGACAGCAGAGGGCGCGCTCGGTGGCGCAAAGAGTGCCGTTGAGCATGTGAACGTAGACTTTACGGGTCTGATCGCTCTTCTTCAGACCACAGCGAACCTCCAGCCTTCGGCTCTCTGCGTGCCAAACTCAGCAACTGTAAGCAGGGATGTGGGTAAGAGGCGCCACTCACGATAATCCGTGCAATTCGAGCACGACACCAACTCCTTATAAGCTCCTTGGAACGGGAACCAAGCCTCCAGATCAAACTTCTGCGCCGCCGCCAGGTTCAGAGCACCCGAAACGATGCCCACGACCCTATATGGGATGCCCAAGCTCTGATAGAACGCCTCGCTGTTCGCCACCATCGTCTCAAACATCTCCCACGACTTGTCCGGGGCGGTGATGCAGAACTGCTCGACCTTCTCGAACTGGTGAACGCGGAAGATGCCCCACATGTCGCGTCCTGCAGAGCCAGCTTCTTTGCGGAAACAGGTGGAGTAGCCGGCGTATTGGATGGGGAGTTGGGTGTCTGGGGATTCAAACCATTCGTCGGAGTGGAAGGCGGAGATAGGTTGTTCGGAGGTGGCAATGAGGTATTTTTCGTCGTCGCTGGCGATGACCTTCGGTAAATTTATCCGTGAATTTTACGTTGAGACTAAGCGATACAGCTGAAGATAGAGCATGAAAGGAAAAGGACGACGCACCTTGTAGAGCTCCTCATCGAACTGATCGAGCTGAGCAGTCTTGGCCATTTGGTCCTTGTTCATCATGAATGGAGGTTGGATCTTCTTGTAGCCTCGTTTCCTGAGGAAGTCGAGGCCGTAGGAGATCAGAGCCTGGTTAAGGTCGATACCGTCGTTGGTGAGGTAGTATCCTCTGTGGCCCGCGATCTTAGCACCTTCAGATGAATACTTGGTCAGCACACGAGGGACAGTCATGCGAAACAACTGCATACCTCGGTCAAGATCCATCGCATCCAGTCGGAGCAATACTTCATGATGAGGCATGATATTCGTCTTCTTCTCCACCTGTGCGTTTGGGCCGTCTGGATGCCAGAGCTTCAGAGTGGTGTTGTCGTCCTACCGAACTCTCTTTAGGATCCGTCGCGTTCTGGACAGGACAATGAAACCACGTACCTCAGTCAGACTGACAGGGGCGCCCTTTCCGACGATGTTTCCAATGGTAGAAGCCTTCTGCCTCATCGTCACCTCAAACTCGCGAGTCTCCTTCCGCTTAGCCTCGACCTGCGCATCAAGAGCTTTTTTCTGGGCCACAAGTTCATCCGCGTTCTCTTTTGCCTTTATACAAGGGTAAGTATGAATTCAACGGATAGTTAACGAGCAAGGATATCACCTTCTTTTTGGATCCTATCTGTTTCTGTATCGCGTTGACATCCTTGCTCAACGCATTTGCATCAAAGTCCACTGTGCATCACACGAGGTTTGATTGAGCATTCCCAATTGTAGCAGGCAGTTGGACGCACTCTTCACCCAGTCCGCGTACATTTGGATAACCTCATCGACCAGCTCGACTGAGTGTCCACGTTTTCGCTGTGACTCTCTGATCTCCTCCGAGTTGCCACCCTTCGAGTCGATAAAATGCAGCACGTCCAAAGTCATCGTGTATTCCGGTAGTCAAGCCCGAGCTCTCAGCAAAGAAAAAATGTCAGATGCGGAGGGCTATCAAGAGCGAGGATCAGGTTGGAGAACACGAGAGTGTGCTGGCCAGCAGAGCAGAGACGTTTATAACTTTTGCAGAAAGAGTAGCGAGTCAGAACGGTGCAATCGATTCCATGCAGATGGGTATTTTGCACTGGAGAAATTCCCCGAGGATGATAAGTCTGATTATGGATAAGATAACCTCGGTTACACGCGCAAAGCACGTTCGCGTCCCGCTCGTTAAGATTGTTCGGTCTCCGCTGCTTCGAACGTCTTCCATCCATCTGTCCTCACCCACTCCTTTGGCTATCTTTTCTACTCAAGCAAGTTCTCAGTCTTCTAAACGAAACAAACATCTTCACGAAACAATGTTCAAGCTTCTCCGTCGCATTTCTTCTTCCATATACCCCCGACCCGACAGACCCTGGAGCGACGATGGTATGTTTAATACATTTCACGCACGACGCTGACAATGTGGCCCTCAGTTTCTCAGCGATCTCTGATGTCCTTTTTTGGTGTCCTATAGCGACCTCCAACGCGCCTACGATTGGCAAGAAGCGTCGGATGGACGATGATGAGGATGAACCTATGGAGGCCGAAGGTTCTACTCGCAAGCGTCGCGGCCAGATCGAACGCTCCGACACCGACGAGTTTGGAGCGAAACCTGCTCCCAAAGAGACTGACCCGGATGTCAAGGAGATGACGCGGGGCGTGAAGGACGTCGAATTGGAGGATAAGGTCCAGGAGGGAGAAAAGGTTGACAGCCCGGCGGATGAGGAGCAGGAACCCGCGGGTGGCGAGGCCAAGGAGCCTGAGGCCGCGAAGGTGGAGGAGGTTCCTCAGAAAGAAGCCGAGGGTGCTGTGGACATCGAGGCGAAGGATAAGGGCAAGGGTAAGGCCGTGGGCGAAGTTGTCACGGAGAGTGGCACAGTCCCCGATGGTCCCGCCACGGTCGAGGCTCAGACAGAAATTACAGCCGAGTCTGCTCCAGTCGAGACCGTTACTCCTTCATCGAGCGATGAGCTTAACGCTGCTGCCGCTGTCCCCATACCCGCTTCGCCCACCCGCGACCCTGAAACTTCGTCAATTACCAAGGAAGTTCAACATATCGAGCATACGGACGAGGGTACCATTGAGACCGTTTCCCCTGCTGGTCCTGCCACCGATATTTCTATCTCTGCTGCATAATGTCTTGTGCGTCTTCCCAACATTTTTATTCGTCCGTCTATTGACCATCTAAGACAGATACCACATATCTCTGTCATAAAACCCACGAACTATCTCATCCAACTTTTCCTTGCATGTGTCCATGTGTACTCTCTCTGGTTGACAGTTGTACGAGGCGCATAGGATGTTCGCCGTTTCCATTCTTCTTGATCTGCGGCCGCTGATTTTTCTGCTTATTTGTTTATTGTTATCACATCCCATCGTTCTCGGCCACTGCTATCTTCTAACCCTGTACATACTTTTTTGTTTTCTCCAACATGGCGACACATCATCTACACACTCAAGTACCAAATACACTCATTATCAACTCGCTCATCAGCGTCATTCTTGTCTTCTAACTATTTCTCTCTCTCATTTATGTGGTTTAATCGATGTTGTTTTTCACTGTTCAGTCGTTTTGCTCTGCAATCATACTGTCGCGTCTATCCCATCTCTTCGTCCATGGCATCGACTCCTTCGATGAATTTCTCGTCCCTTGATTATTTCATCATTTGAGCGTCATGTCACGGTTCAAGTGTTCTTTCTCTTTTACGCCCCTGCCCTCGCCTCAGCGTTGTCCGTGTTACTAATCCCGCTCACTGAGAAAACAGCTGTGCTAACAGTGAGTTTTCTTTTCTGGTTTTGTATAACATATTGTGGTGTGCAGCTGACTGAAGGCCACTCATATAGTTTCGCACTACAGCACAAGTCATTGACTGGACCAAACATTTCCCATCATCGTTCGGCTTGTCATCCCCCTATCAAACCCACCCACTAGATCGATGCGTTCGGCGGGCGTAAACCACTAGCAAGAATCGTGGTAAGTGGCGATCAAGCGCAAACTGGTCGGTATATCAAGACTCACTCCGTGAGTTATGATTCAGGACCAAGGAGTCCCCGTGATAGCCTCCTTCTCAACTAACTGCTGGAGAAAGTGGCCGTTTGACCTATATTAATACGAGCGTAGTTTCTCGGTCATTTCGTTGGCGACGAATGGAGGTAACGTTCTCTTACCTCCTTGACAGCCTTTTTTACTCGGGCTGTCAGGCTCTGGATGGCCAACTCCATGTCTTCCCCGCCGTGCGCGGCGCAGTACGGGCATTGTGCTACCATGCGCAAAGACGGATAGGTAGTCACCCCGCGAATCGTGTCCCAGTGGGGATCCTTCTCCAACGCTAACGCGCATCTGCACAGATAATCCTTGACCCAGTCAACAGCGTTGATGTGGTCATAAACCGGGTTGCCTTTGAGGGAGATCCTGTTCAGGACCATGTCTTGCGTCCGTGCACAGACACAGTCCGGGAACCTCGTCGTCAGCCTTGAGACTCCCCAGCCCCCAGCCCCAGTTTCCACCGACATCCACCTTAGCTCGCCTGCTTCTGCCACGGCCGCCGCGCTGCATTCTTGCCGCCACTCCTGTAATGCTCGTAGCTCGACGGCGGTCATGCCTCGCAACGCTTCGTCGGGAACGGACGACGACGGAATGACGAGAGGTTTTTTGAGGATGGCATAGAGGGCCTTGTCGACGAGCTTCGACAGGTCTCGTTTGCGGGCGATCGCCCAGACTACGTGTGGCGTGTCGTCTACGATCCGACTCAGCGCCCGCTCGATGGTACGAGAAAAACCTTCGATGATGTACTTGTCCAGGACGGCAATCGCTTTCAGGATGTCGGAAGCAGTGGACAGAGGAGGGTTGTCGGTAGGATAGATGAGCTTGAAAAGGATATCCAGCGTTTGATGGTCTTCGGAGAGGCGTATGATGGGATGGCCGTCATGAAACTGCTGGGCATTGTGTTGAGACGGCGCGGAGGGTGCTGGTGCTGAGAACATCTCCTTGAAGACGACGGACGCGAGAGAGAGGGCTGACCGATGGACGGCGAACTTGTGGTCGTCGGAAGAAATGATGACGACGTCGGCGTCGACTGCGTCGAAGGAAAAGGGTGGGCTAGGTGAATGATTCGCCGCACGTTCCACTGACTCTTCTGCGGTCCAGTCGAGGGTAGAGGTAGACATGGTCTTCCGGATGAAAAGGCGATGAGGGTGTCGGTGATCGTATCGTTTTCGCTGATACTTAGTGCAAGCCAGAGATTGACTGTGGTGAGTAGCGCGTTCTTTATTTAGTGCTCATTGATGCCCTCGTGCCGTCAATGCTCACAGACCACGCCACAAAAATTGTGGATCCTGCACGAACGTTAAGATTAAGATTAATGGCGTCGGTGTTGGGGAGGAAAGGAGAATCCTCCTTCAACCACGGCGAGTTCAAAGTGCCTTGGACATCGTTCAGGTGATTCATGAAGACCCAGCATGGCCATGGTTTCTCGTGGACGACGGAAAGGTGAATATCAAGACACTCGTGGGTTGGTTGGTGTACTGCAGTATAAACCCTAAACCATATTTCTCACGGAATATGATTCGTATGAGAATTATAGATAGATGGCTAGCATATGCCGTCGATATATCTGATGCGTAGTGAGACAAGCCTCATGAAGTCACCCCCGAAGGTTGTCCACTTCCGAACAGTCAAGGGTTGGGAACTGTCGAAAGTGATTATTCTTGGAGTGTTTCCCCGTTACCTGTTGTGATATTTGTTAGCGCAGTCTGACCACGAGGGTGCGATGGAGGGTTTCCACTCTACACAGATGCATCCACGAAGTTAAACGCAGAGTAGACAAAACAACTCCATCTATACAGGGAGCTCGATCTGCAGGTAATTCTGTTGTCAAATTCAGGCTCGAGAACGTGTAGAGAGAGACGTAAGCTACCTGCTCGATAGAACGCCTTATATGTTTAGCAAAGTATGCCGCTAAATTGTCCAACTCCTCTGATGCCCTCGACGCGCACATATCGCAACTATCAGCCTTGGCGGCTGAAGACCGGATGGATACATTGGAGACGATGTTCCAATGTGGAGTGTCTCTCGCTACCGCTTCGCAGCGAGAGATGAAATGCGATGTCCATTCTGGAACGTAGATGTGTCGCTTGCGAACTTGTCCACTCGGCAAGGGTCCAGGTACCTCGATCTTGTGAGATGAACGGATACAAATGCACCCAGACGGGCTATCTCCCCACTTCGCAACTCCTTGCTTCTCCTTCCCGCACGATGCCTGAGCCCAAGGCTTCTTTGCCCAGTCAGGCTTTGCCAGGGCCGACAACGCCGCTTGACTGCAGTCTCGATGATAGACCAAGATGCGACGATATTGAGCGGCTGTGAGAAGCTCAAGGTCTTCGTCGCTAAGGGCCGACGATGAGAGGATGGCGTGGGACTTGAGCGTGAAATGCGCGGCCTCCACACGAACTTCCTTAGCTATATGGTGGCGGAAAGCTAGACCCAGAACGACATGTGGCGATTTTTCTGAGAGATTTAGAAGAGCAGCCGTGATGGTATTTGGATAGTCTTCGATGAGATACTTGTCCATCGCTCGAATGACTGAAATTGTGTGAGAGCGACCAGAGATCGTCGGCGGATCTCCGGGGTAGATCAACTTGAAAAGCGTAAAGAGAGTTGATGAGGGCTCTGTCAAGCAAACGACTGGAAGCCCGTCTTTGAAGTCATCGGAAAGCTCGTCATTCTGTTCGGCTAAGACGGGATGCTGCTGGACCATACTGAACATGTCTTTGAACGCGACGGATGCGAGTCCGAGGATGACGCGGTGGACACGAAAGTCGTATCCATCGGAGGAACGAACGATAATGTCGGCGTCTGATGCAGCAAATGGAGCACCGAAGTTCTGGAATTTGGTGGGTAAAGAAGGGGAGTTTGAAGAGCAGGGTATTGATGACGACATAAGAGCTTGATTTTGGTTTGGATAGTCGAGGACTGCAGGTCGCGGTGAAGATTGATCGTAGCCGACGAGTCGGAACACGTTGCGAAGTTCCAAAGGGCTTCAAACTCCGATTATCTCCGCTGCAGATCGCACAGAGTCGGTGTCTTCCAAAACTGCTGTGAGGATGTGCCCACTGCTAACTCTACCGAATTGTTGTGCTCAAACGTTCCATCGCTACCGGCACTGAGTGATTTATTGTGCGAATACTGAGTAGTCTCAAGTTCGAGTCCAAGCCCTTTGACCCCTCTTCTTTTCGGTCGAATCGCTATCGTCACAGGGTCCAATGTCTCTCTGCCGCACCAGCCACAAAATTTGAGAATTGCTGATGTACTTATTCCGAAAATGTAAAACAAGAGGATTCTTATCATATACAAATGCAGGCGATTGGATCTTCTCTTCGTCGTAATATTCATGTATCGTACAGACTCTATTAGTGCCAATGATGCGAGCTCTGAATCCAAAGATCCCAATGCTTCTCTTCCCCTAGTGCTCGTATAATAGTCAGTTGTTTTTCCACTTACACCGAAGCATCCGGTATGAACATTCACTCACCCGCTGATGAGTACTGGGTGAAACTTCTTGGGCTAGGCCTTCAACTACACGGGTAATTTGACCTGTAAAAAGCCATTCAGGTCAGTGTTCATGACGATGCGATTCCTTGAATGTATGATACACACCTCATCGATCGTTTGCTTCACTTCTTTGAAAAGGTACGCTGTCAGCTCTCGTAGCTCTCCCTCCGCCTTTGGTCCACAAAATTCACATTCACGAGTCTTTTTGGTGGTGGAAAGAATGGGTGCGTTGGCTAATAATTCCCAATGAGGAAGGATTGTCATTCTCCTTTCGCACCAATCGATAAACTCTATAACCCAGAGGGCCAGGTAAACCGTTCGGGTGTCATTCTCTGACTTGTTGGAGGATCGCGCGCCAATCAAGCGTGGGGTGCGAATGCAAATGCAGTCATCTGGTTGCTTGACCCAGTACTGATTTCCCCCTCGAGTCTCAACCCCACAGGAGACCTCAGCCCAATCTAACCCAACCCAATCCATCCTCTTTACGGCAGCCGAGGCCGCAACAGTGCACTGTTGATGATATAATAAGATTCGGCGGAATTGGGAGGCAGTGAGGAGCTCTAACTCGGCATCTGGGAGACGGTTCGGTTGGAGGACTGCCGGGAGTTTGAGCGTAGAAAGTGCTGCCGCCTGCCGAATATCGAGGGCCAAACCATGACGAAAGACAAGCGCGAGTACGGCATGTGGTGCTGACTTAGAAAGGGATAAGAGCGCCGCTGTGATAGTTTTGGGATAACTCTCGACCATGTATTTGTGCACGGCTTCTACAACAGCGATCGTATTCGCACGGCCTGCGATTTCAGGTGAATCCCCGGGATAAAGCAGCCCGAGTAGTATGCGTAAAGTGTTCGACGTTTCTGTGAGACGTACGATGGGTAGACCGTCTTTGTAGTCGTCTGTGCTGTTGCTGTCGGTGCCGGTAGAAGGGAGGGCTAGCTGTGGCTGCGCAGCAAACATCTCTTTGAACGCGACAGAGCCCAGGCGGAGAATGGAGCGGTGGACACGGAAGTCCCAATCATCCGAAGAACGGATGATGATATCGGCGTCTGGAGAGTTGAACGGAGGATCGGCAGCAGTCTTGAGCAGGGTTTGAGTCGAAGGTGAGGTAGGAGTAGGAGGGGTAGTCGACGACATGGTCTTGGCTTCGCGGGGGGTTGGGTGGGGTGTCGCTACGAGGGTCCTGAAGGAACGATTAGTAGCAGCGCGATCGATGTCTTAGGATCCCTATTAATGGAGCCACATATTCTCACGCAAAGACATAACACCGTATTTATTCGGAACACATGCTGATAACGCAACGTACAACAAGTTTTTCATCTCGTCGACCTACTCATCATCTTGTCCATCACAAGAAATCCACGTTGAGTCCTACAGGGGAAACATTTGAGGAAGAAGTAAGGAAAAGATACAGAAACCGACCGTATAATAGTCGCCAAAAATCAAAAGGATATCGCACGCCACACAAATATACACGAGGCTAGTCGCAAATTAGCTTCTGTCAGCAGATGCAGCCACTCGAGCCAGGCGTCACGAAGAAGAAATTAGAGATGGAGAGACCAAATCAATAAGTTCAAAGGCGCAACAAGGGTTTCTAAGACACATGTCGATGTCAGCGGGGACGGCATGACATCGGAGAGTAGGAGTTCACCTAGTACCACGCTCTCGTTCAAACGAGTCAGCAAACCGACTGGCTTTCGCCGTTTTTCACGTGGACTCATAAGGTTTTGTAACCTACGCCGTGTCCATAGATCAGTACCAATCAGCTAAGAAATTACAAGGAGGACGCTACCTTCTGTATCGCCATTTTAATTCGCCATTCCAGGCCGCTAATCACGACCCGAAGGGCATCGTGTGCGTGCTCTCCGCAAAAAGGACACTCAGAGACTTTGCGCAGATGCGGATATGTGGGGACGTCGCGGATAGTCTCCCAATGAGGAGTGACGCGTAGCAGAGCTACAGAGCTGCTCAGGTAACCACTAACCCATTGCGCTATACGGTATCGTGTTTGGATTGGGTTCTCCTTATTGGAGGTATGGGTCAGGGACTGAGTGTATCGCAAGCATATGCAACTGCCAGGCGACTCGTCGGAGACAAGGTCATGCGGAGCACCCCGAACCCAACCCGTACCGATAGCCTCCTGCACAGCAGCATGGGCACATCGGTTCTGCCATAGCTGAAGTTCGCGAATATCGGAAGCTGTGAGACAAGAGTCTAGGTCTGCATTGCTGATAGTGAGGGGAGGTGCAAGTGTAGGGTGTTGGATGGTGAGGAAGAGTGCTTTGGTAGCAGTTGTTTGGAGACCTCGCTTTCGAGCGATAGCCCACACGACGTGAGGGGCGTCCTGCGCTACCCTGGACAAAGCGAGGCCGATTGTGTCGGAAAGACTTTCTATCATGAATTTATCTGTCAGGCTAATGACCTTCAGAATAGCTGATATTGTGGTGAGAGGGGGGTTGTCGATCGGGTAAATCAACTTGAACAGGATGTCCAAGGTCTTTCGATCCTCGGTCAGGAGTACGACGGGAAGACCGTCGTACCAGTCGGCAGACTGGAAGTTGGGGTTGCCTGATGCGGGATCAACTGGAGCAGCTGCTTGAGCTGAGAACATGTCTTTGAAAACAATTGAGGCTACGGAAAGAATTGTTCGGTGAAGACGAAAAACATAGTCGTCAGAGGAGCGGATGACGATATCGGCATCGAGTGCATCGAAAGGAGGCCCTGCTTCATGGAGGTGAGCTGTCTGCTCTTCTGAGGGCACATGGTCGGAGTGTTCAGACATGATATCGTTAAGACGCTAGCCACAGAGGGTCGACGAAGAGTGGACGATGCTGCTGACGAGTCGATGCAGCGCTGCAGCGGCACGGTTGAGGAGAATTCGCACGTCGAACGAGGTCGAACGTTGAGGGCGACCAGGCGTGGGAACAGCATAGTCTTTGAGAAATACACGAAAATCAAATAAATCCACTCGATTAATGACACCAACTGCTCGTACTCTATATCAATGGGCCTGCTCCAGAGATGTAGCTTTCCACAGGAAGCTTTGACTGTTCCCAAACTCAAGTAGAAATTTCGTTTTTGGGTGTCAAAGTCGACCTACTGCTCGCATCAGACACCTTCCCCTCTCGCCATCATACCCATTCCTAGGCCGCGACGACTAGCAATTGTCGTACACCACTGACAATGGAGATCTCGCATGTAGGAGACTGAATCCAAACGATCCTTTTCAGATCATTGGACCGGTTGAGATAGGCTGTCAAGACGTCGTTTAGCGCCCCAGGCTCCGGCAGTGTTGTCATTCCTTCACCATTTTCATCGCACTCCCATCGTATTCCTATACTATACACCCCAACTTGGCCAGGATTTTTCTCGTGCCATGTACCCGCCGCACTGGTTCAATGGTAAGTGCTGAGGAAAGCCGATGATTTGACAGAATTCGGCTTGTCTCATGATCACAGAAGGCTTCCCCGCTCATGGTATCACCGGAAGAACGAGCAGGTACAGGTATGAAGTAAGGATCTAGCATACGCATCACTTCATGGCCGGTGTACTAACCGTTTTTGCACCGCACGTCTATAGAACCTGCCTCATAGGTAACGGCGGTACATCGTGTTCACCACGCTGATCAAATGCTCGGGTTCAGACAGCTGCGACTCGCCACTTTCGGGACTTGCGCCCTGCTTTGACCATATGTTTGCCGTTACATTGTGATATGCAGATAGGCTCGCCGACTGCCAGTGAAAAATGTAGTGTTTTATTATCATGATCGTGCCTCATGTTCAAGGACCGTTCTGTGGCGCATGTCGGGGTGCTGCTCGCACAGCCATACTTATACGTCCTGGGGAGCTCTGTGGAGCAGATACCTTCCATCCCTTCTGGTCACCACAATTTTCACCTCATCTTCATTCTTAACGTCGTCTGTCGAACTCTTTTCACCTTTTCCCCCTTTCCCCTGCGTTCTCTAATTACTGCAGTTTTGCTTATTATTTCTACTTTGTCCCCGCATTTTCACGAGTTCTATTTTATGCCTAACCCCCTTCCTCAAGTCCAAGTCCATATCGCTCCTAATGTCCAGGGACCCGACAGCCCAAATGTTCGGATTCGCCCAACTTTAGACCGTTTACACACATCTCGACCATCAGAGCCACCCCAGCCACCCACAAACCCACCATCTCCCACTTCTTCTGCACGACATTACACCGGCACCGGCCCTTCACAAGTCAACTGGATCTCTGCTTCTACTCCTCATGTTCCTAGTCCTCTGGGCACGAACGCTCCCCGATGGCCATCCTCCATTCCTGCCACTCCCTACGCACACCACCTCGGCCATTCCGTCTCATCTCCCTCTCTTCTGCCAGCCGCAGCTGCCGGATCTGGCTCTACGATTTCCATTCCTACCTCGCCCTCGACGCAGGCGACGGCCACAGAGACGAATAAGATGTATAGACATCCTTCGTTGTCGAGCAATCGGTCTCTGCAGCTCGATATGCTTTATGGTCGCGAAGGTTCTGGAGATGGAGAGTGGGATGAATCTGATCGAGATCGGGGTGCGCAGGCGAGGAAGCCGTTGAGCCCGATATTGGAGAGGACGTATCAGTCGGCGGCGGTGGCGAGGAGGGACCAGACCTCGCTTGGGAGGGGAGGTACAGGGTCTCCTGGTACACCTGGTACACCTGCTTCGTTTGACCAAGGTACGCAATTTTTTTTTCACTTCTTCTTTCTTCAGCTACGAGTCGTTCCGTGGACTAGTTGTCTTGACAAATTGAATTGACTTTTTCTCTTCTTTGACGATGCCGCCAACAGTAGAACGTGGCTCGACCCACTCCGCGTTCCTTCTTCGACCTCTGCGTCGATCCATGTCCCAAACGTCGACTAGCTCATTCCGTACAACGGGCTCCCTCCAATCCGTCCCTCCCACCCTCCCCCAACTCGACCTCAGGCCCCCGTTCAGCCCAACCCTCCCTCTCTCTCATCATGCTAGTCGCTCAGGCCCACATTTTTCTACGGTATACGAAGACGGGACATCGGATCGCACAGGCAGCTTCGTCACAGCGAATTCCGTCACGGGAGTGACGAGGGCTGGTGGTTATGGCGGTCAAGGAAGGGCAGGAGACGAAGAGTCCGTGGAATCGGGCTCGAGTCATACACATATAGGCCACCCGTCACTCACGCATGAGCTCAACCATCAACCAATACCCTTCCTCGGGCTCGGAGGTTCATACCACCTTCCAACCACCCCCCAACCCGGCTCTTCCACCAACATCCTCAACACCAATCCCGCGTCCACCTCCCATCTCAAACCCAACCCTCCCCCTCCCTCCGGCCCTCATCCTGGTTCCGGACCAATTCCCCGTCCCAGTCGCGTGCAAGCGCCAGATCCGAATCCTCGTTCCTCGTCCTTCATCTACCGTCGTTGGCGCCAAGGCGTTTCGTTCGGGAGCACACGACCACATTTCTCTTTATCGTTTTCGTTCTCTCGGTCTTCAACATCCGGCCAAGAACGAAGAGAGGGGCCGAGATTGGTCCAGCTTCCGCCGTTGCCTGCGATTTTGTTCTGGGTGGGGTTCGTGGCGCCGTGGTGTTGGTTGATTGGGGGATGGTTGGTTGTGGAGGGTGAGGGGCCGAAGTTGCCGCTTTGGGAGATGAGAAGGCCTGTGGAGGAGGGTGGGAAGGAGAAGGAGAAGTCTAAACGGGAGGGAAGGGGAAAGGAGTTCGAGCCTCAAGTTGCGCCTGCATCCGCACCTCCTGCGTCCACGTCCACACCATCTTTACCTCCACCTCCACCTCCACCTCCACCTCCACCTCCACCTCCACCTCCGTCTTTACCGCCACCGCCACCACCTGCCATCATCGCACCCTCCACTTCATTCCTGGACATGGACATCGAGGCACGACCGCACGACCAAGTCAACGCGGGAGAAAGTGAGAACACGCGCTGGTGGCGACAGTGGGGTCCTCGGGAGAAACAATCTCCTCGAGGCCCTCCGACGGGGAACGAGAAGATAGTTTTGATCAGGATGAGGACGAAGGGGGCGGAGAAGTGGGTCGTGAGGTGTAGGAGGGCGGCGGTGGTCAGCGGGGTGCTTTTGACGATTGGGTTTATTGTGGCAGTTGTTCTGGTGAGTCTGTCGAAGTGAGAGACTTGGCGTTGTTATTTTTCTATTTTTGCTTGTGGACTTCATAGACTGTGCTTTACCTTGACCTCGCATTTGCATTCGACGGGACTTTCAAGAACCTTTCCGGTCTGCAGTTTGCTTGGACCGGAATAATGACGATTTTATGTATTCAATGTGGCATTTCAGACGTACAAACACACCTTTCATAATGTACAATAGCTGGCATCTTGCACGATACTCTGCCGTCCGACTTCATGATAAAATACTTTCATTTACGACACTGTACAATCGCATCTGTATTTATCAGCCTCATGAGGGGGGTTAGAGCAGCCCCTTCCCCCTGGCTACCTACTGTACCAGCTTTACTGTACACTTTTTGGGAATGAATGCTGTTAACACGGTTCCACCCTAAACCATATGCGTCTACCTTCTTTGCCCCTCTGTGACCCATGAAGAACAGACCAAAGACGTCGACCAAGTGATGTGGCGCCCCGGAGCGCCACCGCACGAAGTTCCCACCCCTCGGGGGGCTGTGGCCGAATGCTTCTGGAAGGCGCGCAGGCTCTGCCAGCTTTGCGTTTCCCTTGCATCGAATGATGCGTCTCCATGGCCTACTCCGCCCTCCTCTATCCTCTAGCCTTTCTCTTGCTCATCGTCGCAGGCAGCGTCGCCGACTCATTGACTCTTAGACGGGACTCAGCCCGTACCCATGCTCTCCGACATTTTACGGGACTCCCATCACTCAACGGCGCCGATGGGAACGACCCCGACCTCGAACTTTTACCCATCGTCCTCGTCGCCTCTGTCGACGGAAAATTCCATGCATTGAACAGGACGACGGGGGCGGTCATATGGTCTATGCCGTCGACGGCGACGGCGACCACAACAACAGAAGTAGACTCGGGTGGCACGCCCACACCTGTACCTTCCGCCCTCGACCCTCTCGTGCGCACCAAACATGTCGAGTACGATCCTGATTTCGACGAGGACCCGACGTCGCAGGAGACATACATAATTGAACCTCAGTCCGGCGACATCTACGTCTCGTCATCGCCATCTGGCTCGCTGCAGCGCCTACCGCTTTCTATGCCACAGCTCGTCGATATGTCGCCTTTCAGTTTCGGTGACGGGGACAGGAGAGTGTTCGTCGGGAGGAAGAAGACATCACTGATGGTTTTAGAACTTGAGACGGGAAGGGTCAAGGCTGCATTGGACTCGGAGTGTCCGTGGGATCCGTTCGAGGAATTAGTGGACAAGGAGGAGGAGGAGGATATTGACCTGGACGAGCTGGATGGGACCATACCTTCCAGAGAGTACCCGACCGAAGTCTATATCGGTCGCACAGGTGCGTCTGTGTACAGCCTCTCATCAGATACTTGGACGAATGCGCCTTGCAGATTACCATATATCCATTCACACCCGCCCAAGATCTCCCACCGCTCGTCGGCCACCTGTGCGCGACCTCTCTTTCTCCACGTATGGTCCCAACAATCAGGATCTCGACCTCCAGTCTGTCTATAGCCGTACGTTAGACGATAAATACGTCGAAACTCTTCCAAACGGTGGCATCATATCATTTAAAACCCGAAACATCGACCGTCCTTCCGATTCACCTGGCGTACCCCAGAACGATCCCATCTGGGGTCAAGAATTTTCTGCTACTATGTACGCTTTCTCGTGTCTTCCTATTTACTCCATCGCGAATATTCAACTGACCACAAACCTAGTGTGGCCGTCTTCGACGTCGTCAAATCAACCACTCGCTCTGATCCCTTTGTCCTCCTCCAACCCCGCCCACCTCTTCAAGACGTCTTCCCTGCCTCCGACCTCACCACCGCAGCTCGCAACGCACACATCAATCCCTCCTCCGCCTACGTCGGCCTCGTCGAACAAACCGGCTCCCTCTTCGCACTCTCACCCGACAACTACCCCCTCGTCATCTTCGGCCCGAACTCGCACGACGGTCCGTCTTACTCACTCAAGGGCATCGAAGCGCCCCCTAACTCCAACCCCAATATCGACTCTAACTCGCACGTGGGCAAGGCCGGGCGTAACACCAGGCCTATAGGCGGCGACGACGCGATGTGGAGGGCGTTATGCAGGAGCGGGAGCACGAATATGAGATGCCTCGTCGGCGTTCGTCCGCTCGAAGATGGCTCGCAGAGTCAGCTTGCGGCGAAATTGCTGGATGGAGCGCCAACTGTGCCATTGCCGATCGTGCCCTCGCATCCGCATAGCAATAATAATAGGGTCGAGGCTGGCGCGTATGGGACTGTGAATACTGCTGCTGCGAGAGCGGGAGCGAAGGATCAGACGGGGTGGAATATTTCGATTAATGTCGTTCCGCCGTTGGGATGGATCGGAGTTGGGGGTGGGGAGAGGGCGGGGGCGGGTGTTACGCTTGGGTCGTGGTGGGTTGTTTTGGTCGGGATGATGTGTGGTTTGGTGGGGTGGATTACGTGGAATGGGAAGAAGGGTTTGAAGGGAGGTGACGGTCAAGTTGTTGAGAAGGTTGTTATCGATGAAGGAGGGACCATGGGTGGCGAGGTCCCTACGGCGACTGAGACCGTTCCTGCCAAGCTGGTCAGCGAGCCTTCCACATCATCTTTAACTGGAGCGCTAGTGCCTGCAGTTGTCGAATCACCCTCTGCTGAACGGGACCTCCTACCAACAATACCGCAAACTCCGTCCACACCTGCACCTGCACGGCCAGCTCCACCACCCCCATCAGTACAAAAACAGCTGCCGCCATTACCCACGTCAGAACCCATCGCCACACCAGCAGTCGATGTTGCCCTCGACGACGGTGGAGATGAAGACAGTGACAAGGAAGGAGATGCGCAAGGGGCTGCACCTGGAAGACGGAAAAATACCAGGAGACGGAGAGGGAAGAAGAAAAAGAAGGAGGTGTCGATTGATGTCGATGGAGAGGAGGGTGGCGAGCAGGTCGAAGGCGCAGGGTCCGGCTCTGCGAACGGAGATGCGGTGCAAGGGCAAAGACAAGCAGAAGTGAAGCCTTCGACGTCTGCGGGTACACCAACGTTGGTTGTTCCTGCTACTCCTGCACCTTCTGTATCGCCTTCTTTGATAGTGTCCGATACCGTGCTAGGTAGGCACCAATATCTTCATCTACCCTTCTTTTACTCGTACTGACGGTATTCTATCATAGGCTTTGGCTCGCACGGCACCGTAGTCTACCAAGGCTCCCTTCAAGGCCGCGCCGTCGCCGTCAAACGCCTCCTGCAAGACTTCACAACCCTCGCCTCCCGCGAAGTCGCGATCCTCCAAGAATCAGACGACCATCCGAACGTCATCCGGTACTTCTACCAAGAATCCCACTCCGGCTTCCTTTACATCGCGCTGGAGCTCTGTCCCGCCTCTCTCGCTGATATCGTCGAGAGGCCGGACCAGTTCAAAGATATCAGTATCGTGTTCGAGCCGAAGAGGGCGTTGAGGCAGATCGTGAGCGGGTTAAGACATTTGCATGGATTGAAGATCGTGCATCGGGATATCAAGCCGCAGAATATCCTGGTGAGCGGTGCGAGGGCTGCGCTTGCGGGTGTTGCGAAGGATGGTGCCGGCGGTGGTAGTGGAGTAGGAGGTGGTGGTGGGATGAAGGGACACAGAATGTTGATCTCGGATTTCGGACTGTGTAGGAAGCTGGAAGTCGACCAGACGAGCTTCCTACCTACCGCGAACGGCATGATGGGCGTCGGCACCGTCGGCTGGCGAGCGCCCGAAATCCTTCGCGGAGAAGTCAAGCTGGACGAATCATCCTCCACGGACGATAACTCGACTTCGTCGCGCGATTCGGTCGGTACGACTAGGACATCGAGCACGGCAGGGGCGCATCATAGTCACAAGCCGACGAGGCTGACGAAGAGCGTGGATATCTTTGCGTTGGGGTGTTTGTTCTATTATGTGCTTACGAATGGGGGCCATCCGTTTGGGGATCGGTATGAGAGGGAGGTTAATATCTTGAAGGGTGCGGTGTGTTTGGAGGGGTTGGAAGGTTTTGGGGAGGAGGGGTCGGATGCGGTGGATTTGATTGGGAAGATGTTGCATGCGGAGGCTTCGGAACGGTACGTATCATCTCTCCTTTTTTTCCTCCCTCGCCCTGTGCATTCGGACTTGGTGCTCATTTTGGATCTTTTTCTGCAAACAGACCGGATACGACGACGTGTCTCATGCACCCGTATTTCTGGGATCCCGGTCGTCGTCTGGGTTTCCTTCAAGATGCGTCGGACAGATTCGAGATCATGGTCCGTGATCCTCGAGATCCACATCTCGTGCTTCTTGAAGAAGGCGCTATCGACGTCGTGGGTCCTGATTGGGTCTCGAGGCTGGACAAGATCTTCGTCGAGAATCTGGGCAAGTTCAGGAAGTATGATGGGAAGAGCGTGCAGGACTTGTTGAGGGCGTTGAGGAATAAGGTGCGTCTTGCTCCCGTTCGTGTCTGTGATCTTACTCGGTCGAGGCTTATAGGGTGTTGGGACGTACAGAAACATCACTACCAGGATTTGCCAGACAATGTTAAGCGCCACGTAGGATCCATGCCAGAAGGGTATCTGTCATACTTCACAAAAAGGTTCCCGAGGCTGTTCCTGCATGTCTACAACGTCATCGCGGATTCATCGCTCAGGCATGAATCGATGTTCAGGTCTTATTTCGAGGTGCCAGAGTTGAGTTGAGCGGCATTTTCCTTTCTTTTTCTCCTTCGTGTTTCTTGTTTATATATTCGCTGTCCTTTCGCTTGTTATTCGACTTGTTTATATATTGCGTCAGTGTCTTTCTTGTTACTTCAATGTGTGCCGGACTTCCTTTGGTTGTTTCCTGTTGCAGGGGTTGTCGTGGAGCTTGTTGGGCTTATGTTGATTTTTTCTTTCTTTCTGCCGATATATCATGGAAACCCCACCCCACACCGCCTCGTTATCACTTCTTTATTGATTTTACCTTTTCTCCCGCCGCTCTCTCTCTTTACTTGCTCTCTTCCTGCCTCTACCTCCTATCCTTTTCGTCCTCGTCCTTGTTTTCTCATCTCCGCATCGGCATCCCCGCATCATAACCAAACATATCGACCACATACACACATACACACACACATACATACATACGTATATACATAAGTACCCGTATAAAGCATCCTACTTTTTCTCGCTCTCATATCCCCGCAGTCTGTATCTGTATGTAATTGCTCCTGCTCCTGCTCCTACTCCTACTCGCGCATATCAACTCTTTCTTTTTGCTCTCCCTTTCGTATTTTTGTCTCATCAGCAGATTGGTCACGTATATATGCTTGGTCGGTCAGGTCTCAGCTGTCTGTTTTTTGCAATTGCATGGATATGGATATGGATTCGTGAACGGGCTTCCTGCGTGAAAGACCTGATATGTATTCGATGTAAGTGATCCGTGCGGAATGTTGGCTCTTGCATGGGCATGTACTATAGACGAAATAATGTATATAATCAAAACTAAAATTGCGCATGCACATCAACAAGGAATCACGAAGATACAAAACTTATCTGTCGAACGAACTTCTGTACTTGGTTCAGGAGAAGTACAAAAGTTACACTTCGTATGCGCCATAGTGACGAGAGTGGGATTTGAACCCACGCCCCCGAAGAGACCAGATCCTTAGTCTGGCGCCTTAGACCGCTCGGCCATCTCGCCCGTACATCAAAATCATTGTGAACCAATGTGATTCTATGACTTGAAGTAGAGCAACATGATCTAAGTTACGAGAAGAAGGTCCTGTGATATGCAGGAGACAAGGACAAGTGAGGGGAGAATGGTTTATATTGGATGAGAGGTGGCAAGAACTTGGAACGGACCAGGCGGATAGTAGGAACAGAGTCAACAGACTCAGACGTACTTATGATGAACACCGTCATCCTATCATCGGCCGCTGTCATCGGATGATTGTGGCGTCCAATACCCATCGTTTTCGACGCAGAGAGCCGCCCGCAATGTAGAGCTAGAGGAGACGCATTACGGCGGAATACTTACATCGGGTATATCGAGGAGATTGTGGCGCCGGCGCGCCAGTGATAATTGCAGTACATGGGCTATGTGCTGCCAGCCTCCAGGAGAACCCGCCATGCGGGTGGTCATGACCACGGTTGCTGGTTCCGTTACTCGACTCATTAACGAGGAGGCCTGGTCCTATCAATCAGTATTTAGGCCGCCGAGGCCTATGGCAGACACCAACAATGCAATCACATTGATCAAAGAGCGCAGCTCTCGAAACAAATACGTAGCAGTTGGGGCCGTTTGTAGAATTGCGGGTCCAGCAGCTTCCAGAGGTGGTGTATCGAGGAGAAGTCCAAGAATGGTTTCAAAGCTTCGAACGACGTGACGGAAGTAAACGAAGGCAGCGGAAGTTTCCGGGATGTCTCCAGTGAACTAATTATTCCCTCTCACGAGCTTCTTCACCCATACGTTCACTTCCCACACCGTCAACATTGTCTCAGGCCTTTTTGACTGGGATACCTTTAGCTTATGACCCACATTTGGAGAGCCCCATGATATACTCATCAAGGACTTGATAATTCTACCAGCGTCCAGAGCCTTCCTGATTCGGGTTCGAATCGGAAGGGATGGAGTACATCCAGATACCGTTGATTGGGCTCCTTGATACTGTCCTCCGAAACGAATCCTCCATGGGTAAAAAAATGATGTAGGTACCACAGAACTGGAACAACAATGATGGTCGCAGAGCAAAGTTTGATGCGCTTCATCCAATGAAACCGATCCTCATACCCGCCCGCCTCACAGCTCCATTTCTCCTTTGGATATATCGGCCCTGTACCCCTTGTCGCGCTCTAAAGCGTCCACTCACTTGTTCTGGCTTTCTTTTGTTCCGGTTGTCTACCGTCTCTGGATTCTGGTATGCTGTCATTGGCCTTCGGAAAGCGCAAGAGCAAGAAGAATGCGCAGCCGATTCGAGTGGTCAAGACCGCTGTTGATCCAGAACCTTTTACAACTTCGGGAGTATTGGAGATCAGAGCGACACCTCGGACTGTACACAGTGCTCTACCTGAGCAGGCCTCTGACCGCAGCCCTCGCGAGCCCTCGTTCCTTGACACTCCTTCTCCTCGCGTAGAACTCGAGTTACCGAACGAGCATTGGTTCTCTTCTGATATCCTCAGTTTGGGCCCTATTCCAACTGCCGTTCCTCCTAGAGGCGACTCTCTACCCAGAATCGAGGAAGCCGAAGCTGGTGAAGCTGGTGAAGTCTCCGGGAAGGAGGATACACAAGAAGTACGTTATCTGTATCCTATTTCAACGTAATGCGCTGAACCGTCTTTCCTTTATCAGCCCTCCGTAGGCGTCGAACAAGACGAGGTATGTCCCTTTTCATACCAAGACATATTCATACTCACATCTGCACAGCGGGCTGGGGTCGTTCGTAAATCCGCCAAAGGTGCTCCCGCTCCGATCAGGATTCCTAACCCAGAATACCACAAATCGTCCAAATACCAGATTCAGCGTTCTGCCGGTGCATCAGCGGAACATCTGAACGTGCGCTCGAACAAAGATACTACGGATGCCTCACCTTTGATAGCTGACGACGCGTCCACGATATCTACCTATACCCTCCCTGGATCTATCATTGGTGGCAGCACGCTCGACCACCGTTATTCGCGGTATCTCACTCGTCAAGACTCGGCCACTCTTCCTCATGGAGAGCATCCTGGATCGACCTCTCCCCCGTCGCGAAATAGACCTCTGAGCTCCAACACCATTTCGTCCTCTTCTGGGTCGAGAGTGACATCTTCCATACCACCTGTCCCACCCCTCCCGACCCCCACTTCCCCCGCAGAAATTTCAGTCACCCGGTCGAATGATGGACAAGGTGGGCATGGTACAGTGACGGGTCTATCGGTATCCAAGTCGAACCGGGCTGCAGGTACCTCTCGACAATCCAAGCCGCCTGTAACGCATCGGATGGTAGAGACTCCCCCCGTCTCACGCACACCAAACACCACCCGAATCTTCTTGCCTGGAATGCACATGGCGCATAGTGTATCACCGGTTACTGAGGCATCTGCATCTATAAAGTCCTCTCCCGGGACGCCCGAGCGGGAACCTGCAAGCTCGACAAGCACGAAGCGGTCGCATCCTTCACCGCTTTCTCGCCCAACGCGGACCGGCACATCAGACAGCGATCAATACCTGTCTCCCTCGACGTACCCTCAATCACGCGCATCACCACACTCGAACTTTTCCACCCCCTCCGGTGAAGACATCGACGAGGTCTTGTTGGATCAGTATTTACAGCCTGATTTATTTGGGAGGAGTCCAAGTACTGCTTCGTCTGCAGGTGCAGATGGCCATTCTATCTCCTCTGCGAGTGTGGGAGATAGTGGTTCGAAAGGGAGAAAGACTTCTTCTCAACTGTCTGACAACCGGGATGCACTCCGTCAGTCCTTTGCATGATCATCATTCTATTCTAACTGACATTGACTTACATGCTTGGAATGCCTAGCTACATCTGCTGATTCCAAGACTCAGTTATCTTCACGCATACGGTCTTCCTCTCTTGGAGACCTTCGGCACTCTCGTTCTTCTCCTCCGTCCAAACCATCTCCGCTTCATCCTTCCGCTCTTCATCCCATCGGCGAACGCCTACAGGAGAGTCCAGGTGTTGAATCCAACGGCTTGAAATCCACACCAGGCATCTCTCACCTTTTCCTTCACCGCCCGGCGGATGTCCCCTCGAGTGCTTCCACAAGCTCTCACTCCTCGGCGGGTATACTCGTCTCAAGATCGAAGGTCTCTCCTTCCGACAGCAGCCATTCACAAACACATACCCGTCCAGTCGATTTAGCTATCATGCGCTTCCGTGGGCATCAACCTCTCAATCCCATAACTGTCGTCCGCGACCCGACCGACCCTCTTTCTTTTGATATCGCCGTCAACGACGAGATCGATGAATCCGGAGGGATTTCACCACCATCGAGTGGAGAGCGCCAAACCTTCCCTGAGACTCCCAGTGCCTTCAGTCCCATGTTCTCAGCCAACCGTCGGAGTGCGTCACCTGGAATGTCTCCCGCACTGGCCTCAGGACGCTCGGATCAGAACTCAGCCTTCAGGCGGATGCGAAACTCTGCAAGATTATCATCGAAGAACTTGAATCGCTCGTTATCCCATGGCAAGTCTCTCACGCGGGGCCGCTCATGGAAGAATATGAACTCCAACTCTCGTTCGCCGCTGATGCCATCCGAGCCTGTTCCCTCTACGTCGGCGTCCGCTCGCGATCAAAGCGGGCCTCCGAATGACTCTGGTGGTGTTCTGCGGATCCAATCTGCCACCCAGTCGACAATCCCACTCCCATCATCATCCTCATCGCTGCCCCCAATCTCACCTCCACCTCCACCACCTCTACCCACCTCATTCGGACTACAACCTTCACTTCTCCTCGTCCCTCCACCCCCTCATCGTGATTCGGCTACCAAACTAGTTCCCGGTCCCAGTCCAGTTTCTCAGCGGCGTGCGTCTCCGTCTCCATCTGGGACACACAGCTCGTCATCATCCTCACGACATCTACCAGCATCTCTCTCATCACAATCAACTGCGCCTAGTTCATCATTAGTATCTATTGCGCCACCCGCACCCACAGTCTTTCAAGAGGTCAGCTATCAGGGTGTGGCACCGCCCAATGCACCTCCTCCGGCATATGATACCCTCGCCAACATATCCGAATCAGGGGCTCATGCTCAGACGCAGTCGCAGACAATCGCTCCAATTAGCACCGTAGGTGGTCGTCGTACTTCCGGTCGGCCTCCTCTGCCTATCGGACCTCGTAGTCGGACCACTCCAGGCACCGCACCGCTCTCTCTCGACAGAAACAGATCGGGCTCGACATCATCTGTCGGATACGGCGGTGCAGGCGGGGCTAGCACGCGAAGACCGTCAACCGCCTCGACTGTGCACCCGCCCTCAGCTCCTCGTTTCCAAGCGAGTCGAGTAAAGTACAAAGGGTACACGATGGAGGCGGCGAAATGGAAATTCACATCCTCCGAGCTCCAGTCCATCGTCTCGCGTGCGATCAGGCAGTCCGCCGAGCCATCATCGATTCGACTTCTTCCGGTGAACACCTTGGATAACGAGTTGCCTCATGAGCTGGAAAGGCTGGAGGCGCTTCAGGCGGAGTTAAAGACGAAGTATAAGCTGCAAGTTCGCAGGCGCAATAATCTCCTTACTGGTCTCGCCGCACATGCCGACGGCGGTCGGGAGATCAATGCGCATTCTTTGAGGAATCTGGTGGATGATCTGCAAGACGTGTCGCACACGCTCGATCAGGTTTCGGAGGACCTTTACTTTGCGAGGGATCAGGCGGCACAGCTGGTCGCGCTTGAGGTGACGCATGCGGGGAGTGCACTCGCGATGGCCTTGAGGAAGCTTAACGCCAGCTATCTCAAGCGGTCCGCTCAGGTTCAAGCGCTTCAGGAACAGATCAACGCCCTGGAGGCGGAGAGGGAAGAGGCGTGGTCCGAGGCTCAACGAGTGGCGCAAGATCTCGACGACTTGAACGATGTTCTACAAGACGTGCATCCAGGTAACTCGGCGATATCAGCTAGCCGAAGATCTAGTCGCGTTTTGGCGTCGAGGAAGTCGAGCATCAGGGTGTCAAAGGCGGGGTTAAGGAGGAGCAGTAGTATTTCTGGGAGGCGTAGTCGAGCTTCCATGGGGAGCCAGTTCTGCGCCAGCGGGATCCCGACAGGCTCTTTACCGTCATCTGCGTTCCAGTCGGATCTCGTCATTCCACCAGTACCGCCTGTGCCGCACGTTATGCCTCTTGGGATCAATACGAAGGATTTGTCCGCTCGAACTTCTGGTGAGTTCCTAACTTGTAGAGTTTCTGACTGTGGAACTGATCTCGAATCGTTCCACTTCGCGCCAGCGTACACCTCCGACTTCAGCCCGTCCGAGGAGACACACGCGCTGCATGAAGCCCAAAGAGAGCTCTGTACCATGCTCGGCATATCAATACAGGATATTCGGAGGCCTCGCCAGAGGCCCTCGTCTATGTCTGCGTCCCCTGATTCTGTGCCTTCGAGGATGAGCTTGGTTCCTATACCGCGACCACAACCAAGACTAAGACCGCGTTCGGAGATCATCGGAAGTCGAGCGAGTGCGGCTCATAGAGATATGGGCGTATTGGATGCTTTTCAAAGTTTGCCGCCAGATGATGTGAGTCTTCCTGCGAATGATCGAACTGAGGAACTGTGGGCTGACTGTGGCCTTTGTTTCTCCTCCAGCGAGATATGATAATGACTACGCTCGGACTTTTGGAGTAAAAGAGCCGTCTGACCATCTTTGTCTCCACTTGTGTGATATTTATTACTTACATCGTTATTTACTTACTGTCATCGAGCTGTGCTTCGACCACATTCTTGAACCTCAATACCCCTCCCTACTACCACCTAGCATCGGCGTCTAGGATTTCGATCTTCTTGTCGCTCTTTATTTAGTCTTCAGCTCCCTTTCATGCGGACTTCGCAGATATTGCTGCACATGGCCTTTCACGAGTGGAGGACTTATCCTTCTTCATTTACCTGGGTGTATCTCTTTTAGTGGCCGGTGGTTGCCCATACAGTCGTTGTTGTATGATTCTTGACAGTTCGCGCTGGAGCAACACGAACAGGTCTCTACACCACACCCTATATTGGCTGCGTGGCGCTAACTTTGAAATTGAAACACCAATCCCCGAAAACCAAGGAATGGGTATGATCATTTGAAAAGTATCTCTTACACGACACTTTCGATAATGATAAACCAGCGACATCAATAGATAGCTACAGTCCGTGAGGATGCATCTAGTAGGCCTCGCGCTGAGTGAGGGTGATTTCGAAGGCGCCAATGTCAAACGTCGACACGACGTTGTGCAAGAACACGTCGCCCCTGGAATCGATTGTGAATGTGAGTAAGTCGCTACACAACCTTCGACGTATTAGTGAAGGTAAATGGTCGAGCACTCACAGAATGAAGGTGTTGTCCGGCTCGTTCGCGCCACCGTCAGTCGTGGCAACGATGCACACCTCCGCCCCAGAGTCATCGGTCCCAAGAGGCAGAATCTGGTCAGCTGTGTCGATAGTGAAGGTGGTGCCATTGATTACAACGGACATTTCCGGAATTTCAGCGTCGCAGTCGACGACGTAGCCTCCAACGTCATCATTCCAAACACCTGCTGGGACGAACTTAGAGGCGTAAAGATCGGCAACATTAGTTGGGAAGTAGTTGAGCGTAGTGCCGGTATCGAGAATGACTGGACGGAGATAAAGTGATGCACTATATGAGCCTGCCGAATATGCCCAGAAATATCGAAAGAGCGTGACTTACTGTTATCCGTGGATATATCGCCGAGAGTATCAGAGCCATTGAAGACAAAGGATTGTACGTCGATGGTGTAGTAGAAGTAGCTACAGTGCAAGATGCAACTCAATTATGCCATTTGAGACATATTAAGTATATGCACGTACGTGAAGTCCGTGCTATTTGTGTCATTGCTTGGGGTGAACGTCGAGATCGAGTATCCCTGGATTGGAACAGTTGTCGAAGTGTTGGTCACGGCCACAGGAGCAATTCCTCCGAATGCGAGATAACCAAGGTTCGGGTCGAAAGTAGAGTTTTCCTCTGCCGAAAAGTTTCCTCGGTTGAGCGCGATAGAGAAATCTGCACAGAGCTCTGTCAATAACGGCTTCGCAAGCGTAAATAAGAAAATATGCCGTACATGGCTCAGAGACGGCACCCTCGCTCACAGCAGTATAAAAGAAGGGATTGTAGAAAAGACTGTTTCCGAACCATTCGTCAACAGAGGGATCGTCTCCGTCGTACACACTCGTCAAATCGGGGTGAGCGAGGCCAATCAAGCCGCTGCTGAAACCTACGAGAACACCTCTTAAGTCTTTCTTGTCGGGAATCACGTAGACCGCAAGAGCCCCTCACCGTCGCCATTCCAGTAGGAGTAGTTCACAAGAGGAAGAGTTTGGTTTGTGACGGACAAGCCTCCAATAGCCACTGTATCGTAGCCGACGGGCCCATTCAGGAACTCCCCTATAAACATTGTACAGGGTGAATATGCAGTCGTGACTGATGATGAATTAGAGTAGGGCACCCACCATCACCGTACGAGATATTGAAGTTATGATCCGGGAAGTCAACGAACGTCGAAGACGCATTGGTGTCGAAGGTAGGACCAAAATTGCATTCCTCCTCAGTAACAGCATTCGACGCCGAATCGACGCAAAGGAAGCCACTCTCAACGAGCCAAGTATCCGCGCTACATCCACTCTGTAAGTCTGTCACGAATGGTCGAATAGCGATATCCTCACCTGCCAGTATCCACAATAGCATAGAAAGTTTGTCCTCCGACGGTGATCTCAGTGATGTATTCCTCGTCCAAGTCGCTGCCGTCAATCACAGCAGTACTGTTGATCCCTGCAGCCGAGCGTAACGAACGCAGAATATCCTTCTTATGCTGAGTCTTCGAGACCTTCCCTGTGAACGATGCGACGAATTCTGCGCTCGGGAGCTCCGTACTCCTTGCCTCGAGCGAACGCCTGGGAAAGGTGACATGGCGAGCTGTGATGTGGTCGACATGTTTCAAGGTCGTCGAAGCCCGAGACGGAGCGCGTTGGATCAAGTCACCGGCTGCAGAAGCAAATCCGGTCGACGCAAGGGCAAACAGCCCAGCGAAGACCTGGGTGAGAACAGGAGACATTTTGGACGAGACCTGGGAGCGGATCCCACTGCCTTTCTCCTATATATACCGTATGCTCTTCGGTGCTGAGCTCAGGAGAAGCCATCTAGTGGTATGCAACGATCGGCACATTGCAGTGCTCGTCATAAGGACTTGAAATTGTATGTCGAAGAGCCAGAATAAAGGAACCGAGGCACATGGCGTCGTTAGCGAAGAGGTCGTTATCAGGCAGGGAACATCGCGTTCTCGGGCACGCGATGTCCGGTTTACTGGAAGTTGCAGAAGTCTTTTTGCTTACGGTCATGCCTACGTTAGACTGCACCATCAGACCAAGACCACTCAACGAAAATTAAATGAACGTAGTGGAAAATGATGCACTCACATGCTTGTCTGAGCCGTAGCATACCCCACATGTAAATAATAAGCACATAATGCAGTGAGGGTCAGTTCTGCAAGGCCAAACTAATCATAGGCCTGTGAGTTCGGCGAAAGATGCTTCCGTGCAAGTTCCGTTATGGCAGACGTATCCCTACCTATCCGCCGCGCACCGGCGAACACAGGTCGTATGTTACATAGGAGGCATGTGGGCAGAAGCGATAGCGGGACGAATAGTGGGGGAAGGGAAGAAAGTACGAGCTATATGCAGCCATCAAGCTGACCAGGTGCCATTCAAATAGGAACACGCAGTTGATAAGACTGTATGCAGAGGTTCTAACAACAAACGAACAGACTTATCCGCAGAGCGAGCAATACATGGAGCGACAGCAGGCAGATAAAAGCATGGTGAACATTTTACGATACAGATCGAACATTCGAGAGAGCAAGACGAAGCGGGAAGATGGATAAAGGACTGTAAAGAAACCATGGTGTGAGAAGCGTCGGCTGCAAATAGGAACAAGGAAGACGAGCAAACCAGGGGTGGCACAGGGAGGTGGCGAGCTTCACAAGAGACAAGAAAGAAAACGTGCTCAGTACGCCCAAGAACTTTAATGGCGCGCTCTCTTTCGTCGTACTTTGATCTCACCCGTCGATGAAGCAGGTGATGGTAGGGCTTGAGGAGTTGAATGGCGACTAAGCTCCTGTTCTTGTTCCCCTTGGTCATTCCCCATCGGCTCCCCTTCTTCCTCTTCATCTAGAGGTGACCTTCTACGCTTCCGCGAGGCTCTAGGCGTAGCCTCTGCATCACCTCCGTCCTCATCTTCGCCATCGTCTTCCTCCTCAGTCTCCCGTGCCTGTCCGCGCGTCCGCTTCTTCGTTGGAGACTTCTGTTGGGTCTTCTCCTTCGCCTTAGGCTTAGCACGAGGTCGACGCGGTGCCGTGATCGGAGTGGGGGGTGCTACAACTTCATTTGTAGCCGCCGCAATGTCTTCGGGTGGCTCGGACGGTGGTGGTGGAGACAAGGCTTGATCACTCTCTGGTTCAGAAGCCTCCACGGGTTCTGGTTCCGGTTCCGAGTCTGAGAGACGCTTCGAGCGACGGACAGCTCGTGGACGTGGCCGAGATGGTCTAGGAGCAGTTGGCTCGCCATTTGCGTCAAGCATGTCGTCGACGATATCCTCGTCGTCTGTGGTAACGACGTCCTTCGATTTCGCCGCTCGGCTCTTCGCACCGCCTACGAGATAAGGAACTCATGAGAAACAAACTCCAAGTATTAATGAGGGAGGATGGAGAAAGTGCGGGAGAAGACGTACCTTTCGTCTTTGACATCACGTTGGCAAGGCGTTTTTCGTACGCTCGCTGTGGCTCCCACACCTGCGAGGTGGGGGCAATCTCGACCTTGGCCTGATCCAGGATCTGATCCATATGCGCTTTGCTAGATCGAAAATGACAGAAAGAGTCAGTGGACGAGGACATTGACAACAAATTCTAGAGGGTACGCACATTTTCAAAGCATCACGGCTTTGTACAGGCGCAACCAAAGGGTGTAGTACCTTGAAGAACAGAACGGCTGTATTACGGCCCTTCTTGTTCTTGTTTGCCTCGTACAAAGCAAGACGTTTACCGATCCAAGTCAAAAGGGTCGTGTGGATGTTGATGATATGTTGCGTATCAAGCCTTCGGACCACAGACAGTTGAGCACCACGAATCCAAAGACATCCGGAGAGCATTTTTGCCAGCGCCACAGAGGGACCCTCGGACGAGACCACACCATCAAGCAATAAGGTAAACGACTGGAATGCGATATATGAGCACTGATTTTAGGCGAAAAAAGCGAACAGCGTACCTCCTGGAGAGCTTCGGTGATAACATCGTGCACACCGGCTCCGTTGTCCTTATAGAGCCCTTCATCTTTCAAGACCTCAGCGACAGCTTTGGAAAACGAATCGACAGCGTGGCCCAAGCGACCATAGTGTGTCAGAACGATAGCGCAATGACGCATGTGAACTGCGCCAATCCGGACAGCCTGGAGGAAGGTGGACACGAGGCGGATGAACGCATATTCACGTTCGAGGAAAGCTCGGGTGGCAGGAGGGGTTTCTGAAAAGTGAGTCGCCGGCGGAGAAGTGTCAATTCATGATCCTGCAGTACGACCACCAAAAACTTACTTATTTCCCTTTCCTTTGCACCTTTCTTGCCCTTCTTCGCCTTTGTACCTTTCTTCTTTTTCGACGGAGCGGGCTCGTCCTCCTCTGAGCCAGAATGTTGACTCTCGTCACCCTCGTCTTCGTCAGCGCCTTGGCCCTGGTCATCACCCTGATCATTTTCAGCTAACTCTTCCGCAAATCTTTCGATCTCAGCTTGTACGAAGCCTGCACAACGGTATTGGACCTCGTCATCCAAGGTCAACGCACGCATGGCGGAGATCGGGGACGGGGAAGGACCCGAAGGGTCTACCACTTCCGGGGCAAAAAGGATGTGAAGATTCATGAGATTTATGAACGCCTGCAATTGTTGAGGTCAGTTATGACAATGGGGTGGGTGAGAACGAAAGTACACGTACGGCTCGACGGACGCCGTCTGCGGTGTTGGACTGAGTCCCAACGGCATATTCGACTAACTTCTGGAGCAAGGCCTCTCGCTGCTCTAGGAAGACCTCTCTGAACCTGACCTCCTCTGGGGAAGGATGGGGTTCAGCAGTCAGGTACTTTGCCTTCCACATTGTGTGGCAGGCTAAAAGGTCAAGACATTGTGCGACCATCTAGGGGCAGCAAAGAAGTCAGCTTCTTCGTATGCGATTGGACCACACAGAGCGATGGACTTACTGCCTCTTCTTCCTTGTACCCCAACTTTCCCCTCTCCGCCAACGCATTGATAATATCCCACGCACTACTCTGCTTGCCTCCCTCATCCTCTTCCATCCAGCCGGTCATATCCCTATACCCTGCCAGTGTCTTCAACCTTGTGCAGATCACGCTCAAATTGCGGACCTCGTCCTCGTCAAAACTGGCGATCTCGAGCTCGTCCCGACCTCCGATGGCGTCTCGAAGGGAAGTAGCGAGTTCGTCTTCGAGTTCGAGGATCTTGGTGCTGTTAGCGTTAGAGAGGGCGGTGCAGTGGAGCATGAAGAGGATGGTATCGACGGATTGGGCGAGAACTTTGGGGGAAGAGTGGGAGGTAAATTGTTTGGTGATGTCGCTCCAGAGGCTAGTGTAGGCCTGTCAGACGGCAAAGAAAGAAACTGAGCCAAAAAAAAAGGGTCGAACAAGCGGCAAATAACACTCACGGTCATCATTCGCATCTCGAGATACAAATCGAGGTCCATGAGCTTGGGTATTGCGAGCACTTCGGCGATGCGTGTCTCGTCGGTCTGGTGCTTGGCAAACAGCCTCGGAAGAGCCTTGATGAGCGCACGAGTGATGTTGGAAGACGTTGGATCTTCTTCTCCCTGCAGTTCGGAATCGTAAGAGGAAATTCGTGATATTTAAAAGATCACCACTTACTTTCTTCGCGGTCTGCTGGGCGATCGACTTAGCTTGCCTTAGCGACGCCACTAGGACCTCCAGCAAGACTGCTTCCTCGACCTCGTCCAGCCTCCACGCCTCGTCAACGACACTGTCAGTATCTCCGTCTCCATCCAACTCGCCATCAGCATCTCCGTTCACCTGCTGCTTCCCCTTCTTCTTCTTCCCCCGCGCCCCAGATCCGCTGGTACCCTCGCCTGCCGCCGAGTGGTCCAGCAGTAGTACGTCCAACAAAGACTCCCAGTCACTGACCGGATCCACCTCGTCCCAAAGGCTCTGCACGACCAATGCCGTCCTCGTCTTTGGATCAGACTTCATAAGCGCCTGAACCTCCCTCACACGAGCATCCCTCGAGAGTCCTCGCTCCGCTGCCTCATCCTCGTCACTATCCCCAGGAGAATCAACAACCTTGTCCAAAGCCTTCCCGAGTTTGACAAGCAGCGTCCCCAGCGCCTTAACGCCCGCCCTCTCCTTCTCCTTCCCCTTGGCGTTCCTCTTCCCAACAAGCCTCTCCTGAACCGTCTGCTCCCAAATGGCTCTAACGAACCTACTGACCGCCTTCCTAACCTTCATTTCCTCGTCAAACACCAAAAGACATAGAGCTTCCCTCTCTTTCTCGTGGTGATCCTGCAGGCACCCAATTTCGTCCATGGCTGCCAACACCTGGATGACCGCGACTCTGACTGAAAGCTCAGTGTCGGCCGTGGCCATTTGCACGAGTCGTGGTATGAAGCGTTCGGTGAAGGTGTCAAGGGTGAGGTGAAACTCGGACTTTGAGTAGGGGAAAACGAGGGATTTGACGGCCTCCAATCGGACATGGGTGTTCTGGTCGGAAAGGACCCAGCCAACATAACGTAGATAGTCAGATTTAAGGAACTGGGAAGGGTATTTCTTGAACCAGAGGCCGAGAGCGCGAACACACTCTGTGCGAATCGTAGGATCGAGGTCGCGGTAGCGGTGAACGAAGACCCTATAAATGACCATATGGTCAGAAAGAGTGCAGACATGGTACGGAATGAGTAGAACGCACGTGTTCACGATTTCGTCGATGTAATCCTTCAACTTGTCCCTTCTCTCCCTAATCTCGTTCGCCCGACTGTTCAGATCTTTCTCTCTTGCGCTCGCCGCCCCCTTCTTCTTGTTCGACTCGCCCTGTTTCTGTTTGCCTACTATCTCAGCCTCCTTCTGCACTGCCGCAGCTACATCGCAAAGTGCAGATTCTACTTCAAGAGCGATGACGGTGGAGGTGTGGCGAAAACTTCGGAGTTGCGAGGAGGACATAGGAACGACCCAGTTCTTGATGGTAAGCATGAGGTCGCTCGAATATAGAGAACCGAGTTCCGCAGAGGATTTGATTAGGCGTTCAAGAAATTCGGAAAGCCCTTTGTGGAATTTCTTCAGGTAGGGCAGTTTGGAAGTGAGAGGATAGGGGGGAGCGTTGTCCTATGATCCGCCGAATGTAAGAAACGACTAGAGTACCAGCAAAACCAAACCACGCACCTGTTTCAACGCCTCGGTGAAGTTATCCAGAGCATCAACCACACCGTCATAGTCCACCGCTGCGTCCGCATCGACTGTGTCATTGCAACCACAACACCGGAGGATACAGTTGACGAGTTCTGCCTGAGCGGGCCCTGGAGACTCAGTGAGTGACTCGAGGAAATCCTCCACTGTTGACTGCAGCGCAGCTGAAGGATTAATGATGGCGTCTATAAGTGTACATGACAGAGAGCTTCAGCATCCAGAAAGGTTGAATACAACAGGGGAAATGCGCACTGAAGAGTACGTTGTCGTTGTTGATCTTGGCCTCCTTCGCGACTTTATCCGCGTCAAACGCGTCTCCTGCTACCTTAGGTTTCCTGCCTCTTCGAGCCCCAGTTACCGGCGCCTTAGGTGTGGCTGCTGCTTTCGCTGTGCGCGGCCGTTTGACGGTGGATGTCGCCTTCGCTTTCCCCTTCGCCTTGTCCGGGCTCGCACTTGTCTTCTTCGCTTTCGGGGCAGGATACTCCTCACCTTCTTCCTCTTCACGTTCATTGTCCTCGTCAGGAAACTCGGCCCCGTTCATATCATCATCGCCCTCGTCACCAGTATCAACATCTGTGCGTTTCCGCTTCTGTGAAGCTCCTGTACCCAAATAAGCGTATCAGAGGCATGTACATCGCAGAAATTGGGTGTAATGCGTGCCTGAGACAAATACCGTGGCCTGCTTTCGCTCTCGGTGTGAGCGTCGCGGTTGGGACGAGTCGTTCGCGTTGTCTGACTGGGACATGGTGGTGGTAGGACTAGAGACGCGTTGGGTCCAAATCAAATCGGCGCGTTGATTGAGGCCTGACGCGACTCGTGGGAACGTGTCACTTCATCCGAAGCGGCCACGCGACTCGCGCTGACTCGCGCTCTTGAAGAAATTTCCACCTGCCAGGCCGAGAAAATGGACAAGAAAGGTCGCAATAGTTCATACGGTTAGGGTTTGTCTGGCATAATTATGCAGCCTAATCATTGAAAATAGGTTTCGAAGCCGAATCAAGCTTGATACGTCCCACTCTGAATCGCGTTCTGTGTTCCCTGGCACAACTCACCGACAGAGCTACAGACTCATCCTCAGAGCTAGCTGCCGTTCCGCCCACAGACGACACTTTCAATAATCGGTCCGACTGTCTTGTTCCTGTGCCTCCACTGGCCGTCTTTTTGTTCTCCGTCGACCGCCACTAGCACGCCACCCCGAACTCGCCGTAGTAGCGCCACTGTGAATCTTCCATTATGCCCGATGTTAGAAAAATGCCTTCCCACTGCATATCTGACCACATGCTAATATATAGGCTAAACTCAGTGCGTAACCTCCAAAGATGGAGAAAGGGTGCCACTGCTTTCTTGCCTCTCAAACCCGGCTTTGAAGGCCACTTCGACATACTCGTCCAAACAATGGTCCACTATCACATCCTTCTTATAAGCTGTCCTGGCGCTCGAGAGTTTCTGTTACTCCCCCAGTTTTCATTCAGGGCCCGGTTGCCTCTTGTTACCGCTTTCCTCACTGTGTCTTGCCACGAGGCTGGCCTTGCGTGCCACTGTGTCTTGCAATTGTGTCGCTATTCTAGTCTCCCACGCTCTCTCGCGACACCTGGCTGGCCCAGAGAATCCCTTGTCCCTTGTCTCCCCCACGTCTGGGCACCCTTGTTCCTTGTCCCCGAGATTGCCTTCGCTTGTACTTATCCCCACCAATTTCTCCCAACAATGGCCGGCACAGCACTCTCACGAAAAGCCCAACGCGCTTTGAAAAAGGTTAGAAAGACTGACGCCACCAAAGAGAACAGCCCCCTACAGACTCAAATGGAGACAAATAAAGAGTCTCGGTCGCGCTGCAGCTCTCCCAAGAACAACACTACACCCCTTCTTCTCACGCCAGCCAAGGTGGCTGCGCCTATCCTCTCCCCCGCCTCCATGGACAAAGCTCAAATCGTTGGTGGCCACGATCTTCCCTGTGTCAACCGACGCATACAGGAAGAATCGTTGTGGGACGGCGACGAGGATTTCAACCCATTCTGCTCGCCACCGCCCAGTTACGGAGCGTTCGGCCAGTATTCCACTTTCGAGACTATTCCGGCCCCACTCAGTATTCCGGCTCACTCGTCCATCTTTCGAATCGCATACCACCAGGAGTTCCCCTCGTTGTACCACAGCAACGATATTTGTCGGCCTGTTGAGCAAATCACACGCTTTCAAGTCCTCGAACTTCGAGGTGAGGGATCCTTTGGCATCGTCGTGTCTGCTCGACAGCAGCATGACGGACGGGTTGTGTGTATCAAGATGTGTAACGTGAAGGGAAATCAGAGGGACGAGTATGCGGTGTGCATGAGGAATGAGATGGAAGTACGCAGGAGATTACGCGGGGGTAGATTTAGTCCTTTCGTGTTGGAAACAGTTGCGCACTGGACGAATGTCGACTTGTCGTACCTGGTGATGGTAATGTGTCCTAATTTTTTTTCATCGTATATTTTCGCCATACTCAAGCACAGTTTTTGTCAGCCATTCATGTGCGGGGATTTGCAAGGCTTGTTGGAGCATCCGATCACCATCTCACAACTCAAAACATACATACTCCAAATGGTGCGTCCGTTCTTGTTTCCTGTTCCCACGCCACTCTTTCTTACTGTCCATTACCCTTCGACAGCTCTCTGGCATCTCACATCTCCACGACCGCGGCATAATCCACGGCGATATTAAACCATCCAACGTCCTCCTTGTCCCAAATCATTCCCCCACATCCACCGACATCCCATACTATATCACCATAACCGACTTTGGATTGTCCTACATCCATCCGTATGACGGGCCCATCCCCAGCCTCTTCCCTCCATCCTATCAACAATCTGATTTCGGCTCTTGCTTTAATTTGGGATGTAGGGGCGAAAGGTTCGTCGTGCCGCTGAGTACTGCCACTGGTGGTACACCCATCTTCAAGGCTCCTGAGCTGTATAATATTCAAGTCGATCAGGAGGGATGGCTGGATGATATATATGGAATGAGTAACGTTTGTATGCGTTCAGTGGTCCATGACTTGACAGGGACAGGGGCGGAGGATGCATCGGGGTATGATCATACGGTCGATTATTGGGCGTTGGGGGTGACGCTGTATCAGCTCATGACCAGCAACTTTCCATTCGAAGGTTCGGACCACCAAACTCTCCGTATGAGTTTGATCAAGTATTGCCAGCATCCGTTGACCCATACGGGCCAATACTGGGCGAATATGGGAGATCGATTCCCTGCGGAGGTTGCGGAAGTTTTGACGTTTGTCAGTTTATCTCTCATGCACTCTCCGACACAGAGACTGACATTCTGACGCTTCGGTTCGTGTGTTGTGACGGTGTGACCATTTTAACTACAGTTACTTCATCCCAGCCCAGTTCAACGTCTCAAATGCCGAAACCTCGCGAACCTCGCTTTTTTCGACTGGATCGGAGAGTCAGTGCTGTTCATCTCCTCCCTTCTTTCACAATTGTTTCCTCCGCGTGCGCTCACCGGCTTCTTGCTTCGGTTTGCTGACATCATTACGATCGTTATATGTAGAGTTGACCCTGAATGGGAAGAGAAGGGGGAACAGGTTGCTTGCTGGAACCTGCGTGCGTACTTTGCTTCTCTCACAGATCCTGTCGACTTTAATGTCTCCTTGATCATTCCATTTTGTTACAGTCGTGAACGAAGCGTATATGCAGGAGACCTACATGCATTTAGTATAGTGAGCTGTTCTCTCGCGTTGAACGCGAGAGAGAGGATCATAGGGGACGTGAGATTCGCCCAATGCTAACCTGCACAAAATAGGTGGAATGGTCTGATTATTCAGTCCTGCATAAGACATATGGATGGAAGGAAACACATTGCGAGTGTCTCCCAGTGTACATAACATGCGTCCGCCCGAATGTAGCCAACTGAACCACCACACCTATGCTGTTATTTCCACCTGGGATAAATTCTAGCACAACATTGTCAGTCTAACCTTCCGTGTCACGTCGATAAATCCTGTGGTATGTACGATCAAGTTGACTGTGTACTACGCAGTGCCACTGTGGACTTTCAGGACAAATTATTTAGCGCCGCAATTTACATATAGGCGAGATGGCCGAGCGGTCTAAGGCGCCAGACTAAGGATCTGGTCTCTTCGGGGGCGTGGGTTCAAATCCCACTCTCGTCAAATTGTGTGTTTCGGATAACATGCTTTTTGTTGCTCGCCTTTTCCATAGGCGTGACTTCTCATGCACAGGGAACGATGCACACATTCTATGAGGCTGATTAGGATGTACAATCCGAGAGTCGGTCTCAATCGTGCATAATGGAACCCGCAGAACACAAAATATCCGTAAAAAAAATCGACACCACTCCTCGCACCATCTTCCTCAGGCTCTTTTCCCTCCCGCTGAACCTTCACCATTGCTCGTTCAGCCATAACTAGTACTAAACGCTCAACTCCAATCATTCGCATCAAGCTCTCTCGCGGGTCTTTCCCTTCCATTTTCTCTGGGGCCATCGGATTCCTCATCAGGCGGGAGCATGATCATGCCCTCTTCTTTCTTGAAAAAGGTAACCCAAATGGCGGCGGCGAGGAGCGTGAGGGGGTGCAGAACGGTAAACATGATGCAAGTGATCTGTTTGTCCGAAAATGCGCCGTTAGCTGCAGCCAAGCCTCGTAGTTGACAAGAGAAGTCATGAGGGAGTGGGGGAGAGTGCAGCCAGGAAGACGCACATAGACGGGCGCAGGCTTGAGTTTTGTGGCCCAAATCGCTACATTGATCCATGTGGCCCCAACACACCACACGATATCGCGTCGGACAGCAACGATGATTAGTCCAAGTAAGTTGACACCAAGGATCACGCCGAATCCTTCCCATTGATGAGCACGGTAGTGATCTTTGTGGGCAGGGTCCCAAGCGTGGCCTAGTGTGACGCTGTGGGTAATTGATCACAGGTGTGCATGAGTACGATTGTCGTTAGCAGATATCCGTGTACGGGGGAAGTAGGAGGAGACGTACAATAGAGAATATGGGAACAGGAGCATGAGAGGAAGAATGAGGAAGAGACGGATGGGTCCGTGAATGAGGGCGACATCGAGAGGACGAGCTCGCGTAGGTGGGTGATACGTGAATAATACGACATTGCAGTAAATGAGGAGAAGTAGAAGTATTCCGAGGAGGACTGTGGAAGCCAGAAACATGCGGAATACCTGGAGAAGTATTGTCAGCTAAGGCTAGATCGACAATAGCAGCGAAAGATTTCCATACCCATGTAATAGCCCATGCTGCTGTGACAAAGTTGGAGAATACTAATGCCATACCAACTCCCTTGACGACCGTTGCCTACATTCGCGTGGAGAGTTGGTCAATGTTCAACTCACTGGGCAGCAGCAGTTTATGGATGAGCGCACCTTCGTTTCCCGCTTCCTTGCGATCACGAGGAGAACGCAATACCCTATTTGGCACACGTATATAGCCGCAAAATATGCAGCAATCAAGGGTGTGTATGGAGATATTGATGCAGGGAACCATTTCACGACGTCTCCTATGGACCGAATCGTATGTAAGTCTCAACTCATCTAGCATTGTGGAATGATAAGAACGGCGCACCGAGTGATGGAGAAACAACGAGAGCACATATCATCACAGTCGCAATGTTAATAAGTAGTGACAAGGGTGTCAAGACTTGTAGCCTTCATGAGTTTGTTAACGTTCAAGCAACTTCGTGATCAAGCCGCCAGATAGAGAAGCATACCGAATTAGCGACAAATAGTCGCGCACGGCAGGATGATGTGTATCCAATGGTAAGTCATCCATGCTAGGTATCTTCCAAGCGACAGCTTCGATAACGTTGACTACAGTGTTGGTGGTGGGGGTAAAGAAAAGACAAGGTTGACGTCTGCATGGTGGTCAGTTGCAAACTCCTCTTGAGTAGACAGCAACGACGTCATAGGCGCGATCATAATAAGCCGCAAGCTTGGCGCATGTTGCGTATGTTCGTCGCCACACCTCGCCACACGCCAATACAACCCCACCCAGACCGAGGCGGTAGGCCACAAATCAGTAGTCGTTGATTGAAAAAACAGAAGATCTGGTTAGCCATCCAACATAATGTACATGAATAATCTGTAAGCCCCAGTATTTCACCTAACTAGTGCGTATACCCGATCCTCCCGGGCACAACACCAAACGCACGCCCCTTCTTCCCGAACATCTTCCTCAAATCATCGACCAGCCCTTCCGGGTTCTCATACGACGCAAAGTGTCCACCGTACTCGTGCTCCGACTCGAATACGACGTTGCCTATCGTATGCACCCATCTGTTCATTGTGAAATGAATATACCACATCAATGAAACAAAGCAGCAGTGACCCACGATCTTGGAGGGAGATACCCCTCTTGCGGAAAGTACGAGATACCGATAGGGACGTGCTTGATGTTGATAGGAATAACGCCCGGACCCCATAGGTCTTCCATCTCGTAGTAAATACGGATGGATGCGGCAGGTCCAGCGCGTGAGAACCAATATATTGACACCCAGGTCAGCACTATAAGTACAAAACCCCAACAGAGCCGCGCAGTCAGCGTCAAACGGACCTGACGAAACAGCGAGAGAAGACATACCTTCGTCATCATCCCAATCATACGCGTCTGTCCAACCGACCAGTTTCTCGTATATCCACGCCAACAACCCCACAGGCGAGTCTGCCAGTGAGTATCCGAGAGTCTGAGGTTTGGTGCTTTGGATGGCGGTGTACGCATGCCCAGTTTTGAGGTGTTCATCCCAGCGAGCGCGGCTAGCGCGTTCACGAGAAGAGTACGGCATGATGGCGTGCCACAACCAGCTCATTGGGTTAGAGAAAAGGGAGGGCGCCCATACACTGTGTGAGATGTGGCAGCAATGCTTCGTCATGAGTAACAAGGCAAGACTGAGGGGAGATCACAGATAATGACATACACCGGGTAGTTGGTATGCCAGGCTTTAACGTGTTTGGGTCCATAGCGAACGGCCATATGACGGGTTATCTGAGGAAAACGGTAAGGACAGGGGGACCTTAGTTCAGGCGAAACCGTGAATGGGTTTTTGGAAATTGACCCACCAGACTACCCCAGTCGCCACCTTGTACAACATATTCATGGTACCCCAATGCCATCATTAAATTGTGGGCGACCTGTATACTCCTGTGAAGCAGTACGGTGAAGGGGTCAGCGATAAGCCACTCACTTCTGTGTACTGGTCTATGGCGAAACCCTTCTTATGAGGACCCTCTGAGAAACCGAACCCAGGAAGCCCAATAGCGACGACATGGAAGCTTGGATGGTCCGGGGAGGATTCCGTTAGCAGGGGCAATATCTTCTTCGCTTCTATAAAACTCCCTGGCCCTACAATCAAGAGTCCACATCCGATTCAATTTGACTACTATGTCCCCGAGAGAATGCGATATACAAAGACAAAACTCACATCCATGCACGAACAATAACGGAACTGCATCCACAACCTTACTCCTCCCGTGCACATAATGCACATCCAACACTCCGTGCCCCTCAACCTGAACACCCATGGTAAACATAGGCAATTTCTCATTCAATTCCTTCTCGTACTTCCTCCAATCGTAACCGTTCGTCCAACGCGCGACGAGCCGTTGAACGTCGGCCAAGGGGGAACCATAATCCCAGTCTGCATCGTCGAGTTCGTCGGGAAAGCCGGTGATAGATAGGTGTGTTTGGAGAGCCTCGAGAGCCTCTGTGGAAACGGATATCTGGAATGGGGTTTCGATATGGGAGGTCATTTGGGTACTTGCGAGAGTTTGAGTGAGTAGGACAAGGCAAGGTGAAGAGATTATATAGGCTGCCACTTGCGACCCTGGCGCTTCCCGGGGCTCATGTGTTCAGAACTTGGTGCCCTGCGTCGTTAGGAGTCGCTGACAGATGATACACGACGAATAAGTGCATGACTCGCTCAACTTTAAAACATCTGAGAATAAGATTGTGATGAATAAGAAAGGGACAGACTGAGTTCGTCGGGGTCAGCTGGTGTTCGGAGAATAGCCACGTGATCGCGTTTACCCTAAAATGTGGCCCATTGCAGTTGTTTTCGAGACGAAGCTTCTGAGTGCTCAAACACCAAAACATTTTCATATACTACGAGTACACGCCCACAAAATTCCCGCACAAACACAACTATAAACTTCCGTTGATCACACCATAACTAGGAAAGCCTTGAATAAATTGATATCGTAGGATAGCACAGACCTGGCCCTCATACTTCGATCTTATTTAGCTCTGCATATAACTCTTCTACATCATCAAAAGTTTTCCAAGCCTCTTTAGGTACCCCTGCAAACGCCTTCTCGAGTCGTTTCGCGCTGTTCAGATGCTTTTCCTTCTCGGGGTCAACGCCTCTCACTGTCCGGATCCATATCCTCTGAATCCACCCGGGGTACGTCTTATATCTACAAGATACATGGATTTAGCGTCAGTTTGTAAGCGGATTGGATACAAGGAGAAACGCACATTTCGGCGTACGACTCCGGATCCGTCTGCGTACTATCCCCAATTGCAACCCATCTCTTCCTCGGTAGCCACCCGTGCACTTTCTTCATCCTATCGACTTTATAGTCCTGAGTGCCTTCGGATAAATTGACAACGAAACTGGAAAGATCCATCCAGCTCATGTCACGTAGAATAATTTGACCATGTGGGTAGTTTTTGCGTACGAAGGACCGAAGGAATGGGTAAAGATTGTAAGGCGATGCGGAGAGGTAGAGGTAGGTAGGTGAGTTAAGACGGGCCTGGAGGGTTTGATAAAATTCGGGGAAACCTGGGGTGGGTTCAGGGGAGTTGACGAAGGTATTGCGAAGCAGGGCGGCTCGGTCGCGGACTTGCGAGACTTTGATGGTGTCGTCGATATCTACAGATGGTTTGAAGAAGGACGGTGCCAATGTCAAAGTGGCATTCGAGATGAATAGACTCAAACGAGTTAGACAAGGAGGCAATTACCTGATATGATACCCCATCCTCCCGCACTCGCACAGAACACGTCCATCTCTATGTCTCTCGTATCCCCCGGCTCGGTGATCGCAACGCACTTCAACTTCGCTCCAGGCTCTCCCACTGCCACCGGTCTATTGAAGCTCCTCCTCGAACTACTGATACCGTTCCTGTCACTTCTCTCCAACTTTAAGACCTCTCCTGTTCTCTCGTCCCGTTGTTCATCCCCATTGATCCTTACTGACAACTGCTTCGAGGGAAGGATGTCGGCAAGGAAGGGCTGAACGCGTGTCTCGATAGTACGTCGTGCAGCTTCGTCATCTGGAGCGAGGTTAAGCTCTTGTGCGATTTGAGCTATCCATTTTCCTGCCTTCGTTCGGAATTTGTCTTGAGCGAATAAACAGGCGACGAACTCGGCGGTCCATGTTGCGTTGGTGGCATCGCGGTCGAATGCTAACGGTGTCTGGTCCTTGCCGTTGTCGTCAGCTGGAGTAGGGAACGCGGTGGTGTCAAGGAGCCAGACTGTGTCTTCAGGAGAGACTGGAACAGTAGTGGAATGAGAGGACATTTCTGGGAGCAGATACGACCATCCTTCCTCGACAGCGGCTTTGAGTCGGGTGAAAGGCATCGATGTCAGAATGTCACAGCACAGTGGGCCTAGATGAAGCGTGAGGGTGTAGGAGAGGAAAAAATCGGCCTAGTTATATGCCTGAAACTCGTGAAACAGGGTGGAGTGGGTACGGTTGGCATCCCCTTTTACATTAATTGGATAGAGTCCCACTCACAGGGGCGTGAGACACTATCGAAGCGATGACGCTGGTTACTACCCCCACGATAAAATCACAGGACGACAAGAATACGAGAGAGGTAGCACGTCAGGGTGCCAAGACTCCCGGAGACGAAGTATAGGACGTGTGTCATATCGAGCTATTCCAGGTTTGTGCTCCCATTGGAGAAAGGTAGTGAATACCAATACATGACGTCGCCCAACGCACCATGGATGGTGGGTGAAAACCATATTCCCAGATGCTAAAGCACAAAGAACTTGGGACAGGGGGCAAATGCAAAGACTTCGCGCACGACGAGGCATGCCATGAAGTTAGTATGAGGTGCACTGCAAACCTGCCGGGAACCGGTGGCAGGTATTGACATGGCAGACTCCTGGAGAGCCGTGTGAATCCGGTGGAAGGAGGCCTAGAACTCGCTGAAAACGGTGGAGATCGTATGGAACTAGATGAAAGCAGTGACCGTTGTGATGTGCAAACCGTCGATCATAGTGCAAAGTTCGGTGGTGGCGGCAGTCATGGTAGGGAGGCAGCGTGGCAAACTGTAGCAAACGCCACAAAGGTGATAGTTTGAAGCTCCGCTACTCCGATCAAGACAACAAACGTCCACAAAACCAATTTCAAAGCCGAACTTCGAAGGTCTTGTTGGACCTCTCTCAACGCTCTGCTTTGTTTCCTTATCTCATACGGATCTTGAACGAACGTCTGCAAGTATGCATTGGCACAGCTACGAGTGGCAGAGTGCCTCGCAGTGCTCGCTACCATTTCCGCCGGCAAGAGGATTGACGTAAATTTGCATTACTTACCTCTGGCACCCAACGCGACTCTGTGTCAGATCATGGAGACAAAGGAAAATGCCTAGCCTGGGATTCCGTTTCCATCGCCTTTGTATGGCGACTGGTGACACCGGCACTATATAAAAGCCCGCCTCTCGAACATATCTCGGTCAACTAATTTCTCCTTCCTCCCCACACCCCCCATCTCCGAACACCTTCAGCTCGAACCCTTCCCACGCACGCATATGTCTATTTCCAACAGCTTGAAACGGTTCCTTCGTCGAGGTTCTACTACGTCTGACCAATCGCCAAGTGAGCGTCGCCACTCCTCGCGCTTGTCCTCCTTTAGGCAGCCGTTTCTTGACACCATGGCCGACGAGACACCAACTGGGCCGTCCGCGACCTCTTCCATTCGTGATGTAGGTCTATATCAACCCTCTAAGCATGAAGTCTCATCAATTCAAACCAGATACAGGATGATGCACCGCGCCCGACCCCTTTGCTGATTCAGTCGGGTATCAAGCGCAAGGCCACAGAAGACCTCGAGAACGTAGTAGTGGACAATCTTCCGTCGATCCCGGACGAGGTTGTTTCGCCAACTATAAGCCGACGTTCTTTATCCCTAGCGGAGACAAGTGACGGCAGTATCGAAAGACGAGAACCCTCCCACCAGCCCAATCGCATGCGGTCTCCCAGGACATCGGCGTCCGAAGTCTTTTCCTGGGCTAAGGGACCAGGAGCGGGACATAGCGAGGCTGTCTGGACGCCGATTTCAGAGAATGGTCGACCCCCTGCGTCCATCGCTACGATCTCCGACTATGATGATGATGCCGACGAAGATGTGTTCCGCCATACGGTTGGACGCGAGGCAGAATCTGCCGACCTCACAGGCCATAGAACAACAGCAGGACACTATGTTTCTGCCATGGAAATGGTTCACAAAGAGACGAACACCCGTGAGATGATTTTCTCTCCCGATATAATCCATCCCCTTCCAACATCATCCACCTTGAAACCCCCAATTCCTTCTCGCCATCCTCAAAGGCCAGATGGCAAACTTCTTCACGACCATAAGCACAGGCATACCGGCCCCGAGGATGCAACCCCATCTCTGCCATCCCCGTCATCTACAGCTCCCCATCGGCACCATAGTCGAAAGAAGAGGGAAAGCTGGGAATCTGTCGCAGCGCATCTTAGCAACTTCCGCTTTCCTCCTGATCCTCCAAAACAGCCCTCCGTTGACAGTCGTCGCTTGTCTACTGGACGTGTCAGCACCCTGTCTACTCTGGGGCCAATCGTTCTGAGCTGTGATGCCAAATACACGTTCTCTGGGGGCCAAAGTGAATATAAGTTCCAGAACCTTGTGCTGCGAGGAAGCGAAAACGATCTTGATACGCCCGGATATCTTGAGAATCCACGTCCTGCACCGGTCGCTCCTCGTGAGTCTACCACGAATATGCCGCAGCACTCGATCTCTTCTCGCGGTACTGGAAACTTTGAATGGTGTGTCCGTGGCACTATAAGAAACAGTGCCTCGTGCCTCGTTCACCTTGCAGAGCATCGCTCTGGAGCTCTTCACGCGGTGAAGACCATCCCTCTGCAAGCTCTGAATACTCCGGCTGTTGCACAAAGGCTCATAGTAGAGCTAAAGGTTATGAGCCTCCTTCGTAACTCGAAGCCGCCTCCTCTTTTCGTGTCAGCTCCTGCCGTGGAAGCGGAGACATGGTACTGGGCGTCTTGGGATAATGGACTCCATATTGCAATGGTTCGTTCTCCTTTTTTCTGAGATGCAACCAGAAAACTGACAGTTTCGATGCCATCTAGCCTTTTCACCAGCGAACGCTCGAGCACCTTATCGGAACTTTGACGCATACCCAGGCCCAATACATTGCTGCTGAGATGGTCCGTCTCATTATCCTCACTCCTTAGTCACAGCGTTTTCTCATACTTCTCAACCTCCATGCAGACCATGGCTATCCAGTACCTTCACGACAACGGCATTGTTCACAATGATACCCGGCCTAGCAACATCTTCATCGTCCACACGGGGCATTGTGTTCTTGGTAACTTCAGTCGTGCATCTCTCATTACCGACAGCTTGGAATGGGACGTCCCGAGCGTCTCAAGGGGAGACCTTGTATATCTTGCACCGGAAATCTTCTTCGCGCTCAAACCTGAAGACGATATCCCAATCCGATATACTCAGATCGTGGATTGGTGGTCCCTGGGCATAACCCTTCTAGAAGCATGCGCTGTTCCGTTGGCAATGTCGGTGAGTAGTGGCTACGTTGACTCGCATGTGTTTTCGTTGAGCGTAAGTAACCTAACCTATCACGTCTTTCTTTAGCCTCTCATGGAAGAGTTTGGACCCAGCCGTCCACGACGTAACGGTATAATCCCTCATTTCACGGAAGCCGAGCAGACTCGCCTCCAGGGCTGCGTTACCAGGTTACTCACACCTGCCCTCATTGGATGGCGTGTCCTCTCAGAGGGAAACATCTCTACGGATACTGCCCTGAACTACATTCTGACGGTACGTTTCCAGCACCGGTACTACAATCTTCTGGTGACTCAGACTTACATTTTTATCGTCTCAGCTGCTCCACTTGAATGGGTTAGATAGATGTCAATATTCTGAACACGTTCTCAAGGAGCACATATTTTTCGATAGAGGGTACGTTGGTATATTCATGAACTGCCATGCACATTCCACTAAAACTCACTCAGAAATATCGATGGTACGGAACTGTTCCGTCGTCTTCGAGACGACGAACTCCGTCGTACGTATTTTCTTCCCTTTCATTCCCCCTCCAGATCACTCATCTCAAATTGCACGCCAGCTTTCGAGAGAAACAAAGTTCACGTATGGCCGGTGAACGAGGCTGTGAAGGAACAGAAGCCTCTGCGTAGTGACCTCGAACTGCCGTCGGGCTCGTCGGATGCAGGAAATCACCCTCTCGAGCCGCCATCGCTCGCCGCCCTGGGTCAGTTGTTTAGAGAGGCAAAACTATCTTTGCTATTTGATGATCGGATCCGCACCGGGGACGATTGAAGGGATTTCTCCATTGTAAATCTTTACACGGAAAGGTGGATGACGGCGACGACGGAACCGTTCAACACTATGGCGAAACTTCTCTTCTGATGAAGCCTTTTTCTTTTTGTATCTCCTACTCTCCTGTATTTTTATCTTCAATTCTCGATGTATCCTTACACTTTTACACCAGTGGAGCTAAGAATTGAGCAACCATCATTTATGTAGTTTATCGGAGCAGAACTGTCGGTCAAGGTACTTAGATGGCTGTGGCGAATTTATGGTGTGGCGTAAGTAACTTCGATATATGTGGCGCACTTCTAAATCTTTTTAGCTTCACTCAGACGACACAAATTCTCGAGCACTAAGTAAGTCTGAGAATCACAAAGGACAACTCTCTCTGGAGCTTCCACGCTAAAACTTTGTCTGTCATAGAGGTGAGCACTATAAGCTCCGCGGCCATAAAGCGTCAGGACTAGGAGGAAGGCATCGACGGTCAATCTGCCCATATGGCTGGTAAGGCTCGACGATTGCTGAGCAATGGTGGAAATATCCCACCAACGTCCCGCTCAATCCATCTCAACTGTATTGTGTATGATTTGATTCCCTCGGTGCGGGACGTTCGACGGGGCCACCCGCGCAGGTTCCTCATGGGCCATGGCGTCTTTACCTGATTGTTCTATATTCGTTGCGAGTCCTGACGACACATCCTATTCGAATCAAACACTGCAGTTATTTGTACTCCGCAGTGACCTTGCCCAGCCGCCAAATTTATATTTTGGAATGATCGATATTCTGACAGAGCTGCGTAGCTTCCGAGTCGAGTATTCGTGCGAGACAGAGTCCTCATCAAGTTCGTCGATCAATTTTACAGAATTACAGAATCTCGTCAAGCTTCTTCGAATAGCATCTTCAGCGCAATCGGGCCTCTTGTTCTGGAGTCTTACGGTCGGTCTTGTCTTGTCAAGCTCGCGAAGATTTTTAGAAGACGTCGGTTAGAGAAGCCGCCCGGACTACTTATGGCTTCCCGAGGTTTCCCGTGAAGTCTTAATTACTCCCCACCACTATTCTATGATTACGACTGTCAACTAATTCTTCTAGTCCTTCTTGATTATGTGTGAAGGGAAAGCGAAGCTGGCTCATCCTACTATTGATCCCGGGACGAGGGTCACGATGTTCATGGGAGTAGTATAGCTGTGAGCATTCACGGGCGTTCACACTCGAGCTTCAAGCTTCCAGGACCATAGAAGGCCGTAGAAGGTAGGTTTCGTTAGGGTTCTTGAGGTACTAACGGCATAATATACATAGCGTGTCCTTCCCGCACTGGAGAAACAAGCGATCTACCTCAAATCGGCATGCACCCTTCCTGGAAAGAGATTGACTTTGTGCTTCCGAGGCCAATGTCCATTGTATGAGAGGCCCGCGGTCGAGAGCACTGACTCGGAATCGGAGTATGTGAGAATCAACTGGACGAATGTGAACGTCTCTGGACCGCATACGCACCCTCCAACTCGAAGCACACCGAGGCCCGATGCTCATTCGCAGCTCGCAGCTCTGGACGCCCTTCTATGAAGTGACATACCCCGCTGATGAGGGTGCAGGCTCGAATGAGACCCAGAGCCTTTCTGATGCGAATTGAAAGATTGCCAATTTGCTGGACGCCGAAGGTGAGCACGGAACAAAAGGCGGCACGGTGAGCAATTTGGAGTCCAATCCACTGCGGGCCTGCGGCGACCTATGAGCGCACACTTCTATGGTCTGTGAGCGGAGAGCCTCCTAGTAAGTACGGGTAGAGCAGCAATTTGGAGAAGCGGATGTGAGCGGGATTTGAAACACCGAAGCGGCGCGGCGCGGCGAATACGAACCCATCTTCGGAAGAAGGGGAAGGGGGAACAAGAGAACGTTAGTTTGAATATCACGAGGCTGTGGCCCAGGCGTTGACACAAACCGGCGGGTAAGGTCGCGCAGTGCCCATGACCGACCTCCTTCCCTTCGGAAGAGCCGAGATGCGGGATACAATGAGCTGAGGGTTCGTAATGCGGCTATTGGTGTAAGCCAACATGGAGCTTATATGGGCGATATACTCAAGAATGGAGAGTACTTACGCATAGATACCCCATAGGTAGATGAAGAGTATTGTTCAGACTCTTCGACACAGAAGACCGTGGGCATTTTCAGCCCGCGAATGAAAGTCCCGATTTGGGACCGGAGGCACTGGGTGGGTATAGGGCGGTAATGAAAGTTGCGAGATGAAGGTGGCGTGAGCGATGTGCATGTGGCGCAAGGCGCAAATTTACCTCTCGCACGTAGTCGCACGTCCGCACAAATTGTAGGCTTCGAGCTTGGCGGGGCGTCAAATATCGGGTCAGCCGTTTCACTCTGCTCTATCATCCACAGGTAGAGGAAACTGGCCGGATAACAGATCGTGCAATATCTCGCTGGTCACATCGGAGGATGTGAAGTAAAGTAGAGGAGGTGACAGGTTGAGGAGACTGGTGGCTGAGGAATGGTGATGGTGGTGCAAAAAAAAACCATCGCCATCGTTTGATAGGTGGCCTTACCCCAAATGGTGACTTCGAGAGCCTATATTCTCGGGCTCGACCGAGCGCGGTATGCAGCTCTCTTCGATTGCACAGAGATGTGAATGAGAATGTCCGACTTCATCGGGGGTTGAGCGGGGCAAACACGGCGTAATCAAAGCTCACAAAGGCATATGGAGGAGGGACGGGGTTCGAGCAAGTTCTCGACGTGTATGAGTGATGAGTACTAACGCTGACGAGCTGAGCGGTATGTCCATTTGGGCGTCCTTAATGAAGTAAAGTGCCGTGAGCATTTCCGACTGATGATCGGCGGTCACGACGTGGAAGCAATTCCCCATGGAAGTATGCAGCAGCATCGACAAGTTCAATGCCAACTGGGGCTCGATGTCGTGTGGCGAGAATCGTGTGTGGCGGGGACGTGAAACACAACCGTATATGGCCGCAAAGCGGCGGCAATAATGGGTGATTTTGGTAGATAATCCATGCTGTCAGGAACAGAGTCGACGAATGGAGAAAGCAGCAATGCGCACCGCGAGGCAGGTTGAGAGGGAAACACATTGACCATCGCTTAGGCCGCAGCTACCAGGTATGGTCGAATCCGAGCATATCCTTGAACCTTGAAAATGAGGGACAGATTGACCTAAAGATTCATGAGAGTGAACTATTGGGCATTATAGCACAGAGAAGCGGTAACGTTGTTCCCGGGCCTGGAGAGCGAGATGAGAGAGCCGTAGGGACAGAGAAACACGCATGCGAAAGAAGAGGGAACATATCACCGTTGTCTGCTGAGTTCGCTTGAGCACGAGGCACGTAGGAGGGGAGCAGCGGGTTTCAGCGAAACTTACCAGACATCAGGGACTGGATATTGGTGGTTACAGAGTTTCATGGTGATTCAAACCGATTTAAACCAAAGTTCCTGATTGAGCGAAGAGACTGGACAAGGTTGGACGAAACAATGCGCTGAAGAGGGATTTTGGGATCTGCGAGGCGTAGCGCTTTGACAGGAGGATGGTGTTGAGTAGGAATAAAGTATACGCACAGTCTGCGCACGCTTCCTTCCTTCCGGGACGCGGAAGAGGATCTGAGTCGGTACCGTCACCGAATGCATCATGTTGCCTGAAACTTCTCTGAGATCGCAAGAGTGTTTGGTAGCTTTGACGACGGAGAGGTGGTCGAGTTGGTGAAGTATACAGCGACAGCCACTGGTCTTCGCCTAACACAAGGCCCTGAAGCACGTTGGGATTAGGTTCAGCAATAGGTTGTGCCGTACACAGTTGGCTACGATCCGAGATATGGGAACAGACCTCCGAGTTGTTGAAGAACAGATGGAACTGTCAAACACAGATTAAAGCTGAAGAGATGCAGACAAATTATGCAAATAGATGTGTACCAAAAGGATCTTACCTTGAGCCTCGAGTACGGATGCAGCTTAGCTTGTTCTGTTTGCGCACGCCACGCCACGCAAAGCGATAGGTTATCATGAACGGAGGCTGCGCTCGCTCACTCCGCCGGTGAACATGGGGTACTGTACGACGGTGTCAGGAGATACATAGCTGTTTCACGCTTTCGGCGACGCCAAGGCACCCCTGGAAGTGAAATATAGGCTTCGAAGTCATTCAAAGCTGAGCGACCAGATTCGAAAGCGATGTACCAACGTGAGAACGGTCGCAGAGGCTTCACAAGATGGAACTGTTTGGCGCGAAGGATTATGGTTGGGAAAGGCAGGGGGGTCGCCCAGACGGTCGTTGAGTGTGGCCGTGGAAGAAGATCTGGGGTGGGATAGGCAAAAGGCGAGCCGCACGCAGCCAGTTGGCCGGAGTCGAATTTCCATGTGGAAGCACGCCGAAATAAAATGGATTTCGTAAATGATGTGAATTGGGAATGCATCCCGATCCGGTCTTGTCATCAACACCGTCAACCGAGAACAGAGATGCTGAGCGCCTCGTAGAACAATTCAAAAGGCAGGTTTACGCTGATCTGCACCGAAGATGCCCGCTTCTCCCTCCGAGCGCGACTCTGCACGTCGTCCTGCCCCCCGTAGCGTCCTCCCCATGGGCAGACGGACCGTCTAGTGCTCACGCATTCCTTTCCATTCTTCGGCTCGATACCCCTCGATAGTCTTCATTTTTCGTTACGAATATCCGGCCGACCACTCTCATTTACCGTCTCGTTTGGATCCCTGCTCCAGCACTCACCATGTCCAACCCCCCACGCCGCCTTCGTACCAGAACCGCCGAGTTCACTGACCATTTTCTTCGTCGACGTGATGAACCAGCACCCCCAATGCCAGCGATTGTGCAACCTGAAGCACCCTATGCTCAGAGCGGCAAATCCAAGCGCAGCCTGCCCTCCTTCCTTGGCTTTGCGTCTAAACGAAAGTCTTACAACCCGCCTCGCGATTCTCAGGACTCTTATCCTTCGTTTGCGGAGCCATCCTCACCACGAAACCCGGCGGGACTATCATCACTGCTGTAAGTGGTCCCCTACGGCGGTCGTTGATCGCCGCGATCTTTTCAAGCGTATCGTTTATTTCGAAGTCTATCATGTCGGTTTACTGATCGTGTGCTGTGCGATCATAGAGGCCCAGAAATCATCTCGTCCTCTAACCCCAACTCGGTGGATATTCCTCGTAGCTCTCGCGGATCAACCTCCACTGCTCCTTCCTTCACGAAATTATCCTCCCCGTCTCTGGTACCAGGTCGCTCCCCCGCACTTTCTTCTCCGCTCAAACGCAGATCGTCGCCTCCTAAGGTGTCACCCACCGAGGAGTCCCAAACCTTTCATACCCCGCCCTCATCCCCTAGCAAGAGCTCGTCAGCGCGTTTGCCTCCTTCTCCATCTCGCACCACTTCCAATAGGTCATCGAAAGAGCACACAACATCTTCCCGGCCTGTCATCACGGTCTCTTCCTCTGGCTCTTCGACGGAGCATGCCCAGGACGCTCATGACGAAAGCTTGTTCACATGTCCGCGTACGCCCCCCGCACCACCAAAACAAACCTCTCGAGCCCCTAGTTTCTCGTCGACATCAAGACCGCACCGCCAAGCTGACGCGAATTCCTTCCCCGGACCTTCTAGAACGAGCGACTCATCACCGTCCTCGTCCCTTCGCCGAAATCCATCTTCCACCTCTCAGAAGGCATCCCCTTCCCCTCCCTCTGGACTTCCCACCCGATCACCCAGCAGGCTCGTCTCGAGTCGATCTACTCCACAGAATGGTTCGATTGCGCGCAACCGTATGTCATTGCAGCAACACACACCGACTCAACATTCGACAGGTCCAGCAGCACAGCAACCTTCTCGCCCGCAACATATGAGGGCGATATCATCCGATGCCGGTGCTGAACTCGCCTTCCTCGACGGGCCCTTCGATCCCTCACCTTCGTCCGGACTCTCGAACACTCGCCCGTCATCTCCTTCCAACACGTCTCAGGAGCTAGAAGACATCCTTGAGCTCACATCTTTCACCACCCCGTTCGACTTTCCTCCTCGTGAAGAGTCTCCTACTCTGGCGTCAGAGCCAGAAATTCCTGCGAGGACGTCGTCGCTCGCTCGAGCTTCACCGGTTGCTACACTTGGCTCCGTCAAACCTAGGTCGTATTCTTCCGCGTCGACATCTTCGACTGGGACACGTCGTGCTCCAGGTGCACGGTTGCCCATGCGAACAAAACCAGGAGAGTCGAGAAGTTCAGCTTCCACCGAAAGTCCACGGGGGTCACCAGGTCCGTCTCCCAGACCGCCGCCATCGAAGTTACCAGGTCCATCCTCTAGCCCGAAGCCGTCGTCAGGCCCTCGTGGTGGCCCCCCTGGAGGTAGACTACCGAGATCAGTATGTGTCTTCTCCATACATCGAGAGTCGAATCTGGCTGACTGTCCTTTCCATCGCGATGTGTATGCAGTCTTCTGCTACTTCACTTTCACCTTCCTCTAGACCCGGACTACCGCGAAACCTCTCCTCATCGTCGCTCGCTCGTTCACGCCCAACAGCATCGGCCATCCCTCCCGCCTCCGCACCCCCAGTCGGACCTCTTCCGTCAGCGCCTTCCCGCTCACACTCCCCTCTCGTCAACAAATCCCCAGCGATGAGCAGCCTCAGTCGCACGACATCCACTTCAGGCTCCTCCACCCGTTCCCTCGCACTTTCATTATCCGCCCTCTCGCATCGCTCCGGTGCGGACTCCACACGCACTCTAGCAAATTCGAATTCGAAGTCTGATCCTGCGTCGGCGAAGAAGATATCTCGTTCTCCGTCGGGGAAAGGGTTATCTTCGATGCCTTCGTCGAGTTCGCTGGGCGCGACGTCGTCAATCGCTAGTTCAAGGACCCTCGTCTCGACTTCCGGATCTACGTCACGGTCTTTGTCTACGGCGGGAAGCCTACCTGGGCATATGCCTGAGATCGACGACATGCCGAGTGTACCGTCCATGGCTTCCGTTCCGGCTCGTAAGATGTCTGGTGCACGGGCAGCGTCGAGAGTTAGGGCTATCACTGCACCCTCTCAGCCTCTACACATTCAAACTGGGCAGCCTTCGTCACAGACACCTCCTTCTTCTGGATCTTCTGGACAGACGATGACGACGCCGACGTTTGTGAGACCGAAGGACGAAAAGGACAAGGAGAAAATCAAGAAGTCTGCTTCGCAGCTCACGCCAGTCTCTTCACTTTTCTCGATATCTCCGCGTTCAACAACATCGGCTTCGTCGCCGACGCCGACATCGACATCGCCGCCCTCTTCGCTCTCGCCCGTTCTTCGCAACGCTAACATCAGGACGAGCACCACCACCGGCGTCTCCAAACGCATCGCATCTCTCTCCTCCGCATCCGAGTCTGAATCCTCGTCCTCACAGTTCCCGCCCGTTGCACTTCCGTTAGCAGTCCGTCTTCGAATAGCGACGGATAAGAACGATGCATTGGAAAAGAGGAATCGAATACTCGAGAAGGAGAACAGCACGCTTGCGGAGGAGAAGGAGGTGTTGGCGGCAAGGGTGATGGAGTTAGAGAAAGCGGCGAGGAGGAAGGAGGGAGAGTTGAGAGGACTGAGGTGGTTGATCGTGAATGGGCCGCAGGGGTTAGATAAGTCGGAGAATCAGTTTTTATCTGTTCCAGGTGATGGAGGCGGTCTCGAGTTGAGCGTGGCTCTCGACGGCCTCGATGGATCGATGACGAGCACGACGGAGTCGCCATCCCCGAGCGCGAGTCTTCTCGGCGGTGCCACGGGTTCCGATGCGAAGTGGGGAAGCAGCAGCAGCCCTGGGTCGACGCAGGATAGCGGGGTGTACAGCAAATTATTTGGCCGGGGGAACAGCGACGAAGAGGCTTTCGAAGGGATAGGCGAGGCGGAAGGGGAGAGTGGTGGAGGTGAGATGGAGGTGAATGTGACGATGACGAGACCTTTGCCCGTCACCCTTTCAAGGCGGACTTCCAGGGTCTCGCTCTCGTCGAGGTCGTCTGATAAAGAGAAGGATAGGGGTCGGAATAGGTCGACGAGTCAGGTTTCGGGGATGACTATGGGGTCGTCGATATCCGGGCTTGGGATCGACGTCTCGGGGTCGGAGTCACCGTCAATGCTGGGATACCATCTTCCAAGGCTCGGAGAGTCTTCGCCCAGTCCCAGCAGGGCTCGTACACCGGTCTCTCCTTCCGCTTCAGAGCTGTCCTTCACGCTCGCTGCAATTGCGGAGATTGATGCGCAGACCGACCCTCAGACGGAGTTTCTTTCAGACGCTATGGACGAAGCGGAGCGAGATCGGGAATGGATGACCCAGTTTGAGGAGGAGGAATTGCGGAGGAGGGAGAAGGACGAGCGGAGAGCGTCGAAGGCTTTGAAGAGACTCTCGAATTCGGCGGTGTTGAATGGTGGGGAGGCTGTGGAAGCCGCAGTGGTGAGCAGCGAGCATTCGTCACACGGTTTGGACTGGAAGAGGAGGCCTTCCATTGCGCAGGTGATGGAGAGCGATAGGGAGATGGAGGTGGGGATGGAGGAGGCGTTGGGGAAGTTGAGGGTTTTTGGTGGTTACGCGTCGGATTCGTACTCATCGTAGGTGCGACGTCGCCACACTTTCCATCCCCATATTTTCACGTTGTGGTTTCTGCTGTTGGCAGTTAGTCAATCCTTGTCCATGTCCCTCTCTCATCTCCCCATCCTGTCATCGCATGATCTCGTGTTCAATTATGTGCGCTTTTCTGCATCATCCCCGCTTTCTTTTCTCCAGCACTCGCTCTCTCTCTATCCTGCATCTCTACCCCTCATCATGCATCATCCCCCATACCCTGTCCACCACTCCCATCTACAAACTCATTCCCCCTCACCACTCCCATCCCCCCTTCACCCACAATTCGTCATCACACTATTCGCATTCTGTACGCACACTCATCCACGGAGGTTGACGATTGACGATCCAAGTGTGTGTGCCCATAAATTGTAAATTTCTTGTACACTCCTGTTCCATACCCTTCTTTTCTCGTCTTCCTCATGTTTCTGTTTCGTAGACCGCATCAATTCATCGATATCGGCACTGACATTCATTCATTACGATTCCTCTTACCACACACTTATCCACTCTCGTTGGGTTCAAGTTGTCACGGTTCACGTTACGGGCTCCTCGTAACTTAAACATCCCCTTATTGCCCTTAGCCCCCACCTTCGCGAAATTTTCTTTTCGCGTCTCCGTTTCTCTGGACTTTACGGTCCCTCCCTGCGCTACCAATTATTTTATTATAATTCATGACACTCGCCACATTATACCTATACTTACTTTCGCTTTCCTCTTCGCTTTCTTACATAGCGGGCTGGTCTTTCTGTGTTCAACAGGCGTGCTTAATTGTAGCCTTACTGCGCGCGGCGTCGCGTATACCCCCCTCGTCTTTCGTCTTTCGGTTCGCTTTCGTCTTCGTTTCGTGAATCGCTGTGGTAGTATTCGGTAGCATACAATACCTCGCACACTCATTCTTTTGGTCGGTTGCAATGGAATTCAATGAGGAAGTTTGGAAGTCTCATGCTGTCGTCTGTCAGTGCCAGTGAAGGATCCTTGCTCTCGAGTCTCGCCGTGGTCCTCCAGGGTCCTCCGTGTCAAGAGTCACTCACGCCACTGTGGCGCCACGAGAGCGATCTCCATCATATTCTTCAGGATCAAAGCGCCGCAGGGTTCAAACGTTTGGAACGAAACTCCAGATTCCCTACACCTTTGGATCTGGTTTCGTAGTGCCCTCGGGATGCAGCATCTCCATCTCCGAGAAAACATAAAAGGTGCGAGATCTGGTGCGTATAACCGGCCCTGCGAGCTTTGAATGGACTCGATCTATTCTTCACTATCTGGAGGCTGGATCTCGCTTGACAAGTGACTAGCACCGGCGGACTTTCTTCCACATAACAGCTGAGAACAATTGATGCTCCAAGACAGGTTCGCGAGAAGGTTACATTGCAGCATTGGAATGGATTGGTTGTTGCAATTGGACGTCATCGATTCGACCTCACAGCTAATACTTAGACTGTAACAATACAGAGTAATCGACCAATACATGTACGACTACACGTCAAGGAGCTCGAGAAGTTACACCGAGAAGAGATAGCTGTCAATGAGTGGCGATCGATGATGATGAATGATGAGTGACGAAGGTAACGGGCGACGGAAAACGGGCGACGTGAAACGTGAAACACGAAACGATAAAGACTAAATACTATGTGCAGGAACGACCTCGTCATTTGTACGACGATGGGGGACGATGGGGGTGGTTAAAGCAAGGGCGAAATTCCACGAGACGGAGAAGGAGAGAGAGACGGGCAGAAAAAAAATAAAAGGATAATTTAGGATCCAGGATGCGAAGTCCAAGAACCTGACGTGGCGAGGGTCGTGACGTTAAAAAGTGAAAAAAAAAGTGAAAAAGTAAATATGCGAGATGAATCGATAGAATCAGAATGCTCCTTCGAGCCCAGCGCAATGATGGTGAATAAATGAAGTAATGAAGGAACGAAGAGAGAGATTGAACCCAATAAGCAGGAATAAAAGGAGAAAGAGAGAGAGCAAAAAAGGAACGGAGAGCAGATAACTTCAGAGCTAGTGCACAGCAAAATCGAGGACAAACCTAGAGCAAACACCCCACTCACAGCGACAAGGCCCACTACATCGTGGCCCCACTGACACTGACACTGATCCCCAAACAGGCCTACTCAAGTCACGATAGTCCAAAAGCGCGCTTCTGCCTCCTCAACACAGGCTTCCACTCCTTCCACAGCCCCATCGGATTCACCCACGCAAAGTCGCGCCAGACCGCCTCCCTACCCACAAAGCCCTCACTAATCTCCTGCTCTCTCGTCGTCGTCCTCAACAGGTCCAGTTTCTCGAGGCCGGACGTATCGCGATGTTCCCTGTATTGTGGCGAGTCTGGGGAGCTCAGGCGGCGGAGGTTTCGGGTGCGGGCTTCGATGTTCAGGAATTCGTTCGGGCTGTCGCCTGAGAACCATGGGTGGCGTCTGATTTCGCGGTAGGTGAACCGTTTGCGGTGATCTACTTCGAGAAGCTGGGCAAAGGTATCAGTATGCTTGACTTGGTATAAGGAGAAAACGGAAAAGGACGTACCCCGAGGAGCAGAGAGATCTCGGTCTTGCTGATGGTTGGCTTCCTGGCGCGAAGAACGGCGGCTCCGGCATTGGCCCGCGACTTGACACAGAAGTCGACCGTCTTGTGCATTTGGGGGAATAAGAACCTTTCATCTTCCGCCGCAGCGAGGAGATCCCAGAACAAACACCCAAACGCCCACCAATCCGCGCCAACACCATACCCATCCAAATCCCAATCCCCACGGAACGTCTCCGCAGTCTTCAGAATTTTCTCATCCGGACGCATAGAAATGCGACCGAGGATGTCTTTCTGCTCCTGCGGGCAGGTCAAAAGTTCGGGCGCCATGTACCCTGGGGTACCGCAGAACTTGTGAGAATAGACCTCTCCCGGACGGAGGGGCCCTCCGTTCTTGACGATGAGGACGTCGCCGAGGTCGGCGAGACGGGCGTTGGAGGCGTGGTCGAGGAGGACGTTCTCAGGTTTGAGATCTCTATGTAGCATTCCGAGTTCGTGGAGGAAGTTGAGACCGGATGCCTATGGGGACAGATGTCAACAAGCGAGTCAAGAAAGATAGACGTGAACACTTACGATCTGAACCATCCATCGCCTTATGTGATGTTGTTCTGGTTTCTTCTTGGCCGCAGTCCAGAGATCGTACTTCATTAAATCCTATCGTAAGATGATGTAAATCAACACCAACGCTCTCAATGAACAAAGGGAAAGAGACAAGTGACATACCATAGCGTAGAAAACCCTTGTTTCGTCCTGGAACACACCATGCAACTCCATCACAAAGTCATTATGCTCCTGATCCGCCCCACGTTGTTCTGCAATACGCTGGTACGACCTCAACTCTCTCAACATCGACCGGTCGAGCTCGACCTTCTCCGCCTCCGCCTTATTGAAGACCTTGACACACAGCAAGCGCTGCATGCCAAGATCGCGAACGACGTAGGTCGTCCCATAAGAACCCCTTCCTAAAGGAGCGAGGAACTGGACGGGACCGGGAGCGACAGGCTGAACGCTGAGCGCACGTGCGCGTTGAGCAGTCCGAGGAGGCGAAAGTGGTGAAGTAGACGATGATGGAAGCGATATGCGGCGAGTCGTGATGAATGATGGCTTGCGAAGTTGGGGTCTTTCATATTCGGGCTGGCAGTCAGGAGTGGGCATGGCAGGCAAAGGAGGCAACGGAGGTGCAACGGGCGTCTTCGAGGTCGACGTCGACGTGGGTGGCGCGCATCTGGAGGCCGAGAAATGTGTTCGCGTCGACAATGGTGTGCGCCGTCTGGGTGTCAGAGGCGGACGCGACTCGGGAGACGGTGGCGTGGGCCGCGCGGATAATCGCGAATTTCGCGATGCTGGGGTGGACGCGTGGTCGAGGATTCGAGACCTCGCTTTCGGTGCATTCTGTTGAGTGGGACCGAACACGTCGATGTCACTGCGCTCTGCGCGGTTTCGAGTAGGAGTAGACGCGTCGATATCTTGAGAAGGGCCGTGCGCCCGAAGTCGGCTGGTGGCGTCCCCGACCTTTGGTGTCGTGGGGCGGCATCGCGTCCACTTGCGGGGAGGTGAAGGCGAGGATGATCCTACTGAAGAAGACGACTCTTCGTAGGGAGGAGGACTTGGGAGAGGGGGTGGGACCATCGAGTCGCGAGTGTCGCGAATGTGGCTCATGTTCAGGAGGGCTGACAGGTTGTGGGCATCGGCGTGTCTCGGACGAGGCGCGCGTGGTAGCCTTGGGGAAGACATCTTGCTCCGCGGTGACGAAGGACGCGAGACCGCGTCGAAGTACATCGAGGACGCCGACGACGAAGACGAAGACGACGAGGCTGAGGACGAGGCTGTTAATGCTGGACAGGGGTTTGACCTCATGTCGGGATGAGAAAATAGTTCTGGAGTCGACGGACGAGAAAAGTTGAGGAAGGAAGGCGAAGACGGAGTTGGACGAGGAAAGATAGGTCGGGGGAGGGGCGATATGTGCATGAGGACGTCTTGACTTTTTGCTAAGCGAAGACACGATGTGGGGAGGAGGAAAGTTCACAAACGCAAGATATCGGCCAAAGCAAAGTGTACTCGGCTGCACGTGCCGGTCAACACAAGTCTCACGCCCCACGCCATTGGCTCGCAGCGCCACACGAGGCCAGGGTCGAGCAAGCGCGGGAAAAAAGATCCGCGCGAAGCCGAAGTGCACAAAACGCCCGCGAAAAAGTCGATAATCCCACCATTTATTGTTGCCAGTGAGCAAGAAACACCTTTATGCTCTTGTTCTCCAAGTCTATTAAAAAAAATCGCTGGTCGAGTTGGTCGAAGGGGGCTCCAGTACACGCCCTCGCCGCACGACCACTACACGTGTATCGCCCGCCGACCGATTGTCGGGCTTCCTGGACCTTCCTGGACCCTCGCTCGGCCCTTCGAGTTCTCGAAAAATGTGGCTCGCGGCACCGAATATTGAACGGTGAACAGGCGAGGAACAATCACCACACATTCATTCGTCGCACTCAAGACAGAGGAAATCATGTCTTAGAACGAGCCTCAAAACTGTGGCACCTGAACGATGCTTACCGGCACTACATCTGAAACCGACGACTCGGAGGAGCTGATCCATGGCGAGTCAACACTCACTGGCACAAATTGGTCGTATACGACGGTTGCTCTCCCTCCAAAGGCCAGTGGACGCATGGTTTCGACGAAGGTATTGACTGAAGGGAGGAGGAACACAGGAGTAAAACTTTGGAAAGAGGGTTGACGATTGTGCGTCACCGACCCGCGCGGTGATGCCCGTGGGCTTTGACAGCTCCCTTCTTTGGACGACAAAAGACTACATGTTCTAAAGGTTAACTGAGAGTCTGAACCACAGTAGTGGATAGCACGCAATGACATTTACAGGTTCAGAGCGACAACCAAGTAAGATACAAATAAACTGCAAATGTCCAACCACTGTGCCCGAGTGACCAAAGCGGAAAGGCTATTCACTAGACGACAGACCAAGAACATACATGAACAGGACCACGATAAATAGATACAAGGAACCAAAGACACGCATGCATGCTACTTACCAACCACAAGAAAAAACGTACAGTACGATACACGACGGACACGTCACCCTTGTTCAACAATTCAGCAAACCAGTCACGAAGCAAGAGTCCCAGATCGAGACTTATGCAAATCTAGTACCCATCCCCATACTCATCGTCCTCCCCATACTCATACCCCCCATGCTCACCCGCATCCTCCTCCCCATCCTCGTAATAATCATCGTACCCATGCTCATCCGGGTACACCTCCGCAAACCCGCCACCCATCGCATGCGCAGGAAAGTCAAAGTAGCGCTCCACATGATGATGATGGGGAGGGCCATCATCCTCATAATCCGTCCTCGGTTCGTCGTCCTCATAATCGTCCCTCTCCTCATCGTCTTCATACCACCCCGCCTGCTCGCCGAACCGCTCGGCGACCTCGCGCGCATCGGGGATGGGCGAGTCTGCGTTGTGCAGGAGGTGGGCAAGGTGGATGGGAGGACGGGCGATGGAGCCGTCGTCGTCTTCTTCGTAGCCGTGAGCTTCGGCGTCGAAGGGATAGTCTTCCTCTTCTTCTTCGTCGCTGTGGATGAGGTTAAGGAGGACATAAACGCAGTGAGAACGCAATATCAGGAATGACTAGAGAGAGAACGTACGTTGCATGGCTAGGGCCTGCGCGCGGACGATGACGTTCAACTTCTTCTTCACTAGAGGAAGGAAAGGACAGGTCGCGATGCAGTCAGAACTCTAGACACATCATAGCTTCGCGAAAGAAGATACTCACTCTTCTTCCTCATCGGACTCAACAATCCTTCTTCTCAACGAAGAAGGATATCGTGGCGGCTGCATTTCCTCCTCGTCATCCGAGACCACAATGGGCGCATTCCTCCGCCCTAACCTCGGCCTAACCTCACGCACATCATCTTCCTCCGAATCCGACGATATCTCGATCACACCCCTCTCTCTTTCGCCTCCATGATGCGCCGCCTCTGCATCATCAATGAAACTGCTCTCATACCCATCGCTACCGCCCTCTCCTTCCCCACCGTCCTCGTCACCATCGATATCGACCTCTCCTCCAACGCCAAACAAGTCATGGATGTATGGAAGCTGACGATGCAGCTGTTGCCGATAATCCCTGTCGAATTCGGCTCTGGCCTCAAAGCCCTCTAGATCGTCGACATCGACGTCGTCCTCGCCCTCGTCCCCACTTTCTCCGTGGAACCCATCCTCATAGAGCCCGTCGTCGAGGTCTTCATCGTCGTGCAGACCAAGGTCGGGGTGATCATGGTGATCGTGCGCGCCGTGTCCATGTCCAGCACCCGGCAACGGTGCACCGAACATCGCGTTGAGCATTCCATGGAATGGCGCCCCATCATTGTACTCGTCGTCCTCGTCGCCCTCTTCTGGATCGTACTCCTCGTTCTCAGGGTAGACCCTCTGACAAGACGAACAGATCCCCGCCCAGATCTCATGCGTACAGTCCACGCATCGCCAGACATCGTCGTCGTCGTCGTACATGCCCGTCAACTCATAATCTCTATCGCCATCGTGATGGTGCTCCTGCCGGTGTTCATGAAGAGGAGGAAGGTCTCCCGGTAGCACGCCGTGATGAGGTCCAGCGTTGATATGCTGGCCGAGAAGCATGAGGGGAGGAAGAGGGACATGACCGAAATTATGGTTCGCGTTCGCGGCTGGCTTGTGGAATATTTTATCCCAGGGGTCTTTGGCCCGTTCCTCTGCCGTGGGTTCGGTTGGGGGTTCACAGTCTGCGAACATATCGCGGACAAGACCGCTCTTGACCACCCCTTCGACCATATCCTTAATGTTCCACACCTCCGATGGTCGATCCCTTACGACCGCGCGACAGTGAGGGCATGTCTTCCTACGGAACAGGACATTATGAGGGTTCAGGGGGCCTATCTGATCTGCTGGAGGAGCTTTAAACCAGGAACAAAGACAGGAGTAGCATGCGACATGGCCGCAAGGGGCGAGCGAGAAGGGTTTGTGGAGGAGGTCGAGGCAGATTTGACAGGTGAGAGACGGGAGGAGTGTAGTGAGCAGTGCTTGGTGCGTTCCGAGAGTCTATGGGCCACACGAGAGGCCGACTTAGCAGAGATCACGAAGGTGAGACAATAAGCAGTAGGGCGTACCTCAGTTGTGGTTGTAAGCTGCTTTTGGACCTTTTGGAGCGTTTCCTTGGGGACTGAGGTGGCTTCGGGTGCAGTGGCAGATTGTCTGGGTGAAAGGACTTGCTCGGGTTGCTTGCCCTTCGGCTCGGGAGGGCGTTCTGCGGTGATAGCATTCTTGGACAGCAAAGGCTGGGTTGCCTGCCATTGAAAATCGACGTGAGATGGCATGGAATCGACGGAACGAGCATAGAGACGAGGTGGGACACAAGCAGACAAGGGCCAACGCGAGCCCGAACGTACCTCCGATTTGATGGCGAGAACCGGCGTTAATTGCTGGGTGGCGGCCCGAGGGGAAATAGACGATGAGGAAGCACCAGAAGAGCCTTGAACAAACTCTGGCTGAGCAGGTAGGCCATTTTCGGGCTCGAGAGTCATAGATAGGCTCCTCGTCCGCTGTGTCAGGGAACAAAAGGGTCGAAAACAAGCGTGTCAGGAGGAGCACTTCTCGTCGTCACAGCGAGGAACTCACCGTCCGGGACGCGCCAGCGGTGATGGGCTGTTTCTTGCTCTTGTTTTTCCGCCTCCTCTTCTTTCCATCCTTCCCTTTATTCTTGGATTTGTTATCTTGGAAAACTAGACTCTGGTCAGGATCGGTGTCGGACTCGACCTTGGGCTTCTTCGACTTGACAGCATCGCGCTCATCGTCGACAATTTCCGAGAATGCGCGCTTCTTCGATTCTGGATGAGGCATGGTTCTTGCCTGTGAGTTGTGTGGGGGTGAGGAATGCGATGGATAATGTGCGAAGGGGGATGGGGAGATTGCACTGAACGCGTCGCGGGGTCCTTTATATTCTTCCTTGTTCTTTTCCTCCCACGCTATCCACATCCACGTGCCGTCATGGTGGCACTCCGCCACAATGATCTGCGACTGCCGTGGCCCGTCTGTGAATACACCCTCACTCTCCCCGACCCCGACGAACATCAAATCATAATATCATTGACTGTGGTTGCTGCTCCCCGTATATATGTTCAATTTCGATCCATGTGGCCCGCCGCAAATTGCGATATGCACAGCAGCCCATAATGCATTCCGAAAGGAAGAAACAAAGGCAATGTATATATTACAGTCCCAGTCTAGTGTGAACAAGGTAAGGAAGGCCACATCGAAAACAAAAATGATCAAGCATCTGCATTGTCCACTCTCCACACCTTGATCACCCCCGCCCGGTCACCACTCACAATCCCCCCTCTAAAAGGCGAATCGATACATGCCAAAGCAGCAATCGTGTCCTGATGCCCTTTGTTTAGGTTCTGCTGGCTATTATTGATCAAGGACATCCGTTGTGGTGGTCGGTTATTGTGGCTGCTCAATTGTGCGGGATGGAGCCAGGTCTCGACATAAGCCGTCACCGATCCGTTCGACGAATGTGTTGTGCTGTGAAGAACTGTGTGTTAGAACCCGAACGCGGAGATACAGTGCGAGCATCACATACCCATATGTTGGTCTGTCGCTCTCCGTCTCCAGACCACTCAGAACCGCAGTCCGTTCTACTTTCCCTAAATCCCAAAGCCGCAATCTTCGATCCTCCGACCCACTAATCATAAAGCCTCTCGCACCGGTAGCCAACTGCCCATCCGCTCCCATCTGCGTGGCCCTGTGCACCGTCGAATGCCCACCGAACTCATGACCGACAAAGACCGCCCGGATAGCAGGAGAAGGCCCACTCAGCATGGACTCCCGCGCAGTACTCTCGGATGACGCTCGGCGCGAGTTCGACGGAGCACCCAGGCCTGGTTGTCGTGCTTTGACAAGTGCAGCGATAGCGGATGCCGGACTGGGTTCTGCGTTACCGGCAGAGATATCTAGTGGTTCGTCAAGAGGCGTGGACGTTTGTGAAACGACACGCGTTCCATAGGCCTCCACAAGTGATGTTGTCTCGATGTCCCATACTTCTACAAGCGAGGTCGCAGCACTCTCGGACGTGGCCCTCGGTGCATCGACAGCTACCATTATCCAACGTCCCTTTCCCCGTGTTGGATGCACGACACATTGATGTATCCGAGCTGAGCCGTTGGTAGTCGCAGCCGCAGTTTTCCATGTCTTCAATAGTAGCCCAAAACGAAGGTCCCAGAGCGTTAACATGCCAGACGCGGTGCCCGTGACTAACCATGCCCGTTTCCGATCCAAACATAGCGTCGTCATAGGTCCATAGTGATTCGGCTGGTCCATACTCAAGAGTATCCGCATCGTTCGAAGATCGAGGATAGACACAGAGGAATGTGTGGTGGCGTAGACAAGATTGGAGGACGATTCTGTGCCACGAAAAAATGATGAGTAACCTGTGGAGTATTCGGCTTAGTGAAAGTACTCACCAGTGTTGTAGTGTGCCATACAAGTGACATACTCCCCGGGTCTATCCAATCTATGCTCCCTCACAGTTTGCAGCTTCCCATACTTCGGCAACGCTCCTGACTGACTGACATGTACCCTCACGACATGAACACTGCCATCCTCCGCCGCACTCGCAAAACAATGCACACCTTCCAGCACACATACACACTTCACCTTCGAATGGTGCTGCGTATAGGAATGTCGTGGTTTGCTCGTCACGTTCCGTTCTAACCGCGCCGTATCCCAAACTTTAACGGTCTTGTCGTCTGAACACGACATGAAGAACATATGGTCCGGCGAGACGGCGAGACCGGTAACTGATTCGGAATGAGCAACGAGATGTGCAATGAGCGTGGCTTCTGGTTTGCGAGCTGTTCCGTCTCGAGGAGCGAAGCTGTGGCGAACAGCATTTCGTCGACGTACAGGACCCTCGTGGACTTTGGGACCAAAATCGTCCTGATAGTCGCGATTACTGTCCAAGTACATATGCTCCAGTAGGTTGCTGATTCCAGGTTCTTGTCCATCTGTGAATAACAGGTGAATGTCAGCTTCTAATGTCGGGCGTAGTAAGAGGAGCATAACTGACCATAGGTAGAAATCGGAACCAACGGTGCCAAGCGATGTCGAGTCTGCCCACGTACAGTCCCCGCAGCGGAAACAGGCGACGTCCTCCCCGACCTCTCCGGTGACCCCTCAGACCTCAACTTCGACAACGGCTCCAAAAGACCCGTCGCATTCGCCCTCGAAGACCCAACAGCTGGCGCAGCTTTCTGACCATCCGTACTCCCAACGTGCAACCTATGCATGCCTCCGCGGAACGCGGCCGCAGAGTTTGTGTTCGACAACACTGATTCAGTCGGACTACCAGGTCTATCGAAGACGGGTGGAAGATCGGTGAGTGCGGGGCCTACAGGTATTGAGGGTAATGCGAGTGGGCTGGTAATAGCGGATGTAGCGGAGGGTATACGATGCGGTTCGATGCGATTGTTAGTGGGTAATGATGTGGCGGACCCATTGATGGCACTGAGACGACGACGGAGGTCTTCGAATGGAGCGCCACTCGGACCAAAGTCAATGCTCGGTGGGCGAGAAAGTCTCGGGGTGTCCAGAATGGGGGAACGAGTCAAGTCAAAAGTCGCCCTTCTAGCCGATGCTGTTCTCGCTGCACGCGAGGAAAGTTCAGATGCGCGAGTCTTCAGGAATACCGTCTGTGGCACGACCTTCAGCTTCTGGAGTTCAACGTCGCTGATAGTCTTTAGCGGCTCCGCATCATCCTCGGGTCGTAGCCGTGTGGCGAAGCTTGAGATAGCATTAGCGAGCTTCATGATGTAGTCTCGCATAGCCATCAATTTCGCCTCTTCGCTGCTCGTCATGCCCAACTGCCGTAGTTTCTGCAGCTGTGCGTCATCCCTACGAGTAATTATTGTGTCAGATTTGGACTCCACAGAAGTAAATGATAAAGACTCACTCTTCGGATTGATGCTTCGAAATTCCAGCTGCGTTTCCCATCTTCCGGACAGCAGCAACGCTGTCTTGTGGCGAATCGCTCTTCGCCGCTGCGGCTCTCCGATGGCTTCTCCAAAACAAGGTTTTCGAGTCGGCTTTCATCGCCCACTGAACAGCTGCATCGAAAACTTGTCGAGATAACTGGTGGTGGGCAATTTTCTTTGTTAGAGAAATACAGTGGGTGAGTTGATGGACAGATAGGCTTACCGGAGGCTTCAATGCAGAGAGCAAGCTCATCTCGTCGACTACACGGATGTCTGATCGAAGATAATGTCTTAAAGAAGGATACAAGATGCACCACACATCACTCTGTGGTAGATGATTTGCGGCAGACCCTATGAACGCGGCAGCACCTGAAGATGAGGACTGCGTGAGCTCAGCCCAAACTATATACAGCTATTAGAGGCCCGACCTTGACGAATCCACGCATTGGGATGATAGAGGAAGCCAAGCGTGGCACTCATGAGTTCCCATATCCGCATCTTCTGGAACAGACCCAGCTCGCACAAACTCGTCAGGGCACCCAACACCCGTGCCACCACGCTCTCTTCCACGTCTATCGACAGTTGTTCAGATACAGTCCGGGTACAATCCTCTCAAAAGTGAAAAGAAAGGGAACATACCAGACAATGCCTGGATCATCAACGGCAAAATGTATTCCTCCAGGCTCCTCCCACCCGCACACGCCGCCACATCCACAATTGCATCAAAGAACGCGTGCCTCAAAAGCCACTCCCTATCGTTCAAATATGTGATCATATGACTAAGAAGAACATCGTTTGTCCGTTGTCGACCGAGGAAGATGCACAAAGCGGAGATATCGTGGAGGACCGCGCGCTTGACCACACTGGATGGATCGACGAGGAGTGTGGCGAGCTGGTCTTGGATGGAGTTTTGAAGGTCTTGGAGAGCTGCATCGTACGATAACTAGGGCGGTGAGATTTTCATCAGTTTCTTAAGCAAACTTCAGAGAGGAAGGTAGCTACTTCGAAGTGCGCTTCATCGTACTCGACAGGTTCGGCGGCAAGCTTGAATGCTCCATGTGCCTTCAGCGCCTGGCCCATCTCTAGATACCGAACTGCGGTCTCTGCTAGAGGTACTATGCATTGTGCATACATGCATCTGACCGACACCTCGACATCTTGGACCAGTGTCTGTATGTTCGGTATGATGTACTCTGGAAAGATGGTGGCATTGGAGGGCGTGATGACGGTGACGAGCATGAGCTATTCAAATACTGAATCAGCGTATGCTCCTTCACGAAAGAAGTATACAGCGACGTACGACTTGCATGAGCGTCCGCAGGGCAGCTGCTCGTACGGATGCAGCTTCATCGTGAAGAAGGTCGACGATGTACGGTATCATGCGATCCAACTTCGCCTCATCCGTTAGATGAACGACAAGAGCGAGGAAGACGTCCAGTGCACGAAGTTTGCTGGATGGTTGAGAACAATTCCGTACGTTCGCGCATACAAGCGACAATATGATCAGGGCAGGTCCATCTAGTATACAGTTTAGCAAGATATATACACAGAGACTTTGAAAAACTGTGTTCACCTTCCGTCGCGGCTCGCCTTCGTGATGCAAAATGACCAAGTAGTTTCGACTCGCGATTTGGAATGTACAGTTCCGCCGGAAAAATATCCTACACCCACCATTGAGTTTCAAACACAAACTTGACGGGAAATACGTTGGCGTTACCTGATACGGCCTCGCCGAACCGGAGTACTCTCCTGCTCCAGACTCTTCATCTCCTTCCTCCCGCTCTTGAACCACATAGGGTTCCACACTCTCATAATCCTCCCATAATCTCTCAATCCTATGGTCAGCATCGCTCGGCAATGGACCTCCGTTCCCATTCGCCGTCCCAGGTCCGGAAGGAGCATGTACTGGTGTGGCTGCTCCGCTTGCTTTGATGGTAGTGTTAGAAGTGGTTGAAACCGTAGGAGTGAGAGGTACTGAGGCCGGCGTGGAGGACGGAGGGCCGGAGAACGGGGATGAAGAAGGGAGTTCGTTATTGGAGGCGATATAGCTGTGGAGGAAGGAGTAGAAGGATTCGGGGAAGATAGTTCCGCGTGCGTTGTGCAATAGTGCCTCGAAGGAGGGTCGTTTGGTCGGGTCGAGAGATATCATCTCTGTGATGAGATTCTATGGGTCTAGATCAATACACATACGAGAATTATAAGATGGAAGGCTCAAACCTGGATGGCGGGGTCGTCAATCACCGACAGAGGACCCTCCACACTATATTCACCCTCCCGATACTTGAACAACTGGCTCAGAGTGAACAATGGCGCGCCTTCCCTGAACAGCTCCGCCACAACACATCCTGCGCTGAAGACGTCCATCGCTTCCGTCACCCCTCCTACTTTACCCTCACCGCTTGTACCCGTACTCTCAATACTGGCTCTCCGTCCTGCCCCTATCCCATCCGGCTTTGCACCCGCAGCGTAGAACCTCTCCGGCGCAACATAACACGTTCTCCGCCCAGAAGTATCGAAGAAGAATGAGAAATCGGAGGGGTCGTCGAGAGGGAGGTATGTGGGCTTGTGGGAAGCGAAGTCGGAGAGGTAGATCCAGTTCCAGGAAGTTACGAGTATGTTCTCGGATTTGATGTCTCCGTGGGCGACTTTATGAGCTCGTGCGTCCCGAAGTGCGGCCAAGAGTTGGAAAGCGATCCATTTCTTCTCAATCGAGCTGAGGAACGGGCGTGTACTATCACGCCAAAACAATCAACTGCCGGAAACCAAGACTTAAATTCAAGAAAGACGCACCTAATACGATCATACAAATTACTCGCCACCCACTGTCGAATGAGATATCCAGCCTTGTCCGTCTCCACAAACGTCTGATAATTGTATACATTTGGAATATCTAACAGTGCCTCCCGTTCAACTGTACCAGGAAGGAACACAAGATCGAATGAGCTCACGGGGAACATTCACAGCCTACCGAGAACATCATAGTTTGTTGGATGTGTGGGGAACACGAAGACGCACTCTTCAGTCTCCTCTGGTATTTCCGGAGACTCCATCCTGGGTCGGGTTTGATGAATATCTTTGCTATTAGGAAACCATTGCGGTGTGTGCATCGTACTGTCTTGAGGTATCGTGAGGTGCCCAGGCTAGTAGCCGGTACGATGCGTTAGTAGTGTAGGTGGTCCTGCGAATAAGATATTGAACGTACCTCTTCTCGTACACGATGTCAGACCCAAGTTCCGATACGAAAGAGTCTAAGGCCGCCGCTGTTCGCGTGAGGGGGTAGCCAGACTGTGTGTTGCCCATGGTGGCGTTCTTCCGGCCTCACCCCAGAGCACTCGCAAGATCTTGGTCTCTACTGACTATTGGTACGCCTTGAGCAATGATTTACAGTCCTGAAGCAATTACGAGAAATTACAGGGCAAGGTAGATGGTGGTATTAGTGAGACGCGTTCGAGCACAACATGCTCTCAACCACCTCAAAGCAGCCCGCACTCACGGTGTGGCACCCCAGTGGGCCACACTCGATCGTTGAAGCACTCGCAGAGGGTGACAACCAAAAGCACACGGGAGCGATAATGATACTACATACGCACAATGTTACAACATAGTAGAAATTCTCCGATACCAGTACAGCAGAGTATACAACGTCTCAAATGGGATTTTCTGGCCAGATACAAAGAGATGCACCGTCAACTTACAAGTTTCACAAACGCGAGCTCGACTCGAGCTGGTCACCCTACTTCCCCGGTCACAGATTGACAACACGTCGCTTGATATTTCAAGGCACCGGCACGCTCTGCCTACCCTGCTGACTCCCATCCCACACAAACTCGGTCGCACACCCCGCAAGCACCTCCATATCCTCCCTCCTCGCATCCGAATAACATACCACCAACCTCGGCACCTTCTTCCCATTCTTCTCCCTCGCCTTCAAACATCCCATCAGCGCCGAAAAGTCGAAATCCCTCGCCCCAGCACTACTCCTGAATGCTGCCTCGTAGATCGTTAATGTCTCGAGTTTAGGAAGTAGGGACATAGACGACCCGAGAACGGTGCTGATGTTGCGGATGGCGGTAGAGCCGTGGAGGCAGAGGTCCCTGACGGATGCAAAGGAGCTGAGGAGACCGGACCAGAGGTCTGTGGGTATGACTTGGGTGATGCGGGCTATGGTGAGGGAGTGCACGGAGGATACGGTGACGGAGCGCAGGAGATCGTTGAGAGCTATGCGGAGCGCTGCGTCGTCTGAACCGTCCGTGCATGAGAAATGAACGTCTAATTTGGGTGCAGGTAGGTCTTCGATGTAAAAATACTCCGGAGGGATGTTCTTGTTCCATGCCATGACACGAAGCCCACGACGGGCGCGGAAGTCTTGAGCGTGGAGTAAGATACTTTGCATGGGGGGTGAGCGCGCTAGATGTGAGGTGAGGAGGGAAAAGATGGGGAATGGTAGGAAGGTGCCTATGCTGAATCGTAGATTGATGACCGCTTGGATAGGGAAAGAAAGGTAGCGCAGGAGAGAGAATACAGCGAAGGCTTGGTCACAGAGGGCAAGGCGAGTGAGGTTCGGTAGGTCCACAATTTGATTGGGCTGTGGTTCGGGTAGACCTCCCGTGGGCATGAAACCGGTGACGCTGTCAATGGATATCGTCTCCAAGTTGGTAGCGTTCTCGAGGATAGTCAGAATGGTATCACAGCGCAACGGTCCTACGTGGCACAGATCCAGATTCACGAGTTTATGGCAATGGACAGGAAAGAGTTGTTCGTCGAATGTGGTAGCACAGTGGTGAAGTGTTAGCGAGCGAAGCGACAGGGGGTCGTTCGTGAAGAGTTGTGATGGCACTTGGAAAGCCATCATTCGTGAGTCAAGCAGGATGCCTTTCAACGAAAGACGCTCCAGGAAGGGGAAGGAAGCCGGAAGGGATGCGAGCAGGTTATTAAACCGCTCGGAATCCACACTTTCCAGACTGATTTCCTTGGCACGGGGTGCATGGTGTAGAACTTCTTGTACGCTTTCGTACAACTTTGAGTGCGGGGCACATCCAAGATTGACGCGAATGCTGATGGGAACGTTCCTCGACAACTCAAGCATCTTCAGGGGAAGGATCTTGGAGGAACGAGTGAAGACAATGTTGGACCATAGCAATGGGTAGTCGAGGGCTAGTTCCCGCCAGTAGTGACAGACGTGGGCGAGGCTCTGAATCCAGGCGGCACTGAATCCATCGGCCTCTTCTTCTGCATCTTCCTCTACGCAGTCGAGAAAAACCTGGAGCAAAACCTCAGGAGGAAGACGAGTAGCGATTGCGTTCTGAGTGGGCTCCTTTGAAGGGAGTATCAGTGAGCGTAGATAGAGATAGCATGCTGCTGCACAACGCACCTCGACGGTCTCGGATATGAGTGTAGTGTCCCCACTCTGTGGCGAACGAACACGATTGCTGATCCTGCACAACGAGGCCTTGATTAGATGGATTCCACTAAGAGCGATAGGAAGAAGATGGCGTACACTTTCATTGTCCGATTCGACCAGATATAGCTTCCTGCGCTGGATAGTTGGGGTATGAAGCTGAAGGGGTGTATAGCCCGGATTCGAAGCAAGACGATATACTAGATCACTCGCCGCCTGTACGACACAATCCGCTTTGGGCAGAAGCTGACGAAGAATTCAAGATGTACTGGAACTGTTGGTCTTCGGAATCGTACGTCGAGGCGAGGAGGAACAAGTGAGACGACGAATGATATGCAAAGCGTTTGTGGAGGCGTTGATCGGCTGACAATCCGATCTTCCCCACGCGTAATTAGCATCCCGCTATTAGATCGTACATACATGGGTTGAATCTAAGAGGAAAACTACTCTGAGATATAGGCTGGGTCGTTGGTATGAATATCCAAGGTCTTCGAGGTCAACGTTCCACACCTCACGGTATGATTCTCTCATAACAAAGAGAACCCGGCCGTGCGATGAAATAAAGTGTGGCCCTGCTCTCGGCGCCACACGGAATACGCTCGAAAAAAGACTCGACGCAGGGCCCAAATAATCAAACATGAGGTGGGATCGAAGTAATGGCTTCAAAATGCTAAATAATCTGGAAGCTATGTGGAACCGCCGAATAGGGGAAATAAAATCCGTGTCACGATTCACGGATATGCCAGTTTGATGCCAGTGCCGCTGAGCTTTGCGTTGAGCGGCCGGCAATTCCCGAGACGGTTCAAGTTGTGATTTTGCGCAAATTTGATTTGTGCTACACCACGGCGAGCTCAGACATGGATTGTGACCAGCATAACTCATCAGAGTCCCTGTGCGTACATTTTATCTACATTAATGTCTACCTCTTGATTGAGCGCTATTTCATGCCACCTCCAAAAGTATTCGGAGCCAGGACGACCTAGTACCACATGCCCCAGTGACGTCTCAGAACGAACTTCCGTCTGATAGCTTCTCCCGACTACCACCGGAACTGCACTATCATATTGTTAAAGAATTGAATGATGGAGAAGTTAGAAATCTGTCTCTCGTTTCTCATCACCTTCACGACGTTCTCGCCAGAGATTTCTTGCTCAAGGACCTCGACCACGCCGCCAGAACTGAGATGCTCCTCCTGAGCTACAAGTTCAATCCTAACGAACGAGCCCATCTCACAGAGCAACAGCGAGAGCGAGAGCAAGGTCTGAGTGACCAGCGACTTTCGTTCCCAGACCCTTGGCGCGAAGGACGTTTGGCTCCCTTCGTCATCCGTCGAGTTGAAACTTCGCCAGACACAAATTCCATCACGCTACACATATACGAGCCTGTGTTCTTCCGCGATAGCGAAAAGGGGGAAGCGCTAGATATCATGACCGTAATCGAGGGCTCTATGCAGCTCGTTCACACTGACGGGCTGGGCTACGAATCAAAGGATTGGGATGGCGACTTCGATCACAGCACGGCAAAACGCTTCAAGATGGTGAAATACGACGATATTGTGGGAAGTGGGCGCGTTTTGGAGCCTTTGACCCCAGCAGTGCTAAGGGGAAATTGGGTTTGTCCTGGATGTGACGGAGGAAGGCAGGTCTGTGGAGGCATGTCGATTCGGTATGGATTAACATTCTTCACCCGCTCGGGCTTCCATAAAGCTGATTGTATATATTGGGACGATTCAAGATGGCCGAACCTCGTCACGTACGGCGGTTGGTCAATGCCTTGTCCTGCCTGTCTTGGTTTCGACTTGGCAAGCGAGGCGAAGGCCTTATGGAGGTCGTACGGAATGACTGACGATGACCAAGAGTTGGTCGAGCTCTATGCCCAAGTCAACGCCTTTCTGCCAGCGCACGAGCACATGTGACGACAGTTCCTCGGACGATTCGTATGGTTCTGAGCCACCGTATCAAGTCGTCACTATCGTTATCCCCCCGTCTCCCTTCAACCTTACTGTCGTAGTCGACTAGCTCTTGCCTGGCACGAACTTCGTTTTCTCCCATACGCTGACATGTATTGTTTAATCGCGCCTCTCTTGTCTGATATGGACCTGGCCTTAGTACAGCCGCCTGGCTCGTCGCTCTCGAATTCGTTATACTCATACGGCGGACATCCCTTCACCTCTAAATCATCTGCAGTCTGCACTTTCTCAATTCCCCCTCTTACACTGTGGTGGGGACACCCCATGATTATTCAACCTCGGCAAAAGCAGACACAAAAATGTGCAGGACGGATTGACTGAGTCGATTTTTGAACGGTCATGAGTGGCTTTGTGACTCAAGAAGGCGCGTGGCGTACGTCCATGCGAAGAATGGTCGGCAGCGCCTATAAGAATGCTATGTGACTCGTTCTCGCCATGTCCTTCGCTCTCTAACACTCGTGAAGGAGAGACGGACTCTGAGGTGAGTATGGCCTATACACACATAGTACCCCGTTCAAAGACTTGATCGCTGATTTGACCGTGACTGACTGAACCATCAGGCACGACTTGAAGAAGAGCCTGAAATCCCCCCCCCCCCGAAATGGCTTCGAGTTGGGACGCACTACCTGTGAGCCACCATCTGATATAGCACATACTGGGTACAGGGCAATGATATACTTACTCTGAACGCGGCTATGTGACCGAATAGGGACATTGCAGCGACTAGAGACACTGTCAACCTTAGACCTTGACGACCCACCGGACTTGAGCTATCTGGGAAGTATTCTAATTCCAGCCCTCATTCGTCGACCCGGAGGTAGACCACACGCCATCGAAAGGCCGCGGCGCTCGTCAAAACACACGTGAGTGGTTTCTTTCGCGTCGTGGAATGTGTTTTCTTTATTCATTTGAAGGCCATCTTTGAAAAGCTCTTCGAGCCGCAGCGTACCTGGCAGACAGCCGGTTGGGGATCACCTCTTGGTATCGAAGGCCTGCCCTCCCTCCGATGGCTATTCCAACCTACCACCGGAACTGCACCATTACATCGCTCAGTACTCAGAAGAGGAAGATATCAGGAATCTGTGCTGCGTCTCTCGTCGCTTCCACGATGTCTTTGCCAGAAGTCTTTTGGCCAAGGACCTCGATTGGTTTGTCAAAACTGAAATAGTCCTCTATGGCCACGACTTCAGGCCCGATGCGGAAGACGAAGCTTGCCTAACAGACGTTGAACGAAGCGTCTACTCGGCACCACAACGACGGCGGGCGCAATATCAGTCTTGCTCCATTCGTCATTCGCAAGGTCGACTACTCGCCCGATGATGGTCTCATCACGCTACACATATATAAACCCGTCTTCTTTCGTCTCTGGGGAAACCAAGTACTCGACATCAGCATAGAGGGCGGAGGTCTCGCAAGGCTCGTCCATTCTGACGACCTAGGTTGCGATTCAGAAGATTGGAATCGTGAATTCAGCGCAGAGCAAAAGGCACGGTTCACGACGGTCAGATACGATGACTTAGTGGGAAACGGGTGGGTTCTGGATTGCTTGACAGCGTCGACACTGGGGGAAAACTTCGTCTGCCCCGGATGTCATGGAACAATAGATGGATATCCAGTATGTCAGGAGTAAGCATCATCACTTATTGGCATAGCCCTTCGCAGTGTCGTGCATTTCCTTTCCTTCTGATGCTGATCACAGTCTATATGGGTGATGCAAGATGGGAAAGTCCCGGGTTCTCGCTCTGTGATTGGTAGCGGACGGCTGATGTCCTGTCCTTGCCTTGGGTAGCGGTGGACGGACGCGGCGATTGGGAACGGATCGAGGATTTACTGCAGACTCACCGAGATGAAGAGCGGGAACAGTTCCATGTGAAAGCCAATTCATTCTTACCGGAGAATGAGCGATTTGGAGGAGACTCCCCTCTTGGTTTCCTGCTCTCTAGCTGCCGTACCGTGACCCCCTGTACTTGTATCTCGAGCTGGTCTCTATTAAACGCTTTCGTGTCTCGTTTGTGTCGTGGCGTTACCGTATTTTGCACAGCGAGATTCGTGGTATCAGTTGATCTGTCTTTAGCTTGGGTGGTGAATGTACTTCTACTGTGTATCACCTATCACCGTTCACCCATGTCGAACCATAAATGATTTAATTCCAGTGTGAATACCGGCCCTATTTCTTCAAACGGCACATAAGACCCGCCAGGGTCATATTCAAAACCATCTCAAATAGAACTCGTAACCCCTGGCTCTATTCTCTCCAGCTTCCGCACTAACTCATCCCAGACTTTCCTCTGTATCTCCTCCAATTCTGCCTTCAGATTTTCCCTCTCACACGGCGACGGATGCACCCTACAATCGCTCAGGTATTGCCCGTGTGATGCGGGACCGGCGGCAGCAGCATACACAAAATTTCGAGCCCCGACATGGGTCTTCCGTTGGACGAAGAACATGAAGAGGCGTAGTCCGAGGTTGATGGAGCCCTCACGGAAGAAAGTCGATTGACAAAACCCAGGGTTGACGGCGTTGATGACGACGGAGGGTGAAGAGGGGGAAGATGTGACACGAGAAGCGAGTTCGCGCACGAAGTAGTTCTCGATGAGTTTAGAGTTGAAGTACCTATGTACGTCGGGGGCAGAACGCACCACACATGAGCAATCATTAGAAACGTCGCACTGCCTTCCGTGTGATCCTATCATCGTTGAAATCCTAGAAAACTGAAAACACACCTCTGGCTCATATCTGACCTCGGATCCGCCAACTTATCAAGGATACTCTCCGCCTTCCTCTCCTCAAACTTCGCAAAGAACGCCGTCTCGCTGCTCACAACCACCAGATGTGGAAGCACACCGAACCTTTCCGCCGTCTCCCTCAACTTCGGCAATAACATGAACGCGAGCAGTGCAGTGCTCACGACATTCACTGTGATCGTCTCCTCATCCTCCTCCTTCAACTCGAACTTAGATTTCTGCACACCCGCGTTCTCCAACAGCACATCGAGCCTATCCAGCTTCTTCGCACGAGCAGCAAAGTCTTTCACGGATTGATAAGACCCGAGGTCAAGTGGCCAGACTTCGATGTCGATGCCGGGGGCCGAAGTCGTCCGAGTCGGATCCTGAGATTTTGCTAGGCTGGCGTGGATTTTAGTGGCTGCTTCTTCGCCCTTAGAGACGCTACGGACGGCGAGGATGAGTTTGGACACGCCGCGTTGGGCGATCTGTTCTGCGGTGGAGAAACCGAGACCGACGTTGGAGCCGGTGACAATGACGGTCTGGCCAGTGAAGGAGAGTTTAGGATCGACTTTTGGGGTCACGAAGAATTGTTGGTAGAAGAATGCGGCAATTCCACCTGGCGTCAGAAAAGGCATCTAGAGAAGATGTCTGGGTGCTATGTTGTCGAAAAATCAGAGACGAAAGTGACTGGCTGATGAGTCGAAGGACAGACCTTCGGTATAAGGAGAAGGAATATGGGGATGCAATGGTGAGAATCGAGGTCAGCATATCTTCCCAAGCTTTATATTAGGTGGCAGTCGTCATGAAAAAGTAATATTCATCATCAGCTTGGGCGCTTACATGAACCAGCTTGACCGACCACGACACTGGATAATGTGGACTATACCAAATATGGGTTTCAATGGACCTGCAGGTGGAAGAGGAGGAAAGCTTGAGTAGAGCACTTCGTCTACTGCATATCATGACTGGGTTACAGTGGACCAAGAGAAAAAGGCAAGAAACCCTCTGGTCAATCGAGCAAAACAGGAACTTTCCATATTGGATTCCAATGGGTTCGAATGGACGTCCTCATTGCCGCGAGCATGCTTTAGCTGCTCCATCGGTCTCATCTGAGAAAACTAGAATGAATGTATGTCCCGCGTCGGGGTTGAAACCCCGTAGAAAGCTAAAGATTGTATACGGAAAGCCAAAGTACAGGCGATATGTAGCTGATGCTGAGACAGCTGAGCGTCCAGCGCAAGTTTAATGAATCACGGTCGTAAGAAGAGCGTCCCTCATTACAATGACATAAATATTGCATATACTCTGTGTAGTATGTGTTAGGCCGCGTGGAAGACAGTTTCGAATGAAGCACTCACAATAACACTACTTTCGTCTAGGTCAAACATTCCACGACTCAATCAAACCACACGCGTAACACCAGGTTCTATCTTCTCCAACTTCATCGTCATCTCACTCCATATTTTCTTCTGCAACTCATCTCTCTCCGCGACAAGATCGCTCCTATCGACAGGTGACGGATGAACAAGACAGTCGCACAAATATTGCCCATGTGATTCTTTCCCTGCCACAGATGCGTGAACCAGTGTGCGGGCGCCGACCTCGGTTTTGCGCTGTAAGAGTAGTTTGAAGATGGAAGTGATGACGTTGCCTTTCATGTCGCGGTCGAGGGAAGAGCGACAAAAACCGGGATTAACGTAGTTGATAATGACGGGTGGCGCGGACGAAGAAAATGAGCGCGACGCGATTTCGAGGAAGCAGTATATGGCGATGAGCTTGGAAGTCATGTATCTTGAATACCGAAGATCGTCAGTTGTATAAAGCTGAAGAGCGAAAATCCGACTCGAGTGAACGAACCGGTCAGCCATGTTCGACTTCGGGTCCGCCAACTTCTCAAAAATATTATCCGCCTTCCGCTCCTCGAATTTCGCCCAAAACGCTGTCTCGCTTGACACCATGGTCAAGTGTGGCACAACCTCAAACTTTTCCGCCGTCTCGCGCAGTTTCGGAAGAAGCAAGAGCGCCAACAGGGTCGTGCAAACGACATTCGTTGTAATCGTGGCCTCGTCGTCCTCCGTCACACTGAAGTCATCTTTTCCGATGCCAGCATTCTCCAACAGCACATCTAACCTCTCCAATCCCTTTGCTCTCGTTGTGAAATCCTTCACAGACTGATATGAAGAAAGATCAAGTGGCCATACTTCGATCTCTAGGCTTTGGCTGCTCGAGAGACTGGCTCGGATTTGAGCGGCAGCGGCCTCGCCTTTGGAGAGAGAGCGTACGGCAAGGATAAGTTTAGAGATGCCGCGCTGAGCGATTTGTTGGGCTGCGCAAAATCCTAGACCGATGTTTGCGCCTGTGATGATGACAGTCTGGCCGGCGAAGGTGAGAGTGGGATCGAGAGTGGGGGTTATGAAGAGTTGTTGATAGATGAAAGCCGGAAAGCCACCAAGGGTAAGGAAGGGCATAGTGGAGGAGGCTTGCAAGATTTTGTCGAGAATGGAGAAGTGTGAGAGCTTGGGAGCAGTAGGCCAAAGTTCAGCCGCCCTATAAACAGCGCATCCTCGCAGAGTTCGGCCGCTGTACTTATGAGCGACGCGTCCTCGCGCGGCTAAGGTATGACGGATTTCTCATCCAGATCACCATGCAGCGCTCCGTTAGTGAGAGTACCCTTGGTTATCTTACCGATCGCAAGCTTTCACGCCGGGACCATTCAGCTGAATGGGGTATCACCAAAGAGCCTGGTCTCGCACCGCTCACCAGCACTGACAACGGCCTGTGAAAAGGGTAAAACCCATCAAAGCAGCCAGAGCGGGAGTCGACTAGACCACCTAGCAGGACCACAGAATACACCGACCAGGAGATCCATAAAGTAACAGCGCGAACCAACAACGCTGCGATGTCGAAGCAGAGATTGTCTCCGAGAGAGGAAAGAGGAAGAAAGTCTCGAGCACCAGTTTCTTGTCGGTGACGAGGCCGGCACCTGCCGACTACGCCACTAAGTTAGCGGCCAGAGAGTACAGCGCGCGGCGACAAGTGTGGCAAAACACTCTTCGTCTACAACCACCATGATCGTTTAAGCTCAAGCTCGACTATCATGTTTCCCTGCCGTCGCTAGTGTCACTTGGCCCCGATCATAATACTTGTTATATACATGTGTGCTTTCCCACATCAGATCCTCTCAGTCGAGTCAGAGCCTGGGAGTCTATGAGAACTACTCTAGCTGTTTCGAACTGCTAACTCGCCAGACTACTGTATCCGGCTTTGAACCTGTTCTGGGCGGCGCAATCACTGCACAGGGAATGATGCCGTTTCATTTCAATATATTGCCACCTTAATGATTGCATTGACTCGCCGTGTCGTCCGTATATATGATTCACCCCGACTTGCAGTAGTATCGCCGTCCGCCCTCTGTTCTCGCTCCTTAACCTCCCTTTTAGACACCGCTTCTAAACTCTCTAGTCGTCATGGTCTACATTCTGGCTCGCGTCCGTTCTAAGCCCACCAACGCTACAGCTACAGCTAGCTCAAAATATCGCAGCCATTCGCGACTCAGACCGCTTCCACTTGGACGTCCTCGACACCACTCACCAGTTCCTAAAAACCGTGAAGGATCCCATCAACAGCCGCGTCATACAGCACGAACTCTCAAAAATCGATGAACTTTGGGACGAGGACGAGCCTATTCCAGTCAACGAAGATGATCGCCGCGCAGTCTCCCCGTGTCCCTTCATCGCGTCGATTTTTGTGCATACCTGGAATTACTCGCTGGATGTGCCAGAGGGAGAGGCCCCGAAGATCAACCCTATTGCTATGACTGTGGAGAATGCTCTGTTCAATCCGAACGTGTCGCCCGTATCGCCTACCAGGGGTAGAATTTTCTCTATCACTCGGCTTTTCGTGTGTATCTTCGCTGACTCATTCACCCTCGCATTCTACCAGAGAAATGACTATGGCGTCACAATCCTCGACATCAGCGATCCCCTATCTCCACAGTACTGCTACGTCAGTATCAAAGGCCTCAAGGATGCAAAGTCCAACGTTCCCGCGATGGCCCCTCTGAGCGCCGAGCAATATGCGCGGGCGTACTGCCCTTCAGTGGCCAGAAAGAATACGAAGCACTCCATGGAACGCGGGGCAATCGCAGAAGTAGACGTGCGAGAAGCGATCGCTCTTCTTGCTGATGAGAGGGTCATGAAGGATCTTCCAGATGCCTGGTCGTCGGAATCCAAGGTCGGCTCGTCTGGCGTGTCGAAGGGCAAGAAGAGGAAGGCCAAGGCGGAAAGTCGAACAAACGCATCAGGCAGAGCTTCTGCGGCACTTGCTACCACGTCCGAGGACCCTATCGTCACCGACTCGGAGAACGAGACCATGGTGTTCCTCAAGAGATTCATGGTCGTTGGCGCTGATCTGACTGACCTGGACAAAAGGTTGGAGAAGGCCGAACACATCGCTCTCATACGATCGGAGCTCGTCGAGCTCTTTCCCTTTCCTTCGTCTGCCGTCCTTCCCTTGGTCCGGGTCCTTGCAGCCACTGCGAACTTCGAACCACTGGACGTTAAAGAACTCGACCTTTCTCATCTGTCAGTTAGCTCAAGTCAGATCTTCCAGGTTCTTGACGCATTCTCCAACACCCAGTCGCTCAATCTCTCGCACAACAAGGTCATCGATGCCCGCGCCATCCAGATTATGCTTGTCTCCACACCATCCCTTCGTCGCCTCATCCTTCTCGACTGCCTCTCCCTCACCAATCCGGATCTCTCGTCTCTCCTTGTCAATCAATCCCACCTATTCGTCAACCTCTCCGCCATCATTCACCCTCTTTTCCTCAGTCTCCCCGCTACCTTCCCTCTGCCTCGAACACACTCCTTTTCGATCGCTGCCAGTGGTGTCATGGACAAGGAACCGTACAGTATTTCCGTACCTTTCTGCTCCGCTCCCACCGTCGTTCGTGCCATCACGGACCTCGTCTCCCCCTATCTCACCGCCGAAAATCCCGAAGCTTGCCTTTACTGCAGTCCGCTGCAGAAAGGTCCACTTAGTGCGATTTTGAGTCGTGCTGGCGGTATCCCTATCCCTTGTGATGACGAAGAAGAGGCGATTTGGGACGATAGGAGTACCGTGATCCTGCCGAAGGTCAATGGCCACGTCGTGAAGGAAGGCGCCATGTTCATCATGAGCATGTACATATCCTTTCCCGAGCCTAGCTTTATCCCAAAATCGGGCTACGCCTTCCTGGACTTTACATCCGAGACGTCCAACTATCCCAAACCAGGTACTACCGCCAGGCCCACGAACAGAGCGCCAGCCCTCCCTTTCGATCTATTCGGCTCCCGCTTAGGGGCAGGATTCTCTTCCTCCTCTTCATCTTCGACTTCATCGGCATCGGTGTACAACGTCCTCGATTTGCGTTCCTTCCTCGAGAGGATGTATGAAAGGGATCCGGGGAGGGAGCGCGCGGATGAGGAGAGTGTGGCGAGGTTGGAGGATATGTTAGAGGAGTTGGAGGCGAGGTACGATGATGGGAAGGGAGCAATGTTCACAAGCGAGGAGGTGGCGAAGTTTTTCCATGACTGAGATGGGGTCAAGTTCCTAGGATTATGGACCCGTCGGTGCGTCACTGGCTTCGTCAAGGTCTAATTTGTTAATGAGATACTTAGTAGGTGGTTTTAACAACATGCCAAGCAGAGTCGACTCAAACACTTCCGCGTTTCTACTGTACTAAAACCGAACCCGAGAGCGCTATAGCTTCCATATGCATCTAGATTCAAATCATTCAATCCACAGTTGTCCGAGCTTCGGCTCCTCCAGTTGCTCGATTCGCAACGTTGAACTTAGACATATTTTCGGGATCTTCAAGTTCCAGTTCATGATGATCGATGATCGCCGCTGGCACAATGCAAACACTCGTCACGTGCGGAATATTTGCCTCTCTATTTTTCTGGAGCACAAGAGCTCGACGACAAGAGCGAGATCTCTGGCTGAAGTGCACGTTTACTCAGGCTATTTCGTTGCAGGTCGAGTGCCAAAAGCCTCATATGTCGCTTCTTGTCCTTTCACGCCTGTCCTCACGACGGTGCGGCCTCCATGTTCAAGAAGTGATCGTGCACAGTGGCTGTGCATGTACTTCATTCCGAGTCCACACTGTCCATGCCTATGTGGCCTATCTGCCTTAGCTGGGGTGCGGATGCTCTTCCGCCTGAGAACGCGAAACTCTTGTGTTCCCAATCTCTGCCAAATTCGTACCTTTTTCTACACAAACTCACCGATTTTGGACAGTTCTCTCCAGGTACGATCCACATCTTCCCCGCCAATGTGCACATTTTACGGTGGCTGAGGTTGGCCAAAAGTGACGACAACAGTGTACCATGATTTTGCACTAGATCCGGCACTTGGCCGGACGCGTCATCTTCGGCGAGAAAAGAGTATTCCGAGTCGGACAGGCTGCTGAAAAGGTGAGCCTTTCCATCGGATTTTATTTAAGCAGTGAACTGCGCACTTTTCGAGATGGAATCGGTGAGGGGATGAAGATCATCTGTTTTGGTCCATCTTCTTCCACATTTTTGATGGACAATTGTTCCCGCACGAGTCTCCCCAGGGCCACGAATTTGTCCAAGAACGATCGGCAGCGTATCTTTATAGTCTCCTGGCTGACGCGGCTTTGCGGCTGACCCACCTCAACGCTGCCCTTCGTCTTTATTGGACATGTTGACCAGTGGAACGTAGATGACGGATGTCTCATAAACTGTGCCGGTGTTGACACTGTTCAGGCGGCTGCCGAGAGTAAGTCGAAGGTAGATAAACCCCTCCCTGCGCCTTGTTCTCCAATAATTCATTGTCCTCCGTCAAAGTTTCAACGCAACCTAGCACATCTCTGATTCGTATGCAAATTCTTCTTCTGTGCGCTGTACAAATACTGACCATCTGCACAGGAACAGCACGCGTACTACCTCCCGCCAATCATGCCCTTCTTAACCCCTGGCGGATTCCCGGCCCTCATCTATCAACAACTCTTCGTCACCCCAACGCTTGACCCCTCTCTCACGTTTACCGGTCAAACAGTCATTGTCACCGGCTCCAATATCGGTCTCGGTTTCTCTGCTGCTCAGCAGATCGCCCAGCGCGGTGCATCGAAGGTCATCCTCGCCGTTCGTACGGTCTCCAAAGGCGAAGCCGCTGCCCAGAAGATCCGGGAGAGCCTCCCGAAATCTGCGAGCACCAGCACGGAGGTCGAGGTCTGGCCGCTCGACCTGTGTTCGTACCAGAGCGTGAAGGACTTCGCTGCACGGGCGAACAAGCTGGATAGGTTGGATGTATTGCTCGAGAATGCTGGCGTGGCGAAGTTGAAGTTCGAGATCGAGGAAGAGGAGGAGTCCACGATTACGACGAACGTGATTTCGACGACGTTGCTGGCGCTCTTGATGCTCCCGAAGTTGAGAGAGACGGCGGAGAAGTTCGGGGTTACGCCACGTTTGACGATCGTTTCGAGCGAGGTGGCGTTCCAGGCGTCTTTCAAGGAGAGGGAGGCGGACAATATTTTTGAGAAGTTGAACGATCCCAAATCGGACATGATGGACCGGTGCGTTTGTCCATCTTTGCTCACTCTTTGACTCACTTCACTTGGAAGCTGTGTGTTTCGTGTGCTTGATTACTGATACGTGGTTGCTGCAGGTACAATACTTCGAAGCTCCTCGAGAATTTCATCGTTCGCGAACTTGCTACCCGCGTATCCGCCTCAACCTCCACCAAACCATTCGTTATCGTCAACACCATCAACCCCGGTTTCTGCGAGTCCGCTCTTCGGCGCAACGTCACTGGTATTCTAGGCGTCGTCATCGCTGTCTTCGAGTTTTTCCTGCAGCGCAAAACCTACATCGGTGCTCGTACGCTCGTACACGCCGCTTCTGCTGGTAAAGAGTCTCATGGACAGTACTTGAGCGATTGTCACCTTCATCCGTCACCGTTGGATACTGGGAAGTGGGGAAAAGAAGAGGAGTTGAGGAAGAGGGTTTGGAGCGAGTTGGCAATGAAGTTGGAGAAGATTGAGCCGGGGGTAACGAAGAATCTTTGAGCTCTTCGTACGTATGCTTGATTGTATGGGTATAACATGTATTGCCATCTCTTTCCTCAATATTGCTATTTAATCCATGGCCGACTCCTGGAACAAGTTACTAGTGCCTTTGGATACCTATGGCTTGGAGCCCGATATTTTGAGGTATACACAGCTGCATGATGGGATTTCCGTTGATATCCTCGGTGTTCTCGCATCAAACTCTCACTCCTGGCCCAAATTTGGATCACGGAGAATACACCCAAGTTGCCAACTCTGTCTCTCCAATACCCCGCCACCACCTATTCCTAAAAATATCATGAGCTGATTTTTACTCAAGAAAATGCTACCACCATCGATGACCCTTCCAACCGCACTGCCCAGTTTTCCACTGGACTCTCTCGGCATCCTCAACGACTGTCCATCTGGACGGACCCGAGTCTAGGCACACCACATCTTCCGTGCACAGCCATGCGCTGCTACCCGACCTCTTCATCCGTTCCGTTCCAATTTACTTTCCCGATCGTCCAATCAGAATTGTCGACTGACTCTACCCGGTCACCCGGAAGATGTTCGGGAGGCGGAACAGAGTGAGATTATCACGTGTTTTCGGTCGGGGCCCGTGAGAGTCTCGACTCTTTCCGATCATGGGAGTCTGCGCCGTCCAATCACCGGCAGAATTGCCAATGTGTTTTGTTTGTGGCGTGGGAGCAGACACAAGCAGGACTGCTGACCGGAACCTGCTCCACGTCTTGCCCACGTCTGTGCAGAAACCTGTGCTAGTGCTGTTCTGCTCTTCCCTCCTGTCCTTTGCCGTCGCACTTTCCTTCCTTCTTGCTCTGGGTTTCTTCCCACCGGCTTGCTTCTCTTCGCATAATAGAGTCTGCGAATCCATTCAACCTGTGCGGCGGAAGGCGCAAGATTGATTGTCTGCACCACATCTTCGCACTCTTCTAAGCCTGGCTATACTTGCGGCTTTACGAACGATCTTACCCAGGCCTACACCGTATCGAATAAGGGTCTTTCTATGTGCGGCGATTGTGGACCTATCCTTAGGGCGATGAGTGGAGCTCTGCACCCCTGCCTGCGCTTCTTTGGTCTTTCTTGCTTTGGTCTTTCACAGAGAAGTCAGAAGTCGCCTGATTCTCGAGCGCCGGATCAAGTGAGGTAGGTTCGTGTCGAGTCATCCTTTGAGGTTGAGCTTAGAAGCCGTTTTTGGAACGCCTCTGGCTCCACAGTTTGTTTCTACCGGCACCGCCAATATTACCCAGGTGCATTCTCAGGAGTCTATCGTCTTCGTCTCCGAGCAGCCCTCGGGGCACTACTAAGCTCGACCGTACTTTCGTTCTGGGGTGTTCGTGAGTTGTGGAGTGGACAAAAGAGCTTCATTTGGGATAAATACGCGGTGGAACGCAACCTGAGCATTATGGGCCCATGCTTCAACTTCGGCCCTTATTGCTGCTCGAGCTTTCTTTACGACTACCATTGGCTCCTGGATGCCTTCGTTGCCGACACGCTCTACCTTCTCAGCACCTGAGTAGTCCGCCGATTGTACGCTTCATACCAAAAATATCGTATGTTCACCCAAACTCTGCTTCGGCAAGCCGTAAGGCGCGAGCTCTCCATGCGTCTCGCCTCGCCTACCTAGTCATTAGAAAATTTTCCTTTGCAACCTTAATCGCTTTTGTGGTGGTCGTCGATTTTCGCGCTTCACGCGCACCGCGCACGGCTGCCGCGTCGCGCCTATTTTCTTACATCCCTATCGATCCGCATCTCTCATGGGCTACTATTTGCTAGCAAGGAACTCAAGGGGACTCATCACGTCGCACATGCACATTCAATGATCCTGCCGTCCAAATCGATTGTTACAGGTCTCCCTGCTAACTCAGCGCTCACGAGATGCAAGCGCAATCTATCCTAGAAAGGTGTCCACACCGTCGCACTGCAGTCACCTCAGCTTTTCGACTCGGACTGGACTCAGATCTCAGTTGCATCACAAATTGCCTGACATGTCTATTACAGTATCAGCAAGTCTATGCCCGGAGATGGGCGTTCTTGCTCTTCCGGCGTGGGTGATTACGTTGATGGGTCCGGGGGTGCAGTTGCACAGCCTCTTTTTTTTTCTGGTCTTTTTAATTTTCACTTCCTGCTTTTCACCGCAGTGGCATTGGCATTGTGGCGAGAGAGGCCGCTGTCGCGCAGGTCGGCCTCCTTGATGGATCCCGCACGCCGCACAGCCTCGCATTATAACTGCCAACGGAACTGTAGATGCACGATAATTATCAGGCCAGGAACGTCTAGGCCATCGTAGATCTGGATATCGAATGTTACATGCATGTTCAACGTTGGGCGTTCAAATCTAACTTACGACAACGGCGGAGGATCGAGGATCGTGGCTTTGCTGTTCCTTTGCTCTTGAACGTTAGCTACCTGTGTAGGCATGCCGTGTACGAGGTCCCTAGCGCGTCGGGATATGAGTCGCTTTAGACGCGATTTTACGATTTTCAGGGGTATACGTTAGGCGCAGGTTAGGCGTAAAGTTTGACTGGAACGTGATACAAGGCCAATCTGGGCCTGGGTGGGGATGAGAGCGATACCTTGGCCCAAACTTTGACTTTCGACCACTGTATCGATCTACGATGGCCAGCATACGGCACCCACATTTTTCGCGTGCGATATCACACACTGCAGGTCCTTGCTTTTTTTTCTGTCTCTATGTTACCTTTGCTGACATACCGTGACGATCGTGGTTCCTTGCAATAGTGAGCGAAAGCATTCAAGATCCAGGAAAATGTCTCTTCATTGAGAGTTCCATACTTGGAAGACTGTACCGAGCACCGCCTTGCTGCATCCACGTTCACCGCTCTCGAGTCTCCGAGTTTCCATCCCCCAAGTTACGAGAGGATGCAATGTATCGAGCGCAGTTTATAGAGCGTACTCCACTCGTCGTCAGTTCGTGATGCCTTCCGAATCGTATCAACGGGGATTCTTACCTCTTTGCCCATAGCGTACGGTCGTATTGACCGCGTCTGTACACAATGCAATGTGTCGTGTCGTATGGAATCTGACCTAGTCGCCTCTTCGTGCTGTCCATTGCTAACCAGAACCTCCGGCCATCTCCTAGGTAGTCTAATTCCGTGAAACGCTCTCCCTCGAACTCATTATCTGCAAGAGTTCGCCGTCCTTGATGCATGTTTCATGGTGGGGATACAATTACTCCCGGTATCGATGAAAGGCGAACCAGCAATGCAGGCTCAGGACTCTGGAGACCGGATCACTCTTCCCTTCGTCCTGTCCATGCTTTATCGCCGCTCAGGTCTAAGCCCACCCATCTCCGGTCAATACTTTCTCTCGCTGTCTCTTACATACGGCACGTCTGCGTTCGTTCTCGCGATGTTCGCAGTTCATAATATATGGTCCAAGTTGGAGAGTCATATCCCATAAGTCGACAGGAAAGCGATGTTTGTACTCAGCTAGGCGTCGCATCTAGGTCAAGCTACCTAGATCTCGAATTCACTTTCTTGTTATGCATCACATCTACAATGTCCACCTCTATACTCGTACTCAACTCCGCGCTGCTCGGAACCGCGACTCCCGAGAACGAAACGAAACTTCAAACAAGGCAACACGACCCATATGCGTCTCTAGCATCTCGAGCAATACCGGTCGTCAACGCTTCAACGTTTCGACCGTGACTATGCATCATCGCCACATGTCGACATCACATCCCATCCTATTCTTCGACTGTGCATTGATGAGGATGACGATCATCTCCACCGCGACCACAGACACAGATTTGACACTCCCAATGATTCGCTCATTGCATACTTACTACTATGGCTACAGCCCACAGCCTATACTACTTGTCCATTGCTCACTTGTTTGTGTCCGCCATCCCCGAATGATTTCCCCCGACGAGTTCGCAGGATGGAGGTTCGAATTCTGTCATGGAGAGATGCATGTACGCACGGATGTACATATCACAATGGACTCTCTCTCGGAGAGAGAAGACGCCTCGAAAGGAAAGAAGAACCCCGTTCCGGTGGTCCTATGTCCGACTCCAACCGTCTCGACGTTTCAAGCTACTGTTCACTATGTAAACGCTAAGCAATGAGTACTGGAGACCCTGGGGGCTGCAAATCGTGATCTGATCATCACGAATCACGAATCAACGGACGAAGCCGGACTACAGTATTCGACAGACAGACAGAAAAAATTAAGTTCAAGTTCGAGCTCATGTATGCGCGCTTACTTATTGGCAGAGGATCTTGAAGTCTTGGAGGCGAGCGAGCGAAACCCAGGTCTCGATTAGCTTCCGTACATGCAAGCAACACACCCTATGCGACAGCCCACAGGCCCGAAATACTAGTGTTGTCAGAACGAATCAGGACTGTTGATATCCGCGCCGCCTCCGCCACAACACGACGATAGCCGCCAGGCACCGAACAACGTTAACGGGGAAGTAGGCTCTTACATGCGGGATGTTATGTTATGTGTGTAGATGGGGCCCGGGCCTATGTGCGGCGCAGCGAGCGAGCGGGTCGGTCGCATAGCACATGTCGGAGCAGATGTTGGCGTTGATCGGAACGTCTTTTTGCTGCTTTGCGTCCGATCATCGTACGGACGCTGCAGCTGTCAGGCACATAAGTAACACAGAACTGAATCGATGACTAGGAAAATAAAAAGGCTTGGGACTTTGTGGCACGCGAGCAAGTGCCTGTCTTTCCGTGAACTTACGTACGCAGAGATGGACGAACTGATGGAGGTGAACTTTTGTTGTCCCGAAAAGGAGATATTCGAGATGTGGTAAAGGCCGCCGCTTCGTTCCTTGGTGGCCGGAGATGGCGACTCTGATCTGGTGGTTCAGAGCATGCCCATCGATGGACATACTGTGCCTATTTTGCTCTTCGCACGAAGTGAACGAACGGGTTGGCCGCTGACCTTTTCGTCCACCGTAACGGCCCTCCGGATCATCAAGGAACGTTCAGAGGGCTGCATCTTCGAAACACCTAAACAGATATTAGGCCTGTTTAGGCATTTCGAGCGGCGACTTGCAAGGTATTCCTGCCACGTACTTACCCCACAGCTGACGTTGAGTTCGCCGCCGATGCAAGGAACTGTGACTATGCCCACAAATGAGCATATTTCTTTCTTTGGGCTGTGCGCCTCCTCAGGCCTCAATGTAGTGGAGCTCGAAAGACTCGTGTCAATTCATTGGGAGGATGGGTCCAATGTACAAGCATGTGAAGAGCCTCGCCAGGTCTGGACGCAAAAAGAAAGAAAGACGCACCGCCTGAGAACGCCACAGAAAGAAGTCCATAGGCTGTGCCAAAAGAGTCGGACGTTGGAGTCGGAGGGAGCGAGTCCAGGGAACCGGACAGAAGAGGGAGATCGACACGCGCGAGCGTTCCGAGGGGGGAAGAGCTTCGTTCGAACGAGATGACTCGGAGGCCGGGCAAACCCTAACCATGGCCGAGGCTGAGCCGATTGCAGCCGGCACACGGCAGAGAACGGGCGCGGCGGCGAAAACACTGGAAGGCTCGCGACAGCTCTCGTCTTTGTCGACGACGCCCATGCGCCACCCGCGAGCTACTGCTGCCGACGTCCACGACGTTATCGACATATCGTCTCGGTGTCCGACCAGTCTCTATGGCACTCTAACGCCGTGGCTGCAGGCGGCAGCTGCTGCCCATGGCCATGTCTCGGATTGAACTGACTCGACACACTCCTGTCGTTCGATTGCGACGCCTCATCGCTCCCGGCGGAGCTTCAGATGGCTTTTCCTGTGGCACACCCACATCGCTTGCGTGTTTGTAAGTAATGCAGGTGCGTTCTCTCGCTTACTGCCACCCGAGCTGTCTTTCGGTTTCTTCACGGGCCTTGTACGAAGCTGCAGAGGATGGGTGCACCGCCCGAGGCACGTCCGGAAAGGGGATGAGAGACCGACGCCGGGAAAGCACCGTTCGTGGAGCCTTTCAATGGCTGTGACTCGAACTGCGGGGTTCGCTCGCTCGCTGGGCACGGACCTCGCCGGTGCACATTCCCACGGTCTCCAGTCCCGGTCGGTGCCTTCTGTAGATCTGTCCACGAGAGCGGCCTCGGAGTTATATAAAGAGCCCAGCCTCTACCGACGCTGACTACCGAATACTTTTTGCTCCTCCAGCCTTTCCCCCCACACTCCCGCTTCATACGCCTCAGGCACTCCCAAGCGCTCTCGCCAGCACTCCTGTGCGATTCACGGGCCGTCCCCGACTGATTATGACTGTTAACGTCGCGCCATACCTCGCTTTCCAGAAGATGACCTCCAACCCGCCTCACAACTCATCCATACACCCCCGTCACCACGCTGCCAACTACCCATACCCTCAGTCGCGTCACCCAAGACGCTCACACTCCCCCGCCCCCACCAACCACCCACCACAAACGTCTCGTCGCCAGGCACCTCCCCCTCCACCCGCCACCGTCGACGAGTGGAACACAGAGCTCAGTCAGAAATTAGCGAAGAAGTACCTCATGCTCGTCCACACCCAGAAGAAGAAGCAGGCTGCTGCCAAGAACGGTGCTCCTCTGCGTCCCAGGTGCGTCTCTTCCTTTTCTTTCCGTCCTATCCGATTGGCCCTGACCGAGCCCGGCTTTCCGCACTTCCTTTGTTCCTCTTGCGTCTGTTTCCAGAATGGAAATTTGTGACGTCCCAGACTCGCCTGTCATCACCGCGACGCTCGAGATTCCTGGTATCAGGAAGGAAGAGATCGGCGTCACAGTCATCCCTGAAGGTCGTCTCACCATCTCCGGTGAACGACGCGCGCCTCCCCTTCTCCATAACGACTCGGATACGAGTCTCCCTCGGTACCCTGTGCGAGAAGTCAAGTACGGAAGATTTGAGCGCACAATTAGCGTTCCACCTGGGTTGGAGGTAAAGCACCTGGCCATTCTTCTTGAAACCATCGCTGATGATTTGCTTGCTTTCCAATAGGTCTCTGATATCACCGCATCCCTCGTAGATGGCATGCTCTCCGTCTCCTGGCCCCGAGTCTCACCTTCATCTCGCCAAACCTATCCCACTCATCCTGATGCAGCATCATCCCAAGTACACCCTCATATGCTTGACACTCAGTAGCTGGGTCATCGCCGCGTCATCCCCCTCTCCTAGTCATCCCCCTCTCCTCTCATGGTACATTGCTTTCTCGTTCTGTGCCTATTTACTGGGCCACATTAGTAACGATCGTTTCTGGATGCAGTGCCTCATACTGCGCGACCTACACCACACTCCATCCTTCATCCAAACATATTCCAATTCGTCATCTGGGTTTGGTCATAGCCTCGCACCCACTCTATTCACGCCTTCTGCGATCTCCTTCGTGACTCGACTTCCGTCCAAGTTCACGTACCCGTCATCGCACCACCATTTTGGCCTCGTGGGTCACCCGTGTACAGTCATATCCAGTCATCCGTCCTATTCTCTTCGGATCCACCAGGAGCCGAACCTTCTAAATCTAGCATACCGAACTACGCCACACCTCCATCGATTCGCTTACGCGTCCCGCCAGTTCTTTTCATCGGGAGTTTGAGTAACCCTCTACACCCAACGGTGGCATCCGAGTCACACCCTCGCCTATACCCCCATTTACGCACAAGCTTCAGGCCATCCGATCCCCGTCCGAGACCGGAGATGCCGAGTTCATACGTCTTTACTATACCTGTTCTCTTTCTCACTCTGGGGTCCATCGTTGGCGTTTGATGGTCAGTCCCGCCCTGTTACGATTATATTTGAGACCCGTTTCTGACGCGTCCTGAATACAGATCTATATACAACTGTACACCTTAATGCGTGGCGTGGCGGTTCCGGTACCTCTTGCGTGTTTGGGTTTCTGGGTTCTCTATAGGTATCCTCGATCACCATCACATCCATAACTGAGGGCAAGATCGAGGCCGCAGTCGACGTGGCCCCACCTCGTCCCACCATTGGCCGTCCAACAGAACTCTCTGGACTCTCACAGCTTCTTCCCACCGCAATCTCCATCGAGAACAATCTGGATGACTTCGCTTCTTCTCCTTCTCGGCTTGGGAGCGTTGGAGTGGCTGTGGCGTGGCGTCAATAATATGAGACGGGAACACCTCGGGAAGAGGGTGCGTGGTGCGGAGTTGGAATCTGATAGGGCGTTCTGGGAGGGAGGGAATTTTGGGCATAGGGGGGCGTGGGAGGGAGATGTGACTCGTGTGAGAGCTCGTGGGGGGTTTCGTAGCCGGACGAATGGGTATCCTGATACCCGACCTTTCCTTGGAGATGAATTGGGTTGTCGGAGGTGGCGACTCTGGCATGGGGTTGTTGGGGTTACATGGGCGATGCGCCGTGCGTGCTTTTGGGTTTAGGTGTCTCATCCTTTTTTTTTATCGTGGTTTATGCTGCGTCTGAGGGCTCACCGTTTACCTGTCTTCTTCCGGTCTGTATTTGTATACAAAGTCGCTCTTCATCTGTTTCCCTTTCCCCTTTTCTATATTTCGGTCACTTCATCCAGGTCAAATCGCGCACAACTCAGAAGTCTATACTATACATTACGCTTTTGTACTAAGGGCTACGGGCTATGCGTGGCGCTGAGCGGGCCACGCAGCATCTAATCGTCTCTATCCTCTCCTCTCCTCCCTCTTCTCTGTGCTTACCTATCATCGACTTTCGTCTGCATTATATCTCGTATCCTCCCATCGACTCGTGTTCCTTTCTCACTCATATACACGAATACTTATAGCATAACAGCAAATCGCACAGACACTACATACATACATACATATATCTCTCCATTCATTCATCGCATAGGCTCTCTCATATCGTTCTCTGCTCTCTGTTACCCTGCTTTCGAACCTTGTTCAGGCCACCGACTCACCGTCATTGCATTTTTCCCCCCTTTTGGTGGTACATACATTGCTCGTCGATTATATTATATGTTTACTCTATTGAAGTATAAGCACAAACTATCCAGTTCAGGTCTTTTGATAATGTCAATGCGTGGACGTGTCTACTGCATCGCGTACGAGTTCGTTAGTGTAGTAACTGGGGCTGATTATGAGTCCTGCTGGTCTCCCTGTCAAAGCTCTGCTAATGTGCACTTGTCCACCACACCTATGGATGTGAACCTACGCGTATGCAGTCATTTCAGACACGACAGTAGACCGTACACTCCTCCCTTAGGCCCTTCCGCGTCTTGATACCCATCCATTCCTTAGCCAGTCACGAAGAGTAGGTCCATTACAGTCTCAGTGTGCGATCACGGACACGGACACTAGCAAGTGCCGTAACCTCGTGTTCGCAACCGGCGTTGTACAGTCCTTCGCCCAAGTGAAACACAGACACGGATCAAATTAATATCGTTCTGACTCGATCGACGGGGGTCACCAAGGCTTCTGCTTCACTTCAGCGTTCACGAATCACAGCAACTAGGAACGAACTTTTGCTGGAGTCCGAGTCCGAGTCAGGACGGAGTGTGACGAAGCGAGGAGCCGTCGTCTAACTTCTAAGTGGCCGGAAGTCGGAGTCAGCGCTGGTCAGCGAGGATAGGGTAAGTCAGTGCCAAGTGTCAATGCTGTACTTACCTCGTTAACGCTGTCGATGAGTGCCAGTGGGCGGCTTTCCGAAGCGTAGATCATGATGCATGATGCGTGATTGCATGATGATGACGAGACGAGAATTGGCGAAATTGTTGCGATCGTTTCGGAATATCAGTGGCTGCCAGCGGTGCAGTAAGTAGTATGCCATGTAGTACAGGTGCGGGCAGGACCCCTGTCTATAGAGGGCGAGGTCGTCCACCGATCCGGACAAAATTTGGAGGTTTTGTGGTGGAAGGCCGTCCGCAGGACGGACAAATTTTGGCACTTTTGGAGGAAGGCCGTCCGCCAGTCCGGACAAAAACCTGCCGCAGGCGGGCGCCCAGCGGTGTGGCATCAGCTCCAGCTTGGGTGGCGACGCCCTGTTCGGTCACTGTGTGTGCGTCCCTGGGGTCACTGACGGTCCAACAGGCAGGTTCTCCATCCAAAGGGAAAAATCAAGGCAAAATAAGCCTCGCAATGTGCTCAAAGAGCGAGTCTGGAGCAGACCGATTATTATTATTAATTCCTTTTTCTTTTTCTTTTTGGAGGCCGTACCCGAAATCCGGACAAAAATGGCCCCCGCAGGGAGGACGTCCGCGAAATCCGGACAAAATTTGGCGGTTTTGGGCGACTCTGGTCCGGACAAATTTTGGCAGTTTCTCGAGTGCCGCGGACGACCTCGCCCTCTATAGACAGGGGTCCTGTGCGGGCTCTCTGAACTTGGGCGCTTACCCTACGGAAGGTCCTGTCCAGAGGAGACGAAGACCGCGCTAATGCAGGTATGTAAGCGCCAGATCTTGCCCTGCTGTTGATTCCCGAAGTGTTTGTTGTATGATTCAGATGAGGCGAGACAACAGCTCATCGAGAATGAAGCGACGGACAGCTGGCAGCAGCATAGGCGAGGCGCTCGACGCCCGTTCAAGTTCACTATTCACTGGCACCGTGGCCGCCCGGGACAAAAACCCTAAGGCTCGAGGACACTGCTGACCCACTGGTCAATGAGTACAGTCGCAATCAGCCCGATCTCGGTCATCATACACTGACACACCAGATCCACACTGGATTTAGGCCCCTGGCCCAGGAGTCGTTTAGAGAATGGATACATGATTCAGATCAAGGCGCCTGCAGATCGACTCCGAGTCGAGAGGTTCCTGGCCGGGTCCCTGGACTTGAGTCGGAGAGCATGAGCGACCGAGGGGGGCAGGCCGGGAAGGTGGTTGGTCTGTAGGTTTGTCAGCCCGCTCGGCGGGCTGCAGAGTCAGTCAGTGAGATGCATACTTCAAAAGCTATGGTGTCTGACACGATGTCGGTGTAGCGAGAATGCTGACGAAGATAAGTTCGGAGTCATGGTCAGACTAAGAGCGATGGTGTGGACAGAATGAAGAGCACGAACTTAGAGAACTGAGTCATGACGTCCGATGTGGAGGAGACTCAGATATAAAGTCAACATTGTAGGGTTCGCCGAAGTCCAAGTTGGATTGCGGAGTGGTCTCTGCCAGGACAATTATGACCGTCCACATGTGAGTCGAGTTGCGCCGAAGGACGAGCTGAGAGAAGCCTGGAATGAGGTTGTTTATGACGATGGGGAGTTTAGTGAAAGATTCAGAGTAATCATCAATATACATGGTGAGTGAGCAAGAATTCGGCGATTTTCGAGTTGTCATATCATTAACGTGCAGCGCAATCGAGTCTCTCCATCCCCGTCTCTTCAGCTTTAGAAGCAACAGAAGAATCGTCGTCGTGAGTATCGACTTCCCATTCTCCGAGCGTTGTATAATGTTATCCAGAGAGTGCCAAGATGGCCTCGATAACGAGTGCTCATGTAAAGCCTAGAGGAAATGAATTTGGCGAGGTCTTGGATGGAGAGGTTTCGTCGAACGAAAAAGTCGAAGCAGACGTCGAGGACACCAGGAAGGAGAGGACAGGCGGTGAATTACACCAAGGTGGCGGGAAGAAGTTGTGTTGTGGACAAGCTGTCGGGCTCATAACATAATTTCAACTTTCCGTGATCATGAGTGGCGTTTAGCGCTCAGATCTGTTGTGGCGCCCTTTTGGCCTGCACTTTCTCGAATATCTTTGAGTTATCAGGTATGGGTAACATTACTAGAATGAGATTTGGACAAGAGCCACCACGCCACCCTCGTAAGACATGGACATCATAGAGACGAATCCGGTTTACAACCGCCACCAGAAGTAACAGGCACGATGGAATGCCTCAGACTAACCGTACAACCTCAATCGATCTCTCAAACATTCTTGGAAACCCCCGGGACAACCTTCTCTAACTTCTCCATCATCTCCTCCCAAACTCTCTTACTCAATTGCTCCGCATCACCCCACTTCCCTTTATGAACATCCAAAGGCCACGGATAAACCCTACAGTCCCTCAAGAACTGCCCGTGCGACTCCGCTCCAGCGCCACCAGCAGCATAGACCAGCACACGAGCACCGACAGCGGTTTCGCGTTTGGGTATGATAACACCTATGATGCCAAGGATGATATGGAGAAAGATGCCGGAGACGTTACGGTTGAGAGAGGATTTGCAGGCGCCGGGTGTAAGGGAGTTGATTATTACTAGAGGTCTGTCGGAGGAAGATGGGGAGGAGGTGCGGGAGATGTGTAGAGCGAGTTGGCGGACGACAATTAATTCGAGGAGTTTGGAGACGTTATACCTGCGACAGGAAAAGGTAATAGAAAACGAATCTACGAGTTAGCAGGGTACACGTTGAATGTCGTCTCGGAGGAAAACGAAGACCTCGTGTGATTGCACTCACCGATCTATCATGTCCGCCTTCGGATCCACCAATCCTCCATCAGGACCAAATATCCTCTGTGCCCTCCACTCCTTGAACTTCGCATGAAAGGCTAGTTCACTCGAGACGATAGATAGGCGGGGAGTGACTCCATATTTCATCGCCGTCTCCTTCAGCTTCGGGATCAGAAGCAGCGCAAGCAACGTCGTGGAGAGGACGTTCGTCTTGATCTCTGATTCATCATCTTCTTCGAGTTCGAACTTCAGTTTCGCAACGCCTGCGCTTTCGAGGAGGACGTCCAGTCTGTCCAGTTCGTTGTTGGCTCGAACCCCGAAGTCCTTCACGCTCTGATACGAAGAAAGGTCGAGCGGCCAAACCTCCAGCACCGTACTCTCGCTCGAAGCCTTGGGGAGACTAGAGCGAATTTCTTGGGCTGCGGCCTCACCTTTCGAGGGCGCACGGACGGCAAGGATGACCTTCGACGCGCCGCGTTGAGTGATCTGTTGTGCGGCATGGAATCCGAGACCGACGTTGGAGCCGGTGACGATGACAGTTTGACCAGCGAAGGAGAGTTTAGGGTCGAGTTTAGGGGTAGTGAACCATTGGGAGTAGACTGTGGTGGCAAAACTACCTGGGGTTGGCATCGTCTGCGCTATGTGGGACAGGGACAATTCGTGGGGAAAGTGAGGATGTATGGGCATGCAAGGGTAGTCAGTATATGAGAATATGTGCGAGGAGGAAATGGAGATACCAACAGTGTGATGAAGACCTGGTGTAGGAGTGCTCTGTATGAGTTCTGTATTGGACTGAAGGAGTGAGCAGTGAGTGAGCTTCGCGGCTGTTTATATACCGGCCAGATACTGCAGTACACCTACACAGACGGTGAGAATGTATGGCATCTTGTAGTACTCGTTTCTGATTATGGTATGGACCAAGGACGAATCGGGGTGCTGAACGAGACAATGTAAGATGATATGCGGGTATTCTTCGTGCTGTACTGTGACAAAGAGCAAAGATGTACTCAATGGTTAATGGAACCCGGGCGATGGGCGATGGGCAACTGGTAATGGGCAATGGACCGCCAGGACACGTGACTGAGCCGCGCCGCGCATTCATGTTCACAAGCACGAGCGATACTTAGAGTGATATATGTGGTCATCGAAATAATGGAAGTATCGGGTAAGCCTGCAGTCCACCTGGCTGTACGTTGCGCACAATCTTCAACCTCTCGCCCAACGCCGCCACCCTTAAATACACGTCATCCTCAATCTTTTGATCGCACCCACAGAGATCCATGAGCTGCTCTAGAACACGAATGCTCCAAAAAGCACAACTCCACCTCGACCCAAATCTCGTGTAGTCGTCCTGCGTGACAGATTGCTCTCTGATCCAAGCGACGACGTCATTGATAGGGAATGAAGCGCTGGTAAAGACCTCTACGATACCGACCAGCGTCTGGGAGTACATGGATTTGAACAGGCGATAGTGAAATTCCCAAGGAATTGTTGCGGAGCCCCTGTGATTGACGATGGACATCTTGTGGACGTCAACTGTCCAATCTGACGATGTAGTCGTAACGATGGCCCAGTGGAAGTTGGCAGGCGGCTGTGCCCCAGCTAACTCATAGAGAGCAATACCGTATCGAACCACTGTCATGATCGACGTGAGTTGGATCTAGGCGACGATCAGGCCGACGATCAGTACACAATGTGTATAAGTAATACAGTAGAAAGGAGGAACAGACTTGGAATTTGGGCGGGATCGGCCGTGGTGAGGCTGGAGTTTGGTGTGTGGTCCTAGTCTAGTATTGCTGAGAAAAAAACAATCAGTGGTGATGGAATAGGCAGAGGCGAACGTGTGTACCTGCAGGTTTTCTGGCAGTGTAGCGTGTTGGGATCGGTCAGCAGCCCATACCATTCTCCAGTCAGTCGTGGCTTTAGAAGTCGACTCAAGGCTGCGTGGGAAATATAGAGGATTTTACTACAATCAGATGATCTTTTCGTTGAACGACCTACATGAGCTCATTTAAACAGATCGGTCTCCTACGTGCCCCAGCTTATCTCTGAATAAGGCCGTGATGATTGGGAGTCACATAAAGCTCGGTGTTTGACGCGTGAAGGCAACGTTAACATGATATCTCGAAAGGGGTTCAAACTAGTTTAGACTCCGCTTTAACGGACTGTGTCCCCGCGGCCGGCAAATCCCAGCCGACTCGGACACGAACCAAAACCGAACTCGATGGAATACGACGACTTCAAGAAGCGCTAATCATCCACTAAAACCTTTCAAGGTCAAGGTCAACTCGAGTAGCTAAATTTCTCTCGCATACAGTACTTTTCTGCAGTGTGACATCAGATGACAGCTATGGATGAGGTTGGTATGCAGTTATATAGCAGCGCTCAATACTGACGAACTTTTTACTCGATAGGCTGCGCGTCGAGAAATGAGACGGAAATCCGGTCTCGAGGCCATGCGAAGAATAGCTGGACATCCTCCTCCGTGGACGTGGACCCGCTTTTTGCAATCAAAATGGCGTAGGTTCCGAGGAATAGTTGCAAACACCATCCACCACCTGATCATCAGACCGCTCTGGAGACGTAAGATTTTCACTTTGCCTTACAAGACATCACCTACTTATATGTCACAGTAATATCCAAACGTTTCTTCTTCTTGAAGCAGAGCCCCGCCGATGTTTCCGCAGAGATAGCTGCCATGCAGTTCGTCCGTCAACACACTTCCATCCCCGTTCCCCGTCCTTGGGGTTCTTTCCGGTGCGGTGGACATGTCTATCTTGTGATGCAGAGGGTCTCTGGCGTCGCTTTATCCGACAGTATGTGGAACAGTTTCACGGAGGAGGAAAAATGCAATGTGGTGGAACAACTGCGAGGATTTGTAGAGCAGCTGCGTAGCATTCCTCCTCGATCTGGGTCAGTCGTCGGCTCGGTGAATGGCGCACAGGGATGCGACTACCGGTTATGCGGTGTGCCGCATGGACCCTATATGAACGAGCAGCAGATGAACCACCAACTTCGGATGGGACTTCCCTTGCAAGAGGTTCCTCCGAAGGTCATCGAGTCTCATTCTCGGAAGCATCCACTCGTCTTCACTCACGGCGACATCGCTGGGCGGAATATCATGATGGATGGTGTGCGAGTCGTAGCATTGATTGACTGGGAGGGTGCGGGGTGGTTTCCGGCACACTGGGAGTACTGCAAGGCTCGATACGCTTCTGGCTATCTCCACAACGAAGATTGGATGGCTCGCATACCCAAGTTTATACCTCCCCATGTTTTCGAGGATGAGGCCGACACCGAGCTGAGGGCATGGCAGCAGGCACCCGACTTGCCTCCGATGAAGTTCGTTCTTCCAATCGCTTTCTTACAATCTCTGTTATTTGATATCTTTTGAGTTGCCTTAGACTCGACGGCCCACATTCCCCCAACGAGACGGTGGAGGTTTATTTTGACCAAGCATTTGACCCGACGCGGCGAAGACTCGAAGACACATCCCCTTTAATCTCAGTGGTATGGCCATGGTGATTCGATGATCGATGGTGAGAGATTCTCGCAGCTTCATCAATCCTTCACACTTTCTGCGCTAACCCTTCAAAAAAGCATCTGGCGCCGTTTGTGCATGGCCCAGGGCGTTCGGAGGGATTCTATCAACTATACTATCCGCATTTACGGCATCCCAAGTCAGTATAATGCTTCCGCATGCGGAATCATACCCGACCAAGTATTCCATGACCCCAGTGAGCTGCTGTGGTCTCCAGTACAGTTGGCAGTAGCCACTGAAGCAGTGTGGTGCAAATGTGGTGAAATGTCCTTGTCGTGAGGCTCATATGTTGTACATCAATGTAATGGGGAACTGATAGCACGGTGGCGAGCCAGTAGTAAGATGTAACCACCCTTAAAAGACCCCCAGTCAGTTTTAGCTGCGATGAACGTCTGAACCAGAGATTTCTTTAGTCCTGAGGAAATTTTCAAGTTATACAGCTTTCAACTAGTCGATATTAGAAGGCGTTTCGACGAACTCCTGAAGTAGATAGTGTAGCATATAAGGATGGAGTACACTGTACAGACCACTAGACAATTTGCGAGACCCCCGGCTCTACCCTCTCCAACTTCATCATCAGTTCACCCCAGATCCTCTTCCTCAGCTCTTCTTCATTACCCCATTTCTTGATATCCAACGGAGACAGAGAGACGTGGCAGTCGCTCAGATACTGTCCGTGAGACTCTTTACCGGCAGAAGCGGCGTGGACGAGCGTGCGAGCACCAATGGAGGCCTTGCGATATAGAGGAGACTCCACGAATGCTATAGCGTTTGCTTGAAAGCCGGTGAAGTTGCGTCGGAGAGACGTCTGGCAGATACCGGGATTGACAGCGTTGACGATGACGGTGGGTTTGGTGGAGGAAGAAGTGGATATGCGAGTGGCGATTTCACGGACCACGAAAACGTCGAGGAGTTTCGAGACATCGTACCTATAACGGTTCAAAAAAATAACTTATTAGCTTGGAACTCTGGTGCTCTTGGATTTCCGGTGAAAGAGATTAGGTGAACGTACCGATCCATCAAGTTCGACTTAGGATCCTTCATCTTCTCAAAGATATTCTGCGCATTCCTCTCCTCAAATTTCGCAAAGAACGCCAAATCGCACGACACAATCGTCAGATACGTCATCACTCCAAACCTCTCCGCCGTCTCTCTCAGCTTCGGAAGCATCAACAGTGCCAACAATGTCGTGGACACCACGTTCGTCGTGACCATCATCTCGTCCTCTTCCTCGATCTCGAACTTCAGCGTCGCTACACCAGCATTCTCGAGCAGCACGTCCAACCTGTCCAACTTCGCCGCCCGTGCCGCGAAATCCTTCACGCTCTGATACGAAGAAAGGTTGAGATGCCAGACTTCTATCTCCGTAGCCGTGCGTGGAGACTGAGAAAGGCTCTCGCGGATTGCCTGGGCGGCGGCTTCGCCTTTCGAGATGGTATGTACGGCGAGGATGACTTTAGCTGCGCCGCGCTGGGCTATCTCTTGTGCGGCAAAGAAACCGAGGCCTGTGTTGGAGCCGGTGACGATGACAGTTTGGCCAGTGAAGGAAAGATTAGGTTCGAGTTGGGGTTCGACGAAGAGCTGAGAGTAGAGAATGCCTGGTAATCCGCCGGGAGCAAAGAGGGGCATGATTGGCGCGTTGTGTGGTATGACGGCTTGGCGATGCTAGGGATGCGTGCTATTCTGGTATGCAAAAGCTGAGGATGAGAGTACTGTCCGTTCGTGAAGAGAGGAGAGTGTACGTACGAATCGGCGATGACTGTGTTGAATTGCTCTGGGTAACGTATCAGTGCGGGGTGAAGAAAGACGACGTAGTAAATAATGAACGGTTTATATATGATATCCCTCAGGATCCAGCAGGCTAGTCTTGCCAAGGCTATGATTGAGAACACGTCTGTGCATCCTGCGGCGTGAAGACTGCGGTAGGCTCGAAACATGTCCAACTCATGACCATTATTGCAGAGCTGTGATAGATGGGACAGCCGCGAAGACGCGTCAGTCAGTTACCGTGTCTTGAGCCAACGCCTCACATGGAACTTCTTGCAAATTCGGCCGCTCGAAGCATTTATTCGGTGGAGTTATGCTCCCATTCCGAGCTTTCGAGCAGGGTGTTAGTGCACCCCTGGCCTTTTGATGCCAGTCCTAGCCGTAAATAGCAGAGTTCATCAGGACTGATCCACATTGACTCACCTGTATATATGGTGGCGCCAGCTGCGTATACTTGGCGTATACCAGCAAGCCTCCGCCACAGAACCATCTGTTGGATGGAACACTCATTCGGGCGTTAGGGGGCTTGTTACTGTATATATGGAGCCCTACATTGCTCCTAGGGCAGTGTCTAGAAAACAGGTCGGAGCACCTTTCGAAATGCTCAGCGATTTTTCGTTAGAGAGACTTCGACCCTTGACATGAAGTGGCCTATCTTGCCATACTGTGAAGCTTACCTCATCTGTCGGACATAGCGGAAAAGATGTGGGTCGATCCCGAAAGAGCAAAGTTTTTTTTTCATCCAAAAGAGAGGCTTTTCTGGAGCAAGAATCACGAGTCCAACAGAGACCAGAGCAGCACAAGTATGATGAGCTATACTGTGAATCTTCACGTTGAATTCGAGAGTAGCTCTTGAAACTTGAAGTCCTGCCAGACCGCAACACAAAAGAGCGAGTACAGTTGTCAAGCCTAGTAGCTTCCGACAGTGTTCGTGGCTACCGAAGTTCGAGCATCTGTAAAGCTTGAACTTTTGAACAAAGATATAGCCACTTTCATTCTGACTATTCGTAGCCAAAGCGAAGATTATAGTAATAGTGCTCGGGGTACATGAGCTCGACCGCTTTGAAAATCCCATGGAGGCGCTGCCCCGGAACGTTCCGACGTGTGGGTTCTCCATCGATGCGGTTCGACCCTCTTCGCTCCATTTCACGATTCGATATGCGGTCGTCCTACATCGCCGATACACGTACCTACTGTATAACTATAAGCACGGTAAAGGCCACGAGTGGCAACGCCCGCCACCCCGCCCGTGCTCGCACTTTCCTAGATTCCATGAATCACACCGGAAGAGATTGATACACAAACTATTTCATTACTACGACATCCCGCACAAGTACATAAAGCCAAGTAGAACGACATGCAGACAGCAACAGGCAGCAGCTATTGACTTGAACGAAGATGATAGACTTGACATGACTAACACATTTAGACAGCCTTCTACACAACGTGAGGGGGGTAAGTAGAACCTCAAACACATTCAAGCACGGAATGGAAATCAGAGAATTACATGGGAGATGAGCGTACTGAGAAGGAGTGGTGTACTTGCGCTGAAAAGGGGCGATTATTGACTGGCAGGACACTTGTTAATGAGACCGAGCATCGAAGAATCGACCACGCACAATACAGACTACCATTTTATGCATGATCAAAGTATCCAGACCATAGACATCATCGTCAGTCGCAGAGAAATTGAAAAGGAGAACGGGTGCGCACGTACTGACTGGTAAACGGACAAAGAGTAAACGAAAAGAAGACAAGGATATGGAGCGGCAACATGGCAGCGAGCAAATGGAACGGAGGGAGACTCGCACGGGTTGAAGCACGTGAATTCAATGCATAGAACGGAACAATCATTGAGAGTACTGAAGCAGGCAGAGGCGTAGTATCGCCACAGAGAGACCAGTGCTTTAAAGAGAGCCTAACCAGTGTAGGCGTGCCAAGAACAACGAGAGAGCAGAGCAAAAGCATAGGTTGAAGAAGCTTCAAAAGAAAAGAGGAACAGAACAAAGCCTCGAACATAGTGATACCGTCACAAAGTCTTACTGCAGGTTTAATCAGGTTTGAGCATGGACGGGCACGGATGCAGCGAGGTTCTCGGAGCGACGAGGGGCGAAGAGGAACGCGGGAGCATCAGAGGACGGGTGCTGTTCGGCATGACGGCAGCTGTCAAAGTCATGTGGGGATCTCAAGATTCAGGTCTCGAATGGGAAAGAGTATGCACAGCCACCCATTCAGTGCACAAAAGATGATCGCCTGCGAAACGGAGGCAGATTGAGAGACAACCTAAGAACCCACTAACAAGTAGCGGGAATAGAGGCCATTACATCCATTTGCAACGTAAGAAAACTTACAGCTTCGGTCAAACGGTAACTGCCCTGTTTTGAATACAAGCAGATGTCTGAAGACCAGTAAACTCTTGGTAAACTCTAGGAGGGTACATGAAAGGGAGAGAAGTAAAACCTGACCAAGATGTCCATATTATCGAATAAATCTACACCTCTCAAATAAGCTTCGAAACCCCCGGCTCGACCTTCTCCAACTTAATCATCAACTCGCTCCAGATCCTCTTCCTCAATTTCCTCTCATCCAAGTCGTCCCCACTCTTTCCCTCAGCCTCAGCAGCCTCCCTCCACCGCCCCTTATCCAAAGGCGACGCATGCACAGCACAATCGCTCAAAAGTTGTCCATGGGACTCCTTCCCAGCCGATGCACCATGGACAAGCGTCCTAGCCCCGACGGCAGTCTTCCGTTGCACGATCGTCTCCATGATGAAGAAGAAGACCGTGAGGCCGAGGCCGGAGACATTTCGACGGAGGGAAGATTGGCAGAAACCTGGGTTGACGGTGTTGACGATGACGAAAGGACCACCGTCAGAAGAGACGCGTTCTGCGAGTTCGCGGACGACGAAGTTTTGCAGGAGTTTAGAGACTTCGTATCTGCATGGTTGAGCAAGCAATATGTTAGTGAAGGAACCATTTGAAGAAGAAAATGTGAAGGTGAGATGGAAGAAGGTTGAATAACATACCGACCGCTCATACCCGCCTTCGGATCCGCCAACCTCTCGAATATGTTCTCTGCCTTGCGCTCCTCAAAAGTCGTGTGGAACGATACCTCGCTCGAAACGATGGTCAGATGTGGCACCACTCCGAACTTCTTCGCCGTTTCTCTCAGCTTCGGGAGTAACAACACTGCCAACAACGTCGTCGCGATCACATTCGTCGTGATCGTCGACTCGTCTCCCTCCTCGAGCTCAAAGCTCATCTTCGCCACGCCCGCGTTCTCCAACAACAAGTCCAGCCTATCTAGCTTATTCGCCCGGGCGGCGAAGTCCTTGACGCTCTGATACGAAGAGAGGTCGAGTGGCCAGGCTTCGATTTGAGCCGTGGAGTTGGAGGGAGGAAGGCTGGAACGGATTTGTTGTGCGGCTGTTTCTCCTTTCGAGACTGTGCGCACGGCGAGGATGACTCTGGATGCGCCGCGTTGAGCAATTTGTTGTGCGGCGGAGAAACCAAGGCCGACGTTGGAACCGGTGACGATGACGGTTTGACCAGTGAAAGAGACAGCAGGGTCGAGTGAGGGTGTGACGAGGAATTGGGAGTAGAGGAATGCGGGGAGGCTGCCTGGTTTGAAAGGAGACATGGTTGCTAGTGCTGGTGTGGGGGCTAAGATCGTTCGTTCGTACGAGCGTACACTGTGGTGAGCAAAAGAGGATAAGATGATGACTGAAATAGTCGGATGTGTTTTGTTGGAAAGGATATCCAGTAATCATAGTTGTACGAAGGTTTATATACCCCGTCGAGTGGACAGGGGCCGCGCCGTTTTGCTAGAAAGGCAAGTACTACTTGGCCCACGTACGGGGTTAGTGTGGGTTTAGACGCCGGCCGGGACAGTGGATAAGAAAGCGGTGAATAGGCTGGATGCGCATGGCGTCTACTGGGGCTAAAGTGGGTCGCTATACCAGTATGAGCCATTCACGAGCTATCTACATCGGCTGTAGAATTCTAGTGCTCAACAAGTGCTCACCAATGTGCATTGCGCGATGCAGATACAATCGAGCTAACATCAACCACAATGATGTGGACAGCTTAGAGCAGAGGGATGCGGAGAAAAGACGTCAAACGCATACCTACGCTATACATAACTTACTGTGGATCGCCGACACTTTTCTTGCACTTTTGAAACAGCGTCATGATCATACCCATGAGAGACTGTTGTGAGTGGGCACATGATGGTGGGATCATCGGAGAAAGTGCTGGCAGGGATCGACATCCTTACTACGCTTCAGTCCTTCAGAGTACGAGTAACTTTGTTGGCAAGCCTCAGAAATAAGGAGATATTTAACTGAGGGTGATACGGGACGCCACGGAAGGCGACAAGTGGGCGTATGAGGGAGAGCACGAGCGGGAGATGCCGACGCTGTAGCTGGTGACCCGAGGTTCTTGATCTGGAGAAGAGTCATGCAGATACAGAGGCTGCTCAATCGATTTCCGCCTCGTCTGCCACTTCACTCCTCTTCCTTCTGTCCATATCCCGTCCGATTTGTATTTACACCCCCACAAACTTTTCATTTGACATCGCGAGCTATGGCGACGCAGCCTCAACCAGTTGCATCTACTTCTGGACCGATCCAAATCCCTGCTCTGGAAAGCCAGCACGCGGCGGTCGGCGCCACGAAGGAGCAGAAGGACAAGAAACCGAAGGAGAAAAAAGGGAAGGAGGGAGCGGTGTCGCAGTATCCGTTGGAGGTGCGTTTTTGTATTTGGGGCGATCGGGGACAAGTGGGTTGATTTTATCGGGTTGTGGTCAGTTGCAACCTCCTCCGGAATTCTTCGACCACCGTATCAAAATATTCGAGAAACTGAAGGCGGAGTATGACGAGCATGTCAAATGTGCGTACTTCAACCTTTACTCGATCTATTTAGTCGATACGAGGGAGGAGTTATATTAGCCCAACCTCGCGAAGAGATCACCGTTACGCTTCCGGATGGGAACGAGAAGAAAGCTACCAGCTGGGAGTCGAGTCCCATGGATATCGCCAAGGAAATCTCCAAATCTCTTTCTGAGCGACTTGTTATTGCGAAGGTCGATGGTGAGCTATGGGACCTTGAGAGGCCTCTGGAAAAATCTTGCAAGGTCGAATTACTCGACTTTGAGCATCCGGAAGGTAAGTGTTATACAATATAACGTACGTTTCATCTGGTTGATCCAACGAATGCATAGGCAAGAAGGTGTTCTGGCACTCTTCCGCACACGTTCTTGGTGAGGCCTCCGAGAGACATTATGGTTGTCATCTGTGTATCGGCCCTCCGACAGACGAAGGTTTCTTCTACGAGATGGCCATGGAGGACAGGTAAGTAGTCTCCGACATGGTTATAGCTCCCATTCTCACTTCATGACATTTGTCCAGGACTGTATCCATGACGGACTACCCGTCCCTGGAGAAGGTCGCCGAAAGCGCCATCAAAGATCGCCAGAAGTTTGAACGCTTGGTGGTCCCAAAAGAGACCCTCCTCGAGATGTTCGGCGTATGTAGCATTTTTAACATTCATCAACACGTAAACTCACGATCATTCTCTGTAGTACAACAAATACAAGAAGTACCTCATCGAGACCAAAATCCCCGATGGTACTTCCACCACGGTCTACCGTTGCGGACCCATGGTCGATCTTTGTGTCGGCCCTCATATTCCTCACACCGGAAAGATCAAGGCTTTCATGGTCACCAAGGTTTGTGCTCCTCTCCTGACTCGTTCGTTACGATAACTAACAGTTATTGTCAACGCTACCCAAACACACTCCCACGAACGTCCCGCAAACTAAATACAGAGCTCCGCATCATACTTCCTCGGCGACGCAAACAACGACTCGCTCCAGCGCATCTATGGAATTTCTTTCCCCGACAAGAAGCAGTTGTCGGAGTACAAGGCTTTCCTCGCCGAGGCGGCGAAGCGGGATCACCGAAAGATTGGTAGGGTAGGTCAATTCCGCCTTTCAACGTGTTCAAGGTTGTACCTTGACAGGCGCTGATCATCCCGGCTTTGCTGACAGGAACAAGAACTGTTCTTCTTCAACGACATGAGTCCTGGAAGCGCATTCTGGTTGCCGCATGGTACTCGTATCTATAACACCCTCATAGAACTGATGCGGGTATGTCCTTTACACCTTTCTTGAACCTGGAGAACACGTTCTGACGTCCCCGTTAGTCTGAGTACTACAAGCGTGGCTACCAAGAAGGTACGCTCCCTTTCTCTCTTTTTTATCCTTCCTCAAGACGTACTAAACCCACATCGTCGCGTTGTACCGTCCAGTCATCTCCCCCAACATGTACCATTCCAAACTCTGGGAGACCTCCGGTCACTGGCAGAACTACAAAGACGATATGTTCACGCTCGACATCGAGAAAGAGAAATGGGGTCTCAAGCCGATGAACTGTCCGGGTCACTGCCTCATCTTCGACTCTCGCGACAGGTCGTACAAGGAGTTGCCGATTCGGATGGCCGAGTTTGGAATCATACATAGGAATGAGGCGAGCGGTGCGTTGACGGGGTTGACGAGGGTGAGGAGGTTCGTGCAGGATGATACACATGTGTTTTGTATGCAGAGTCAGGTACGATTTCGTCTCCCCACTCATTATGCTTCCTCCCTCGCCGCAACGACCGCTTATTGGATCTCTTTTGTTCTATTCCGTTCGGTGTAGATTGAGGATGAGATCGCGGCACTGTTTGATTTCATGGAACATACATATGGTTTGTTCGGGTTCGAGTTCAGCCTCGAGTTGTCCACTCGTCCCGAGAACTACCTCGGCGATCTCGACACCTGGAATGTGGCCGAAGATGTACGTCCCCTTTTCTCTGATCACGCATCTGATGTCCCTCACCTTGTTCGACGCACACATAGCAACTCCGTAAAGCCCTCGACAAACAATACCCCGGCAAATGGGAGCTCAACCCAGGCGACGGCGCCTTCTACGGCCCCAAAATCGACATCACCATCCGCGACGCGCTGAAGCGCTCCTTCCAGTGCGCGACGATCCAGCTCGACTTCCAGCTCCCGAAACAGTTCAACCTCAAGTTCCGCAGCGCGGAGGAGGGCGTGCATCCGCGACCGGTGATCGTGCATAGGGCGATATTGGGAAGCTTGGAGAGGTTTATTGCGATTATTACTGAGCATTTTGCCGGGAAATGGTATGTTGTTGTTACTCCTCTATACTTCATTTTTGGAAGGGTGTTGAAGGCCAGGTGCTGACAAATCTGGTACTGGGTGTGAATAGGCCATTCTGGTTGTCCCCTCGTCAAGTCGTTATCGTCCCAGTCGCTGCTCCATTCGTAAGTATTTTTCTTCATCGACCCTCTTTCCGCCATTCGTTGAGTCTAATGCTCCCCTTCTTACTCGTCTTGTTACTCTGTAGAACGACTACGCCGTGGAGATCCAGAGCAAGCTCTCCGCGCTCGGTCTGTGGGTCGACGTCGATACCGGAGGAGACACGCTCCCGAAGAAGATTCGTAACGGCGAGACGTCGCACTACAACTTCATTCTTGGTGCGTCACTTTGCTATTCTTGCTGTCTGTCCGTCGTTCTGACTGGGACCCAATAAATAAACCGCAACACTATCTACGATTTAACCACTACGGTACACTCAACATCCACACCGCCCGCGAATCCACGCAATCACGAACCCACAAACCCACAATCACACAAAACCACCGAAATAACACAATCGCTACAAAATTACACCTAAACACAAAACCACAATCTACAACTAAACTAAATAGTCGTCGGCGAATCCGAACTGAACTCTCGCTCTGTCAACGTTCGGAACAGGGACGACGTCGGGTCCAAGTCGAGACAGGACGCGCTCGTCCCGCTCGATCAGCTTGCGGAGATGATGGTCAAGCTGAAGACGTCGAGGAGTTTGGAGAATAAGTTGGTTTGAGGTGTTAGATGTGCGGTTAATGAGTTTCCGTGTTTGGCTGTGCTTGGGTGCTTTCGGTACTGGTTTGTGTGCAAGTAGTGGGTGTTTTGCGTTGGGCGCGTTGAAGGTCGGTAGGGTTTGTACAAGTAGAATTGAAATACGAGAAAAGCGTGCTTCGAGATATTGATCCGAAAGGGGACTTGAGGGGGAAATGTTCAAGGAATATTTTACGCTTGTGTTTGTGTTCCTTGAGCGTAGCACGATCACACCGCACGCGTCACACATGTTTATCACACATGAACCCTTAAGCTATTCCGCCTAGTTGTGACCTCTGTTGAACAGATATTTGACGACGCTCAGATATATTTCACATGAATAAAGGCAAGGCAATGGGGGAGGGACGTACGAGTGACATGATGGCATCGCGTTCTGTTTGGGGAAGCATGTTGATCTGTTCGGGAGCCATAGCCAGGACCTGCATGAGCATAGCCTGCAGAGGATGTTACGCACATCAGCACAGGAATTCTTTCGAGGACAAAACGCAGGACATAGACATCGACGTACACGTTGTTCCGCAGGAATCGCATCCAGCGGGTTTCCGCTCGCCCCACCGGTTCCAGTACCAGCATTAGGTCCAGATCCCCCGCCCATAGGCGCATTCGGCCCCTGCATCGGCCCCTGAGCCTGAGTCGACGGCGGTCTCCCCATCGGTACGTTCGAAGGAGGTGGGCCTCCATAGAACCCTCCTCCTCCTCCTCCTCCTCCAGGTCCTTGTGGCGTATGCGGTGGAGGCGTATGGTAGTATGGCTGTTCATAGTTTCCGTACTGCGAACGCGGATCGCGAGGTGCAGGAGCCGACATACTAGCCGGTCCTGGAGGAGGACCTCGGGGATCATGCGTATGCGCGCGTGGGTCGTGGGTGTGTGTGGCGGAGAGCGGTGGCGGAGCGTGTGCGGAAGGTGGAGGGAGGGCAGAGGTCAAGAGGGTTGGTGCAACGCGAGTTGGTGCGGGTGGGATGAGGGGGCCGGAGGGGCCTGGGAGGTGGGGTTGGGAGGATGAGAGGGTGGGTGTGGATTTGGAGGTGGCGGCGAGCATGCGGTTGAGGATTGCGGGGTCGACGATTTTGTTGAGAAGGAGAGATTGGAAGAGGGCGTAGGAGAACTGGGGTTGGGAGGCAAGGAGGGTGCGAGCTTCGTCTGGATGGGTTATTACGAACGCCTGTGTGAAGTATCCAAGAAAATGCAAGACGTTAGTCAGATAGCCTTGACATGGGTTGGAGAATAGGTTGAACAGGCAGAGATTTGCGGTGTATGCAGATGCGATTGAAGCCATGCAACTACATCGCCTGACGATTTCAGAGGTAAATGCCGACGTACCTTCATCTGTGCCAACACTTCAATCAATTGTGCAGGGTTCATCGTCGCCAACGTCTGGCTTATCACATCCAGCGACGTCATCCCAATGGGTAGTGGCGCTCCAGTAGGCAGCGACTTCAAGAACGCGTCCCGTTCCCTATCAATAGGTCCTCCACCGCCACCTCGAGGGCCATACCCTCGATCCCCACCTCGGGACTCCTCCCTCTCCCTCCACTGCGCTCGGGTCTCCCCACCGTCGACGAGTTCGCCGCGTACCGTCGTCTTGCCTTCGAGGAATGGGTCAGAGTCTGCGAGATCTATGCGGAGGGGTCTTCCTCCGACGTCGACGTTGTTCAGGTTGCGAACAGCGGATTGGGCTGTTTCGTGGTCTATATATGCGCGAGTGAATTGATACATTCGAGTCAGAGGCGGAGAGGTCGCGGTGATCAGAGTGAAGGTAAATAGAAGCTGATGTAAAGGCCCACGCACCGCCGAATTCACAAAAGCCATAGCCTTTTGGTTTCCCTGTATCACGATCGTATACAAGCCTGTTTGTGCCGAGTAAAAGGACGATGGAGATGAACACCGAGTCTCACACGCAACAAAGATAGCGGACCTGAAGCCAATTACTTGTCCGACAGATTTGAACACATCGATGAGTTGTTCCTAAAACGATTGTTCTATCAGACCCTATGTAACTGGACAGCATGCAGAAACAGAGGGACGTACCTCACCCATGTTGTAGGGAACATTACCCACTAGAGTTCGTGGAATATCAATGACTCTGTCAAATAAAAAAACAAAACAGGTAGCTTGCCAAAAACGACTTTGCTCATGCTAGGCAGATGGTTGAAGAAAGAGTCTGTGAAAAGTTAGAAGTCGAACAAAGAATTACGCGTCAGGATTGTTGGAGGCCTTAGTCCCTACGCCACAAATCGTATCAGGCGGGCTAACCGTGAGAATTGTCTGAGACATTCTTGGGTTGACACGCCACCTTGTCCGGGCCCCATCACAATCAATCATCATGTCTTTGAATGAGGTTGATCACCATGCGTTGTAACAGAGAATTAATGATGTTCCATGAACCATAGATGTACTCAAGTAACGGATTTCTCTGTCCCTCATCCACAATATCGTACAAGCAACCAACGAATAACAAGACAATTCGTGCTAAAGATAGAGGTGTAGAAAGGAAAAGTAACATTACAACTCCACGAGCAGTGATTCAACTCGCAATCATTTCCAACACACGAGTCAGATATTCTGTGAAATCCCTGGCTCAATCTTCTCCAACTTCGAGATCAACTCATTCCAAATCCTCGTCCTCAACACATCCTCGTCGCCCCACTTCCCCGAATCCAACGGCGAGGGATGGACTTGACAATCGCTCAAGTACTTTCCGTGAGACTCTCTCCCAGTGGAAGCGGCGTGGACGAGCGTACGAGCACCGACGGCGGTCTTGCGTTGTAGGAGGAGCTCAGAGACAGCCATTGCGGCGCCTTGAAAACCGGAGACCTCGCGCCGAAGTGTGGACTCGCAGAATCCTGGGTTGAGGGTGTTGACGATGACGAATGGTTTGGTGGAGGCGGACGCGGATATGCGAGTGGCGAGCTCGCGAACGATAAAGTTCTCGAGGAGTTTCGAAAGATTGTACCTAGAGCGACCGCGAATAAGTAACAATCACATGAAACGGTGAGGTTCATAGTAGAAAAAGGAGAAGCAGCCAAACGTTGAGTGAACGCACCGATCCTGCATGTTCGAGTTCGGGTCGTTCAACTTATCAAAAATATTTTCCGCTTTCCTCTCCTCAAAGGACGACCAGAACGCCACCTCGCTCGAAACGATCGTCAAACGCGGCGTAACCCCAAACTTCTCCGCCGTCTCTCTTAACTTTGGGAGCACCAACAGCGCGAGTAATGTCGTCGAAATCACGTTCGTCGTGATCGTCGCCTCATTTCCTTCTTCGAGCTCGAACTTCACCTTCACAACCCCCGCATTCTCCAGCAACACGTCCAGCCTATCCAACGTGTTAACCCGTGCCGCGAAATCCTTTACGCTCTGGTAAGAAGAAAGGTTGAGAGGCCAGACTTCTATCTTCGTAGAGGTGTGCTGAGACTGGGAAAGGCTGTCACGGAGTTTCTGGGCAGCGGCCTCGCCTTTGGAGATCGTACGGACGGCGAGGATGACTTTGGATGCACCGCGCTCGGCGATCTGTTGGGCGGCAGAGAAGCCGAGACCGGTGTTAGAGCCGGTTACGATGACAGTCTGACCAGCGAAAGAGAGATTTCGGTCGAGTTTCGGTGTGACGAAAAATTGAGAGTACAAGAAGGACGGGACTCCGCCAGGGGTTAAGCGAGGCATGATTGCTGGGGTGTGCTATCCTCATGCAGATAGGGAGATGCAGTCAGTTCGTGTACGTCGCACCAGAGAGTATCAACACACCGATGAGAGATGTGGTGGCCTAGCTCGCGAAAGTTGGTACGCTATTGAGCGCGGTACAATGAGAGTTTTATATCTCGGCGACGACAGGGGCTGTCGGGAGTCTCCAGGAGCCCACAGCGGTGTGGGCCCAGGGGCGCGACGGTATGAGACATATGTTAGCAGCGGATACAACAGCGTAGCCAAACGTATATCACGATCGGCCAAATGCCGGTCAGCCGCGAAGACGCGTATCAGAGACATACGCGTCCGACAGAGCGATCCTCGTGCCACCCAACTTGAAGCAGTCATGTCAGATATCCACAGTCGCCACACTAAGATATCCGGGGAAGATGCAGTGGACCAGACCTCAAGAAGTGAAGTTTATGCTCAGAAAAGCAAGTTTTTGAGACTGTGGCCCGAGTTTGGCAGAGACTTGGAGACACTCGAGTAGATTGGTTTCAAGCCGACTAGTACTCTATACGCGGCGTCGCACACAGAAGTTAAAATTAGACAGGAGGTTATAATTAGACGGGGCGATAAGTGAAACCCGAACAATATCTCAACTATGGTTTCGACAAGTGTTCAGTGGGCTTTCTGTGGGTCTGCCAGATGGTTGCGGTACAAGTGAGATGGTGAGGTTGCCAGATGGTGGGAAGTGACATCATGGTCGCGGCAGCCTCCCGGAAAACCCCGAAGACGCAAGTTGAACGTTGCAATCTCTCGCCACTCGGATTCTGTGCCACCGTCTGGACCAAGCACGTCTCCCTGTCCTACTGTGGCGGACTAGGAAGCTGGACGGACATAGAAGCTGGACAAACTTTTCTGGAATTTTAAGCACACATATTCGTGCCTTCATCGCTCTAGATAACCTGTAGGCCTACATCGTCCCGTGCAATATGTAAAAATATTTTGTGTGATCCCTGTGAGTATTTTGTAGAAGATGGTGAAATGTTGTCGGAGATGGGGTTTGTGTGGCCATTTTGCCACATGCAGGGAGCTCGACTGACATGGACACCTCGACTCGCCTTTAATATCAGCGTACATGCTCGTAGAAATCTATGTGTGGTATAAATGAGGACATGCCATAAGTGATTCTAAATTATTCTGGCAGACCATGGTTGCCTACTTTTGCATGGGACATCTTTTGTTGAGGGGATCCTCTGGCTAAGGCGCCACAAGAGGCTCCCACTTCGTGAGGCTCTAGCTCCAGCATCCATGATCTTCCTCATACAAAAAGTTTATGGTCTTGGAGACCCAACAAAATAATTCCTCTGCAAAGGTCTGCTTGTTTTTAACAGACTGTTTGGCTTCTATAGACGGCACGGTTTTATAGAAATGACCAATTTTGCACCTCTCAAACATCCGAATGAAATATGAGCGCAGAAAGTCGTGCAGCACCCCACAAATATTTACACAGATAGAATGATCTATCTTAAAACGCTATGGGTACTTCTTGCTGCTGGTCGTCTAACGATTATGTGTACGAAATCGGTGGGCAAGGGGGTGTGGCGCCTTTTGACATCTTTTTCGCCACTCATTCGGCAATAGCCGGGCCCTTTCGGCGCGCGTCCAGCTTCCCTGTTTTGCCACTTTCCCCACTCGTCGTCGCAAATTATTCATTGACGATGGTTTACTGCATCAAGCTCTCTAAGTAGATGTAAATATACTTAATAGATGTCAGACTACCTAAATGTGTCACTTAGTTTGCAAGTCATAGACAGGACATTGATTAAATAAGCGAGAAAGCCCATCTGTCCAGGATCCTAGTCCGCCACAGTATGACTTCCCTCAGACGATATTGCTCGGCGCTCGCTCTACGCTTGACATATGACTGATATGCTCGTAATCTGGATGATGACACGGCATGGACCCTGGAAGATGCTCCGTGCTCACTCGAGCATAATGTTGGCATAATGATGAAAGGAAAGGGGAAAATAACTGCGCCATAAGCCAACACATACTGAGCACTGAATCAAGCAAATCGAATACCGGGGAGTATTATTATTGAGAGGGAATCCAGATTTGACTAGGATTCACCGCCGAAAAACGCATCCGCATCTCAGATGCTGCTCGAAATTCCCGGTACTATCCTCTCCAACTTCTCCATAATCTCTGCCCAAACTCTCTTCCTCAACGTCTTCTCATCGCCCCACGGCCCCTTATTATGATCCAAAGGGAACGGATAAACTTTACAGTCCCTCAAAAACATTCCGTGCGATTCCACCCCTGCACTACCAGCTGCATGTACGAGCGTCCTAGCGCCGACCTCGGGTTTGCGTTTGTGCATGACGAAACCGAGGAGGCCCACGGCGACGTGGAGGAGAAGACCGTCGACGTCGCGTTCGAGGGAGGAGGCACAATAACCGGGAGTCGGGGCGTTGACTATGACGAGTGGTCGAGAGGCGGTGGAAGTGGATGAGATGCGTAATGCGATCTCGCGGACGGCGACGAGTTCGAGGAATTTCGACAATTGATAGCTTTAGGAAAACAGAATAATCTGCGTCAGAAACTTATTCTGACACTGGACCTTGAGGAATGAAGACTAGATATCATACTCACCGATCCATCATATCTGGCTTCGTCGGATCTGCCAGCCCCCCGTCCTTCCCAAATACCTTTCCCCGCGCCGCCTTCCACTCTCCAAACTTCGCCACAAATGCCATCTCACTCGACGTGAAAGTCAATCGAGGTGTAATCCCATACTCCACGGCCGTCTCCTTCAGCTTAGGGATAAGGAGCAAGGCGAGCAGGGTCGTGGAAAGAACGTTGGTCTTGATCGACACTTCGTCGGGTTCGCCTCCGTCCTCCGGCTCGGACACGAGCTCGAAATTCAATTTCGCTACACCAGCGTTCGCGAGCAGGACGTCCAGTCTATCCAGCTCGTTTATCGCTCGGGCAGCGAAGTCCTTTACGCTCTGGTACAGAGAAAGGTCGAGCGGCCAGACTTCTACGATCGTGCTCTCGCGCGAAGACGGTGGGAAACTGTGACGGATTGCTTGGGCGGCGGTCTCGCCTTTCGAGACGGACCGAACGGCGAGGATGACCTTGGACGCGCCGCGTTGGGCAATCTGTTGTGCGGCGTGGAAACCGAGGCCGACGTTAGAGCCGGTGACAATGATGGTCTGGCCGGTGAAGGAGAGTTTAGGGTCGAGTCTGGGGGTGGTGGTCCATTGAGAGTAGAATGTGGTTGGGAAGGTGCCGGGAGCGGGCATGGTCTGTTCTGTGGGATGGTGGTTCGTGTGAGCGGCGGAGATTGCGAGGTGAAAACGTGGTCAGTATGTGAGGGAGTGAGCGAGGGGATGGGGGTGTGAGGATGTGAAAACGAACTGGTTAAGGAGGGCTCGAATTGAGTGTCGTGTTATGCAGGTAGAGGCGAAAGGTAAGTAATTCTGAGTGCGTTTATATACTTCCGAGACCGGTGAGAACGTATCGCGTTCTTCAGCACGGAAGTGGACGGTACCAGCGTGATACATGAACGGTTTACATGTTTCCACCGGGACGAAGAGCTAATCTGAATTCAAGAGTCGATGGGTCAAGGACAATGGTCGATGGGCCACTGATAATGGGCGACACATTATTCAGCGACATTCTCAGTTCAATGAGATTCGACTCACGGATATGCCTGAACAGTGTGCAAGATCTTGCACCTGCGACGAACAAAGATGAAGATGGACCATACAGAGCCCGATGTCACTATCAGGGGCTTAAGCGCCCAACATGAAACGGTTTAGGAGCCTTTTGCTCGGTTGCACCACAGAAATGTAGCCATTCAAGCTCTCAGAGATGCTGGCTGACCTACTGACTGAGGCTGTTTAGATATCTCGAGCTTCCGTCTATCATACGCTGTTCACAGAAATACCTGTTCCGCTCGAAATATTGTCCCCGCACGACGAAGTATACCAAGAGTACGCCAAAGCCGCAGGGAATGAAGTTCGAGTTTATGACTGCATATGTTCCTATTTGCTCGGGCGTCATAGCTGGGACCTGAGTAGCGAGTAGATACTCAAGCTCTAGAGTCCGAACAAGACAGTGGTCCTTCTAGCACGAGGTACGGTTCTTAGCGTAGATGATGAGAGAGTCAACCTAACCATGTGTCTGAATAGAGGTCTCGTTAAGACAGAAGGTTGATAGTTGCACAGTTCGTTGATGGACGGACGAAAGTCTGCGTGGATGATTGTCGTCTCTGAATTGTGGGCAAAGAGCAGTACCAGTCCACGTCGTGGAATTATGTTCAATCTCGAAGCAGTAAGAATTCCACAGACCGAAAGCTATAACCATAACATTTTGACAAGTTCGAAGCTGCAGTCACGACAGGACGTCGTAGCTACTTCATATCCGGAGTCTGAAACTCAAGGCCCCTAAACATGCAATATAATCAGTCACACCCACTCCATCATATGGCACAAATCAGAACATACGACGCACGGTACCCTTGCCATCCGATCTCCTAAACAAACTCGCCACCTCGCACTCGACCATCCAATCATTGCCGCACAGCAGCATTCTGAGCGAGATGCTTCCCGTTGACGGCAAGGAAGTGGTAGAGAACGACAGTGATCATGGAGAGAGAGCCGAGCATGTTAGCGAGGAAGTAGAGGGTGTCGTGGGTGATCATCCTGCTATTTGGTGTGGCTCTTCAATGCGAGCGGGTCTGCGAAGGAATGAATGTCTGAATGGGTGATTAGATAAGGAAAGTGAGGTTAGTACAAACAAGGTGACAAGGTGAAGTCTTAGTGCTGTCGACATACAGATGATCACTGGTCTCAGTAAAACTATGGAGGTGGAGGAGATGAGTTGAGGAGAACCACTGGGACGTGGCGCAGCAACGCGGTTTGCCCTGCTTTGCCACGTCGTTCGAGTGGCACGTGATGCGAACGCGTCGCGTAAATTACGCGTCTTGTGGTTTCGTCCTCGATATTTTACCCTATCCCGCACCGGAAACCAGAACTGAACAGCGATATCATTGATTCAACTGAAGTGTCTTGATTTCCAGCACTTTGAACCAGTGGCCGTTCTCTAGAAATCGAAGGAAAGAGATTGGCCAGCGGAAACTTCCGAGGCAACATCGTCACCGCAAAGTTGACGTCGTGTGGCACTCTCACTGCTCAGTCTTTTGGATAGCATCCCCACAGGCCGCTCGTCATGCAGGCCTCAAAATCACTGACCCATGCTCGTTGTCTTATATCACGACGAACGACCCAACACATTACGACTAGAACGGCCTGCCTCTCCACTTTCGGAACATGTCGACCATCGCAAAACTCAACAGCACGCCGAACACCTTATTGTCTTCACCCGCATCTACCAAAACGTCCCACCCGCACCTTCTTCTCATCTAATAATCTTCATAATGACCCGCATCAAACACCACCTGAACCACCAACATCCTTCACTGACCCAACCCGCCCCGACCTCTTCTACCACCTCGTCTTCCTCGAGCGCAACTCTATCACGCACTCGCCCTTCTCTTCAGACGTAGATGCGGGGGATATACCGGTGTTTGCGGTTTCGTTGCTGGAGAGACCGCCGCCGTTCGCTGCGTCGAGTACGGTTCTGGGGTGGTTGCCTGCTGAAGGGGGAGGTGCGGAGGATGGTGCGGAGGATGGAGGAGAGGGAGAGGGAGGAGTGGGGTTGAATGATTTTACGGAGAATCGTGAGTGGTTTTTACATTTTGCGGAATATACGTTATGGTGCAGTGTGCATGCGGGTTTTTCTTTGCGTTGTGGGTGTAAGATGAAAGAAAGGTCGTAGAGAGCGGCTATGGGGCCAGTGTGGCCCAAGCCCATTCGGTAGGGATTGGTCTGTCCCTCTGCGCTGGAAAAAACAAAGCACTGAGTCTTCAAGGCGAAGTTCAGCACTTATATTCTGTATTTCGCTTTTTGTGACTAACTACAATCAATGGGCGGCTCAAAGAGCATTTGCCTACCGTGCTCGAACACCTGCTTGCTTTCGTGTGGCGTTTAGCACACATCATGCCCGACGTCCTTTTTTTCGACATAAATCATTGAAAAACACGACACTAACCACTCCTGCTTTCCTCGTCACGTAGCTGCATTCCGTCCACTCCTCCACGAAGCTATCTCCTCAGGCCTCGCAGACAGCGTAGACGACATCCAAATGAACGGAGCGCTTCAGACACAATCGGGATGGATGCACATCAACGGTAAGCCTTAACCATCCTACTTTCATTCCGCGTATATATGATGTACTTGTGCTAATATACTATTGTTGGAATCCAGATACACGGAATATACCTGCGCTAGGTCGGATAGGCGATCCGGATGACATTCTGGGATCGGTGAGGGTGGAGGAAGGCAAGGTCAGTTTGCGTTCACTCCTTCTTACTCCTCGTATTCGCATTCACGTCAACACACTTGGGCCACCCGCTGATCATCATTTACATTTGTTATCCCACCGTCCACAGATCATGCCAGAAACGTACTCCCCCATGCCTTCCTATCGCGTCTGCACGGGCGATGGTGTGACGAAACTTACGGACGGACTGGCGGAGCGGTTGAGGGAGGTGTTGGAGCGGAGGGCGAGGGAGGAGGAGGAGCGGGAGTGATGGGAGAAGTCAGTGTAGCTCAGTACATTTCGTATTCCGATAATTGCAGGATGACACGGATGTTTGGATGAGCACTTGAGACACTTAGACCGTAGAGTCATAGGACAAGTGGAAGAAGAACTCGATGGCAGGTGGGCGTCTTGTGTTAACCGTGTAGAAGATCGCATGAGACATAGAGACATACATGTCCTGCTGAGATTTGTGTGACCCGGGGTAGTCCTTGTGAGACGCAATGATAGGCAGAGGAAAGACAAGAAAACGGTTTATATGTATTGCAGTACAGAGAAGAGGGAGAGGGACGTAGAAGTACACGGGTGAACATGAAGAAACAGAAACGACTTCATATGAATGCTTCGAGGACGAACAGAAGCAGTGGGCTTTTACCGACCGTACCTGCACATTTCGATAAAACGTCGGTGAGCAAGATTACGATGCTGGATCAAGGATGTTGAGACGAGAAAGTAAGGCAAGAATACGTACTTCTGGAGCTCCCACTCTCTGTTGTCGAGAGGACAGACGTTCCTCGTCTTGAGCCACCGGGAGATGCAGTGGAAGTGGAACGCGTGCTGTTCGTCCGATGACGCGATATGGCAGATTTAAGTAGTTGATTTCAAAGGTCCACGTCCGTATAAGTGCGTTGTGCGGTGTGAGGGAAGAGCGAGAGAGAGGAGGAAAAGGGAACGTACGTTACAAATACCCCAAGCGGCGTTGCATTCCTCGCTGGTGGCGGAGACCTGGTTCGCCTGGCAGTCGATGCCTTCATGACCGTAGGTCGATCGTCAATACTGATATGAGGAAGTGAGAGGTAGCATGGATAGCGCACAGAGATCCATGATGTGGTTACGGCAGATGGCGCAGTTGTCCACGACGATGTCTTCAGGATCGAGACAATAACGCGAAGACGACAGTCAGCACACGACCTCGCTCATTCCTACTGAGTTATATTGATGTCAGTTGATCATGGTACGTACCCCAGGCCCAGAGAGCTACAGCATTCCACTATATAGCACGATCCAAAGAATCAGATTAGAGGCTGCACAAAGGTCAGCGCTTATATATGAAGCCACACCTTCTTGACCTCGAAGCGTTGCTTGCCGTCCTTTGTCTCTGCCTTCTTCACGACAGTACCAGCAGTGCTCGAAGCGGGAGGGTCGACGTCCATGTCAGCCATCTTGTGTCTATTTTCTTTCGTGGGGTGGGTGGTGGTGGAGGAAGAGGCAGATGAGGACGGTGATCAGAGTCAAGCCAAAGACGCCACCGGCCGGGTGCAGCGAGGACCGCCACAGGCTCGAAATTACCTCATCAATTCGACTCAACAATTCAGAAAACGCGGTCCCGTGACGTGCGCGTACCACGCTCAAACCTGCCCTAAATCGTTGAGGCAGGCGTGCGCGAGGCGGTGAAGACGTTTTACCCATTTTTGGGTGGCGAGTTCGATTCGAACCGGGGTCGTGCCTGTTTTGCCTTGCCTTGCCTTGTTGCCTTTGCTTTCTTCCTCCGTCTCTTCTTCTCTGGGCTACCCATCCCCAATCTATCCGCTTACGTTGCCGATGTGCTGATCTACGACCCATTGCTTTATCTACTCTCACAGATCAACAAACGAACGACGAACGTACCGCGCAACCTGCGATCAAGACCTACCTACGAACCGACAAGACTCAAGATTATTCAGGACTCAAGATTTGAACATACCGACTGCAAACTATGTCTGGACCGGGAGGACCTCGTTCTCCCCTGTTCGGAACGGCGACTTTTTCTTCACTCACGGAGGGGCAGCGTTCTCCGACAAGATTCTCATATTCTGACCGATCGGGTGAGTCTTAGATCGGATGTTTAGTTCCGTAGGTGTGATTGAGACTTGCACCTTGCTGGTGATTGTCTCAGACTGGTGTGATGTCTCAGTCGGAGGCAATCAGGATCGTTGAGGATTTTGTTGTTTCGTTGCGATGGTCGTGGCTATGTTGACTCGAGTCGAACAACGTGTAGAGCCTCGTGTTTAGTCTCGACGAACCGCTTCTTGATTCATTCTATCGTAGTTGTTCTTTCATACAGACAATACTAACAATCACTTGCTATTGACAGGTACACCAACGCACCTGTCCTCCGACAGTGGCAGTGGCGCCCCCTACCGCTCCCAACACACACGTTCTTATACCGACCCCTATACCTACTCCGACGAGAACTCGATAGATGACGACGCCGAAGTCGAAGCCGCCCTCGGAGTTCTCGACGATGAGCTCGACAACACCGAGGATGCATTGACGGAATGGTCCCGTGCGACGCCCTATTCTGGTTCCGGCTCTGGGTATGGAAGTGGGTCGTACCTCGGGTCAGATACGTTCACAAGATCGGATACGCATTCGGGAACGGGGTCTCCCAGTTTTATTCCGTCGAGTTTTATTCCGTTTACGAATACGTTGAGGGATGGGAGGATTTTGAGCACTATTACTGAACGGACCGAGCACCCGTCTTCGAGACCTACTTCCCATAACTTCTCCGGCTCTGGCTCGCGTCCCAATTCTGGCGCTACCGACCCTCGTAGATCTGGTCATTCGCGTCATCTAACGGAGCCTACGATTGTCATCCCCGATCGCCCGACTCCTCCTCCTGGTCGTAGGACAGGCGACCTGATTGCGCTTTTTGAGGAGCGGGGTGGTAGTTCTCCTGGCGTTAGCGGACATACAAGGACGGGGTCTATGCCTGGTCCTATGGGTCCTAGGTCACCTAGTCCCTACACGACTACAAACTCTATTTCGATGCCAGCGTTCGGGACGTTGAGTGGATCGACAAGCTATGGATATGGGAGTACTGGAGGGTATGGGAGTGGTTCTGCGTCAAGACCTTCGAGTCCCTCGAAGACGACACAGAGTCGATCGACACCTACGCCCGGTGGTGCGCGTGCGCCTGGCGAAGTACGGAGTACCACATCGTATACCGCATCGCAAACCTATAACACGAACACTTTTACGCCTTCTTCCTACACTCCGTCGTCGTATACGCCAACTGTCACGAATACGGTTACACCGACGGCGTCACCACTGAGGAGACCCCAGGCTTCGCCTAGGTCGCCGTTGACTTCGGTGAGGAATATCGTGGCGGCTTGGAAGGAGAGGAGTACGTCAGGAAGCAAGACCTCGGGGTCATCCACTACCAGTTCCACTCCCCAGACCGGATCTGGGACCACTGAGACTCAAGGGGACGGGTTTTTCAGTTTGAGGAGGAGAGCGGAGAGGAGCTCGAATAGGATGAGGGATTCCCTTGGTGGCGACGAAGCGGGGCCTAGTGGCTTTGGTGGTGGTGGAAGTGGCGGACAGAGGAGGAGTGGCGAGCAAGTCCCGAGTACGCCGAGGAGCGGGAGCACGTCGTTGGGCTCGAGCATCATTCCTCCGCCGTTTGATTTGGCCGAGTTGGGCAATTTCGCAAAGGCCGATCGCGAGGTGAGCTTTGTTTCCCCGTTTGGAATTACCTTTTTGGGCGAAGGATATACTTCCGGTCGATCTAATCTTATCGCACTTCAATGATGCTTTTGCCCCTATCCTGCCGTCTCCGTTTCCTCTCCATACCATTTTTCGTTGTCCTTCTCGTTTTGCTAACACAATGTCTTCACGACCAGCCTCTCCGTATCGGTCTCCTCTGGTATCTCAACGTCCACGCCCCGCCGCCATACAGATGGCAACGCTGCCAAGCCCTCCTCTACCCCCACATGCTCCTACTCTCTTGGATCGCACCCGGTGGCGGACGCGGTATCATCACTCTCGACCTCCTCAACTGCACCGAAGTGCGCTCCGTACCTAGTCCGATGCATCCGACTGCGCGGGACGATGTCGGGACGATCGCGGCGAGGGAGCAGAGCGCGTTGGCCGCGAGGGGTGGGGACGGTGGAGGTGGTGGGGAGGGTCAGTTGGGGGAGATGGGGCTGATGGAGATGTTGTGTCCGTTTCAGTTGTTGTATGGAGATGGGGTGGAGAGGCTAGGTGCAGAAAGCGCAAGGGAGAGGGTGAGGTGGGTTAGTGCGATTTGGTGAGTACTCTGTCTTTCTTTCATTTGCCAAAACTTTGAGACAGGGAGCTGAATATGTGACAACTACATGCATTACGAATACACAGGGAAGCCCTCGATCGCTCCGTCACAATCCCCAACCGTTCCGATTCTGGTTCCCCTACTGGTTCCATCCGTACCATCCACACAATGACATCCACCCATTCCGCACAATCTACGAATTCCGGTTCTCGTTCGACTACATTCATGCCCCCCATCGACACCATTCCCGACCTTTCCGACCTCTATTCACTCTCGTCCCACTCGTCTTCTGGCACCGGTGCCGGTGCTCGTCGCCGCCCATCCAGCGGCACTGGTGGAGGTACGAGAGCAGCGGACGACGCCTCCGTCGCGAACAACACACTTCTCTATCCCGGCGATCCTCGTGTGATCGCACCCAGTCGAAGTAGTTCCCTCCGCCGCACAAGCTCCATGACCGATCTAGACGAAGAATTCGACAGCGCGCTTCGCAGGGCGAGGGAGAGCCGACCAGGCCTCGGGTTCGGACTTTCATTGGTCGGGACGCACGCGACAGGCAGCGGTGGACTCGTGGGTGACGGATCGCCCGTCACGGTGTCGAGTGGACCGAGACTGGGGAGGGATGTGGTGATTACGCCGCCGCCGAGCAGTGGCAGGAGGAGTGAACGATCGAGCTCGGTTTCCGACGATGCGTTCTTCTCCGCTGGGGGACCTTCGACGAACACGTCGAGTTATTATTCGTTAGGGGATGGGTCGACTACGCCGAGGAAGGCGGAGACTATGACGGGAGTGGGATCGGGGACGGAGGTGTCGGGAGAGATGTTGTTTGGTATTACGTCGGGGACGGGGACGCAGATCGTTCCGTCATCGCTTTCGTATCGTGGCCCTTCGTCCGCATCGCTCCTTGGGGACTCGCATTCAGGGTCTGGGACGGGTTCGGGGACGGGCACGGGCACGCTCATGCCTCCTTCTTCCGGGCTTTCGAGGTCTAGGGCTATGACGCGGAGGAGCAGAGGTGGGAGTGGAAGCGATCTCGGTTATTCGAGTTCGAGCCAGAGTCATCCGAGTGAGGAGGTTTCGGACAGGGAGAATTCGGCGACGGGGACTAGGAGTGGGACGGCGAGTGGGGATTATAGTTATAGCGAGACGGGATACAGCTATGGGTATACGCAGACGAGGACGTTCACGCAGACGGAGGGGTATACAACTACTGGGTACGACTCTGGGACTGTTTCAAGGACGCAGACGCCGTATCCGACTTCGTCTTCGGAGAGGGACGATCAGGAGGAATACGAGCAAGAGAGGACACCGACCAGCACGGCTTTCGAGACGGCACACGAGCATTCGCCTTCCATGGCGAGCATGTCGGATTTGCCGAATATTCCCTCCGAGTACGACACGGCCGATGTGTGCTCCACGACATACGAGACGGCGAGGAGGTGCGATACGGAGTCTATCGCGGAGACGGCTGAGGTTTGCAAGACAGAGTCGGTGTCGGACGAAGGGTTCGTTACCGCTGCGGTGTGCAAGACGGAGAGCGAGAGGAGCTCGGAAGGGTTCGTTACGTGCGACGTGTGCAAGAGCGATACGTCGACGGATTATGAGACGGCGGTCTGTAGGTGTGGCAGGAAACCACCGTCTGAGGTCGTCAGCGAGCCTGCCCAACCGTCACCAGTAACGATGCCATCGCCCCTGCCGGAGCCACAACCACGACTACCATCCCCTCTTCCGATAGAGATGAGGGACGAGGCCATCGAGACTTCGCCTATCCCGCAAGTGTCGCCTCTGCCGGTCATCGTTCCTGTTCCGATTGTCGTGGAACCAGTGCCAGAACCAGAACCAGTGCCGCAACCTCAGCCCTCTCCCTCTCCTCAGCCCAGTCCCTCTCCTCTGTCTTCTCTGCCTTCGCTACAACCTATGACGCCGGAGGAAGTTCCACTCCCACCGTCTGCGCCTGCATCGGTGTCTAGTTTCTCGTTGCTTTCCTCTCCGAGGGCTCTTTCGGATATTGACCTTGGACCGTCAGTTACGAGGTCTATCCCTAGCGATAGTCTCCTCGACGTTCCGTCTTCTCTTCCTGCGCCTTCGCCCATTGGGCCACCACTTTCGGTTCCTTCGACGCCTCTTCTCTCGAGCATCACCGAGTCTTCTGTGACACCCGGTGAGAT